AGCTTATAGTTTGTTATGTTTTTGTTTGATCTGTAAACAACTTTTCTACTAAAAGACTTGCTTGAATTTCTAAGTAAAGCGCCGTTTCTGAAAGTAAATCAGATAATTTTTCGATTTTCTAGGATTTTCCCCAGCAAATGTGAAAAACTTGGATAAAACATGGAAAAACGTAGGAAAATTGGGAAAATCGATACAACATTAAATAAATATTATTAAAGAAAATATATAAAGCCTATTTAATTATTTTACTATAAAATGACATATATATATATATATATTATTGATAAAGTATCACTATCAACTGAACTCCGTTCAGAATCGTTTTTTTTCATGAGCAATGGTTTATCGTTGCTTACAGGTGTACATTAAATTATCTATAACAGTGGTTGCACCCACCCTTATTAGCCTGGAACGTCTTATTTTCTTTTTATTTCTATTACATATTTTTTTATGAATAAGTTTGAAAGATATATAGATAAAATGGCATGAGTCATATTTTAATGTATTGAAAGTTTTCGCCACGCCCAGATGTCTGGGGTGGGGTTCAAAATGATGAACAAATGTAAAATGAAAAAATTTTATATGGATTAATTATAATGAAGAATAGGTGTAAGAGCAAAACTTGTACAAATCATTTTTAAATATGTTGGCATTTTTTTCCAGGCTAAACCACAATATCATAATGACTTCTTGCATTTAAAAAACCATTTACCTAAATATATAACTAATATAGTTGAAAACAATTTATTACCTGATCGTGACAGTATTTTGGGTGCAAGAATCAAACTCCACCAATACTTTGAGTCGTCTGAGGTTCAACAACGATAGGATTTTATTGCACTCACTACGTCCGATGACTTCGATTTTGAGCAGGAAAATGGCAGACACAGTTCTAAGTAGACAGGCAATCCTCTTTTGGATAGTAATCAATAAAATTCTAATGTGAGCATATTCTTTTCCATAGTGGAACAGCTGTATGAAACATTTTGAAACTCCCATTGCTGAAAATACAGTTTAACTTCTAAAGGTTATATTCATGTTTCATACCACGGCAAGACTGTCCAACATTATTGTACTATTTAAATTATTCCCGCACTTTATTCTAGGACCCTCAGAACGCTGTTTAGGTACAAAATGAACTCAAAATAAGAGTTAAAAATTAGTTGACTAAAAGATTTAATCAAAAATAAACTCTGCAATTATAAAATTTAAAATGTATCTTTTAGTAAAAAAATCTTACACTGTTTATAACATAAATATTATAAAATATTATATAATATATAAAATGTATTTAACTGCCTTATTAGGGTGATAAAAAATTGATAAACTTCTTTTAAAATTTAACATTAATTAATGATTAATTGAATTACAATTTTGAATTAAAGGGAAATGTTTTTAGTAACATGTGTTCAAATTTATGTTGAATTTGTGACCTCGGTGTTGAATTAAGATTAATCTCAAGTAGAGCATTTTAAGTTTAAGTCTGTTTGACTTTTAAGTTTATAAGTATTTGAATTCAATTTTGATTAATTATTAAATTAAATTAATTTAAAATTATATTTATTATGTTTCTGTATTGTATATTAGTTTTGATGAGAGTTGCCTTTTTTACTTATTAGAACGTAAAGTTTTAGGGTATACTTAAATTACCTAAAGATCTATATACATTTTTTCAATCTATAGGGGATGGTTGAAAATTATTTTTAAAGAGTTGAATTATCTTAATAACTTAATTTTTTTTTCCTATTGAGTTATTAATTTCTATATAATTTTTGTTTTTTCTAGGTATGTTTTTTTTGCCGGTTAACAACTTTTCGAAAAAAAAAATTGCTTCAATGTATCAGTGTAACACATTTTATTAAAGGTAGTTTTATCTAGTTAGTGCATTGAGGTAGTAATTTTTTAATTTTTCAAGGTGTTTTTAAAATAATTGAGAAAAACCGGTTAAAAAACAGGATTTGGTTTTTTACTTTTATTCTGTTGAAAATTATTTTAAAAACCCGTAGTTTTTAAAACTACTTCTATTGACCTTTTGTAAACGTGGTATAATTTTCAAAACATTCAAACTATTCGTAGGCTACTTAAAGATATTTGATATTTTCGTATTTTTTAATGTCTTTTTTTTTGATAGGTATGTGTTATTAAAATGTATACCTTAAGAAAAATGCTTGAAAATTTAAGAAACATTATAAGTTGTATTTCGTGGTCTAAAAAACAAAATTTGAGTTCAATGCATTTTTTTTTTTTTCATAAACATTTTAAATTTAAATTCTGACGAAAATTGTAATAATTATGGCATTTTAAAATATGTCTAACTGAACTTTGGCTCCGAATTGCTTTTTGTTAGCAATTATCAATCGTTAAGTACAAATATAAATTAAATAACTGCATCCTTCTTCCCCAACTTCCCACCTTAAACAGTCACTGCACTCAATCTCTAGTATTAGTTCTTTTTTTTTTTTTGGATATAAATTTTATTATAATTTTTGATTCAATTTTTTTGTTTTGTTATTCTAATTAGATGGTTTATGTTTTTTTTTTTATTAATACGTTGATCTTTTAATTCTGATAATACTGATTTAGGAATAATTAGTTTTATTTTTCAAATAATTTCTTGTAAACTTATAAGTTTTAGGTCACTAACAAAAATACATAAATGTCCATAGGATATTGTTTTTAAATTTATAATATTAAACATTTTTATGAAAATATTAAAATTATTAAATTAATGTTAAAATATAATATTACTTAATATCATATCACGATATAAATTGTACTAAAATATAAAAATTGTTAACCTAATAATTAAATTTATTTAATATGTTTATTTCAGAGAAATATTATCTACTTATTATTTTAAGTTGAAGTAGGTATGAAATTATAGGTAATTTATTAATTAGAGGGGTCAAACATTTCTGTTGACTTTTTCATAATTGTCATGTAGTATAACAATTATGAATCAATCTACATACAATTTTTTACAATCTATGAATATTTGTTTGGAGAAAAATAATTATTCGTAAACCATGAATAAAACGAATATAAAATGTGTCAAAAATGAATATTTATAGTTTATATCAGGTGTATGATGGGCATATTTATACTATTATTTAAATTGTACAACTGTACAAGTAAACCGATAATTTAATTTTGTAGGTTTATTAAAATTCTTGACTCTTGAGTATTGCTATATTGCAAAAAAAATATATGATGACAGTCATCAGTGAATGTAGTCATACGCCAAAGTCATAGATGAATGTTGACATATTTGTCTATTGGTAATTATTTGTAAACAATCACTATGTTGATATTTACAAAGCAATATTGTTGAGTATTAGTTTTGCCAATTGTTTTAGGATTACAGGAAGGTCATACATTTTACACATTATTGTAGGTAGGTATACATTTTATTTTCACAACCAACTTTTTTTTTTGAATGCTAATTATATGTAAAATATTTTATAATATATTTAATAATTTAGTTTCTAAAAAAAAGTCATGATAATTTTTTCTTTCAATTGTCTGAAAAATATAAACTTTTAATTTCTTCTTCTTTCCAAGTTTTTAGGTCCTTGAAGGACTTTCACTACATCTAATTCTTTTAACTCTATCCATGCAGTCCACTTTTGAACCTCTCTAAGTGCACTTATTTAAATCATCATTAATCCTGTCTACCTAATGCTTTCTAGGACAACTCCTAGGTCAAGACCTTTCTATTTTTTCGACCAGAACTATCTTAAAAATTCCATTGAACCTCCAGATATGACCAGACTGTTTTCAAAGAAAACCATTTTTCTCATCTTTAGTAGTCCACCAGGTTAAAACTAAAAACTCGAGGAAAGACATTCCTTTAATTGTCTAGTTAGAACTTTTGGCTTGAATTATTTTTCCAGATTGGTTTAAGTTCGTCCTAAGATATTTAAAATCTTTCAGTTTTTGAAAGGTACATTTATCTACTAGCAGGTGGGACTTGTCTCTTGTTATTCTAGGAATGACTACATTTTTGTTTTTTTCTCAAAAATTCCCAGACCCATTGGCTTTGTTGCTTTAATTAGATCATTTTTCCTTATTAGATCTTCTTGCCACATATCTCTTATTATAATTAAATCATCTGTGTAGACAAGAAGTATAAATTACTAGACAAAAACGCCATAGCTTGAAATATTGGCATTGACCTGACTACTTTTTCAAGTATTATATTAAAAATTGAGTGTCAAACTTCCTAAAACTAGTCCTAATAAATTCAAAACTCTATAACATATCATTTTTAAATTTCATGATTTCCATATTTCATTTAATAGTAATTTAACAGAGAATTTTGATCATAAGTTGTTGAGTATTTATTTTTACTAGCTTAGAGTTAATATTATATTCACTAATGAATTTATTATTTTTCAAAGTTTTAGTTATATCTTCAATTTTGTTCTTCAAGGAGCGATAACACCATATAATATACTATAAATTTATTTCCCCTGTATCCTTGTGGGTGAAATTTAAAATATTTCCAAAATGCATTTTAAACTTTTCAATCATGTACTTTTCATTTGTAATCAGATTTCCATCTTGTTCCTTAACTATTCGGGTTTACACTTTAAAATCTTCCTTTTTTGTTCTGCACATCTTAAAGAATTATCTTGGATTGAGTTTATGTCCTTATATTTTTTGAATATGTTTCTTGATATACTTTTAACTAGTGAAGTGAACATTTTGAAAGATAAATCTTATAAATAATGATAAATGATAATTCATTATTTTAAATTTAAATGTATTATTGTATTATTTTTTTTAATAAAAGTTAAAATGTAAAACATGTATAACCGAACTTTGTTCAATTAGCAATGGTTTATCGTTGGTGTGTTTCTCACCATGTTCTATAAAATTTAATATCTCTGTTAATAGTCAATTATTTTTATCAAATTTTCTTTCACTTGTATTCAGAGAAAAATAAAATTGTTCAATCATTGCTTAATCAATAAAAAAATAACTTTATTTTCAAAATAGCCCATTTTTAATAAATATTAATCTTAAAATTAGAATCCAATGTACATAACTATCCTATAAATAATTTCTTAGTAATATTTTTAAAAAAGGGATGAAAATATTATATTTAATATAGCTATACATTACAAGATAGAGAATCACAATCATTTACAACAAGTGAGTTTTCATTTTATTCTGTACTTATTACAAATGATTAATTGTATTGGTAATTATATTTATACACTTATTATATAGCTATTAATAAAAATAACCTCTGATCTTATATGAATATATAGTACATTAAAATGTATAAAATAATATCTAATAAAATAATTAGGTAAAAACAAAATTATTAAAGTGGTTAATACTCATAAATAAAGTAAACAAATATATAAATAAAAAAAATGTATGTATCAAAATAAAATAAATAAATGCGCCTAGAGTATTATGAAAAGTGTAGTATATGACCTGTTTTGAATTAAAAATTCATCATCAAATATATCACAGTCAAAATGTAAACCACCACAATATGTATTACATCATATAATACACTTATCATAATACTCCAGGAGACAACACATTGATTAATTTATTTATATTGTTATATATATAAATTTTTTATTTATATATTTATTAACTTGATTTGAATAATATCTTTTACATAATATGATTATTTTAAAAATAAATTATATGATAATAATTCATTGTTCTTAGTGAATAAATAACACAAAATTGTAAATAGATACTAATGAACTTCAAAATTATTACAATACCAACACTTAAATTACACCATTTTAAATAGTAAGATAATTGCTGGTTTCAGAAAGTTTAAAAATACTTGGTCGACAAACTCTTTGAATATCTGTCTGAAAGCAATCAGACTAAAGCTACGGCCCCACTGAGTGATTTGGGATTTTGCAATAGCGTGAAGCAATTTTAACAATATTATGTAATTCATATATAGTGGCCCCACTGAGCATACACGCGCGATAATCACTAAAAGAACAAAATAGTTTGATATTTGGTGATTAATAGCTGTAAAAATGTCTTCTGCAAAGGTTGTGTCAGAAAAAATAGCTGCTATTGTATTTCTAAAGGAAACTATTTGGAATCCGAGGCATCGGGACCATAAAAATAGGACCAAAATCCACTTATGCGACAGTACTCAAAACACTTGACTGGATATTATTTTAGTTTACTGAATAGTGTATGAAATTCTCCTTCAGATATCCTAGGTCTATTTAATTTATGGACCCATAAACAGTTCTCAACCAAATTTAATTTTACATCAATTAAAAGCAGCACTTTCAGCCAACATTTTTCTGTTCTTGTTTCATTCATCATGGTCAATGATCGATGGAGCAAATGAAAAATAATATGAACAGGCGAGATGTAAAAACGCAAAATCGCTCTCAGTGGGGCAAGAGCTTAAAGTTAAATTGCACACTTCAATGAAAATTTAAAAAAATAAAAGATAATAAATTTAAATAATAATAGAATGTATTTCATATAAACTATTAAAACTAAATGATAATTTAATATAAAACCATATTAAATATAACTTACATTCAAAAAATATATAGGTACCTAATATTATTCTATTATTCAAAGTGACTTATTTTATACTAGTTCATTATAAACTTGCTACAAGGAATAATTATTATAAAATGTTCTTAAATTTAACTATTTTTAAAATATTAAGTAAAATATTTTAATAAGAATTCTAAGATTATAAATATAATTTTTAAGTCTTCTAAGTTTTAAATTTTACAATAGACTCAAAATCCAAAACAATGGAATTAAAATGTCTACAATACACTAAAATTAAAGTTTTATTATATATAATTAATAACAGATTATAATTTAAGATTCTTCAAGATTAATACCGCTAATATTATAACTACTAGTTTAAAATTATTATAGTATCCAATAATAGTAATACAAGTCTGTATATTTAGAAAAATGTTCAAAAAATTAGATTACTAATTTTTTCTATTTGTAAGTAGTAAAGTTTATAGTTTGTTTTTTTTATTACATATATTATAAGAACTGACAACTTTATTTGTGCATATCACTAGTGACAGGAACAATTTTTTATACTTATCACATATAACATTTAAACAAGATTTCTTTTTAATTTCTGAGCCTTTTATTATTTTTACTTCATTATTATTATCCACATTTTCTTTATCAAAATTATCATTGTTATTAACAAATAACCCATTATTATTTTTACTATGATCATCCACAGATAACAAACAAATTGATTTATTACAATGTTTATTGCTAGATGATACTGCATCTGTTTTTAGGTGGAGTTTAAAATTAAATTTCTTAGGTCTAAAAACTCTTTTCTTAACAAAACTTTGAGTCACAGCTCTGTTTCTAAGATTGTATCTGAAAAATAAATTGTATTGTTATATATATATATATATATGTATACATACAGGAGCTAAAAATTATATGCATTCACTATTATAATCAGGATTTCGGGACTTATAGCACTAAGACCAGCAATATATGCCATTGAAAATTCCATAACTCATAACCACTAAAAAACCGTTGAAGTAAGAAAAAAACAAAGTACCACAAAAATAATAACCTAAAAAGAAAAAAAAAATGGGTGGCTACATCACCTATACCGCATTAAAAACAAAATTAAAATACAAAAATTCGGAGGATTGTTTATTTTTCCAGAAATAATAATTTAACAATTTCAAACCAAAAAAGAAGTGCAAATCAATGCTACAGGTCCCAAATCTTGCTTATAACCAACATAACATAACCGGATTAATGATTAGTTTAACTTGTTAATTATACTATAAAGTTGTGATTGTGTAATATTGACAACACAGAAATGAGAATATGATTTTTTTTTAAACCAACATACATCTCACCTGGGATGGGTTAATTGCAATAATTAGTATGTATGTAATTACTCAAAGTATCTAGAGCTAAACCAATTTATAGAAAATTAAAAACCTAGGTTTACGTCAGTTAAAATCATTACTAAACACATCAAATTAATTAGATACATAAATTAATAAATTAAAATTTACTGTAAAGTACCCTAAGTTTATAATTATATAACCTGTCAACTCAGTTGACTCAATTGTCGTAAGGTGTATGTGTGTAAATTATGTAGTATACCTGAATTATGTATTAGACTCTTATGTGTGTCAATAAATTATTATTAAATATTAGTAAAAAAATAAATAAAAAATTACAATAAAATTAAAACAATTAAAAATACTCACAATTTTTTCTCTTTTCCAGCTTTCATTATCTCAAGTTCTGTTTATGATGCGACTGTAGTATGTTATCACAGCGAGTTAGTTCTAATTTTAAAACTCTATTGAACTTGTTGCCGAATCTATACAAAATGAAAATAATGACATTTACATTTTAACAAGTAAATAATTAATGATGTACCTATCACAGTTTTTTTTTTTTAAGGTATTATACAGCAAACAGAAAGTTCACTAATAATGAAAATGGTTTTTTATTTGTTTCATCAATAAAACTATTGCCATATAAACCAAAGAAAATAACTAGATTTGAACATTTCATTATTTTTGAAACAAGATCCTTAAAACCAGTTAAGTATAAATATTAAATATCATTATATAAATAGGTTATATAGAATATATAAATAATACTAAATAAGATATTTAGTTACTTATATTTATTAATCAGCTATTTTAATGGGTATACAATTCTTGGTATTTAATGACAATAACATTGAAAATTTGATTTTTTTATACACAATATATATATATACCTATATATGTTATATATATAAAACTATTTAGGTAGATAAGTAATATTTTCTCTAATATTGCAAATATCAGCTTATAAATTGAATGCAATCACATCTATTCCGAATGTTTGTTACCTTATTTATGTACTTCAGATTGTATTAACTGCCATCTACTAGGCGGCCACACTATAGCAGGGACTTTGGCGATGACAAGACCTTTAGAAATTGGACCGAAACTAGTTGAATCGTATGAATGACCTTTGTGATCGCCTTCAATCCAATAATAACCTTTGGGTACTACTTTCCGCATACTGTCGTCTTGTTTTCTTTTTAACTTAACAACATCGCCTTCCAAGCCGATCACACGCTTAACGATTATTTCGTTTGGATTTCTGGGTGATATAGCCACAATGAGATCACCCCGTTTAATGGAATCAAAGCGCACTGGCAAATATGATAGGAACACCATATCGCTAGAGGTGCTTAACGTGGGATTTAACGTGGGTTGCATCGATATACCATCAACTCGAGCCACAGTACCAAATGTGTTGGTTACTGTATGTCCAATAGCTATACCGAAGAAAATATTTTTGACACGACGCCACAATGCCATTGAAAGTATTGAATGGTTTTTAAAACGAAAGACACTCGTTTCAATAATATAATTTTAATACTAACTTTAATGAAAATGTATTGTTATATTATAAGTATTATTATTTTCGTTTTAATCATTAAATATAACAAAATAATAAATGAAAACATATTCTCGTTACTACGTTATTACCATCGATTATCAATCGAAGACTATTATCAAAAGTAAATGTTATCAATATTCAAGGTTACCGACAGTTCAGCATATATAATAAATATATGGATAGGCTATCCATACTTTATCAGTGTTTCAAGAGGGACAGGTACAATTACTTCAAGTTTCATAAAATTGAGACTTTTTATTTATGTAGTGATGAATGATAAATCGCCTCAGTTTACCGCCCCTCGGAACATCGCCTCAATTGATATAGTAGTAGTGGTCTGTCCATTTCTATATTCTCTATGCAATTCAGTTACCCGTAAAAACCACAGATCCAACAGTATTTTATTCGTACGATAATATTTCATACATTTGATACATGCAATTTATTTGATTTATTCGTTATCTACGTCGATGAAAGTGATAAAGATATTGGAACTATCCGACTATCCGAGTATGATGTTCTTATTATAGGTTAATATTATTATTAATAATAATAACTTAATTATTTTTTGTCAAATTAGTAATTTTTATCATGTATTTGTCGTTGTATATATTTAACAATGATTTTTTATATTTTAAAAAAAGTCTATCAAGGTATTTATGTATTACACGTAAGTATCGGCTGTTATAATAACATTATTTTTGTTAAAATAAAACTAGAAAGATTTATTTGAATTACAAAAGTGAGTGCATTGTGATGTATAATTTATCAAATGTCATATCGTTGATAATTTTAGATATAATAATACAATATGCTGCTAACAACGGTAAATAGAATTGTTGCTAGCCATGGTTCCGGCCATACATTCTATCTACAACCGCGCTGCTGACCATATTGTTATGACTTATTATTGACGTAAATATCAAATAAATGCACGAAACCAGCCTGCACCGCGAAGGTGGCAAATAGACGTTTCATTCCCGTCAAAAAATCGAATTTACGGACGTTTCGTCCCCACCATTTTTAAGATAGGACATTTGGTTCCTATAGTATTTTGATCATAGTACGTTTGGTTCTGTGCTTAAACTTTTTAAGAAATCTGTTAGAGGAAACTGATAATAATAATGATAATTTCATTATTGATATTGTAAAACTTTTATAGACATTAATAGATACATGCTTATTATTAATTAGTTACAATAACAATATGAATTTTTGTTTTAATTTTTAACTTGTAACTAACTTATTTTTAGATCAACTATGATGTATTTCAAATAGTTTAAAATGTCATCATCATTAATAATAACAATAATCATAATAAGAATAAATCATTTTATTGAATTCATTTAAATGAATAACTTGATATTAAACCTACTATCTGTTTGAAAACCCCGGCATTTAATATATTAATATATATACATATATCATATATCTCACATACCTGACTGACTTCCTATCAGTACAATTACATCGAATATGTATATGTATTGCTTATCAGTTATATAACTTTCTATAACTAAACGTAGGTACTATGTATACTATTAACAAAATACTATACGGGGACCAAGTTATAGATAATAACTCGATCAGATAAGTATCATCGAATAAGTAATTCTATAGGAAGGTAGCCAGTGACGTATTTAGAGGTTGTAACTTCCCTCCTAAAAATTTGTTTGACCATATTTTATTATTATTTTATATATTCCTTAAAACACAACAAAAGGTACATTGAACACTAATTATTAATATTAATTACTAATATAATTAGTTATACATAATTTTACTAACAAAAGTTTATAATAAGGATTGTATGGCCGAAGAAATTTTAGAAATCAATTATTAAAATACTAAATAGATAAAGAAAATATTTGCATAGGTGAATATTTTATTTTTTGCCAGTACCTACCTATCTTATTTTTGTGACGAATATTGGCCCGGTAATTGTTTTAATAGAAATAATATTGAGTATCTATTATAAATTATCTTTAACTATTGTTTATTATCAACTATTGGTCTTCTGGTTTGCATCAAATCGATGGGAATTTTTGATTTATGACTTTCAAAATCTAAATACTGAAATACTCGCCCTTTGTGTGATTATTGAAAGTACGCATATTTACAAGTTCTTGTGATTAAGTTCTTAGATTAAATTTTAAATACATTTTTAATGTGAATTTTTAATAATTCATCAATCATTTAAAAACGAGTAAAAGATTACAAAATTAAATTTATTGATGCATATTTCAAATAAACTCTGTGCATAATTTTATACTTTTTTTATAAGTGCATGCATATTTTTCGAATTTTAGAGCATAAACATCTGCTCCCTTATAATAAGAAATACAGAATAAATAAAACAAATTTCGCGACACGTAACTCGAACGGCGGCGGACGGGTCTATGCCTAACAGAAGGGGCGACACACACGGAACAATTTAAATAATCTTATATTAAAATTCACAAAAATAGATAACGTAAAATCTTAAATCTAGTGTGTTGTGTGAATGTATGTGCGTATGCGGCCGACCGATGACGGTATCATCAAAAATTCAAAACAATTATTTTTTTTTTATTGAGTAAATTATTTTTACCTGTTTTTAAATTTGTGAAAAGAGTATCAAGTTTTCTCGTTTTTTGAATAACCCTTTTCTCCTATTCTTCGTGCTCTTCTCGCAATTTTTAGTACTATGCGCCACTTTTTCTCGATCTACCATCACTCATTATGACGTAATTTGAAAAAATAAAAATAAATAAAGACAACAAGTCGTTAATTGCACTGTCGCAGTGTCGCGGTATACTAATAAGCAGAATAATGTTATGATAAGGAATATATATAACATTCTTTGTATGTAATAGAATCACGAAAATAAAATCTAGTTGACAAAAGCAAAGTCTTATCGGCCATCGTCATAATGTATACCTATGATTATATTTATACAAGCCGTTTCCGGGAAAAATATAGTTTCCCTAATAATAGAAATTCGAATTGATCGCGTTCACCGAAACCATTTCGCAGTATTCAGTGTGCTAATGCCTAGTATTTATAAATTATAATACAATTTTATAAATACATTTTTTTTCCTAAGTGCGGCAAATTTGCCGCTCCGACCACCCGAGACAAATTTGCCGCTCCAATCACCTGATCACTTTGCCTGTAGGATAACCCGACGCTGTACGTCTAATTTGTGGCATTTTGAAGAACCAAATTCAACTGAAGATAAAAAATTGATTCCTTTAGTGTGTCGTATAACCATGTATACCACGTACCCAGACAGCAATTTCACAAAAACACGACACATCGCGAGTACAGGTGTACCACGATTATTAGTGTAGGCGACGTACGTACGTTTTAAATTTTATTGAACTAATATAATTTTGCTGTCTGGGGTGTGAGTCTATCAAAACTTATCGAAAATCGATATTAAATTAAACTTGTAATATAAGGCGTAAATTAACTTTTTAAAAAATTCACTCAACAAACTCAGAACTGTATAAACGTTCAGATCACGAACAACGACATTTATCATATTCACCGTATACAAAGAGATGAAGAATAGACCACGTTAGTTAGACGATCGGTCTGCTCATAGGCTTGTAGTAATACAACAATGTATAGTTTTCAAAATTTTAGGTGGTGCACTGTTCCTGTGCACCATAGCACGAGCCGCCACTGCCATAGAGTATATAAATACTACGTCTGCCATAGAATATACAAAGACTACGTCTAGTATCTACCATATTATAGAGTAATTAAAGACATCTGAGAAAAAACGTTTATAATGTTAGTGCAACGGTATCGAGTTCAAATCCCAGATATTATTAATAAGTGTTTGCAATTTTTTTACTTATTCTGTTGAATTTTTAGAAATTGTTTTTCATAAAACTCTTGCCAGAACAATTACGAATACAACAAAAAAAAAAATTCGGCAAAATCGGTCAAGCTGATTTAATGGCCTCGGCAATATGAATAAAAACAAATTGTTATTCGTTAGCCTAATAATAATAATAATGTTATGTCCCGATAAGCCCGAAGAATGTTCTATAATGCAGTCACCAATAGCAGTCCTAAGTCCCAATTGTATGTACATATAATTTTTAATTAGGTGTATAACTGTTCAACCACCCAATTTTCATAATATTACAATTAAAATGATTTCAAATTTATTAGCTCATTTTTCCCCAATTATTTGCATATTATCTATAATGCATTTAATGAACCTAAAAATTTAATATCAAGTTCTTGTAGAAAAGAATCAGGATTTTTCAAAGCAATAAAGATAATTTCGAGGATAATTTAAGGATAAAATAAAGTATATTGTCATAGATAGGTATATAAATTTTCAATAATCGAATACTGGTAATATTTTATAGCATATTAATAATGATAAATAAGAGTTTCAAAAGTCGAAATTACCAAATTCTTAGTAAGTGCAAGTTAAACATAATATTGTTCACGGTTTTTTTTAATTATTAAGAATTATTATGGAAAATCAAACAATTACTTCCCTGATGCACTAACTGAGCAAAATTTATTTTTAGAAAAGGTAGTAGGTACTCATGAAGATCGAAACAGGAATCTGCTACAAGTTGTTTACAGACAGAAATAAAACATATCCATATCATTAATGTATTTTTATTAAAAACAATACATTCCTTGTTGATCCCAGAATCTAACACTACTAATTTACAAAAAATCAGGACCAATTGTTGTTCGAGTATGAAATTATACAATTAAGATTAAAATAATATCCTTGATTAGGTAAATTCATTAGCCATATTATAATATAATGGTCGGATTAATATTGGACTAAATACCGAAACACAGTACATTTAGTTTACAAACCTTTTTTTTTTTTTTTTTTTAAATTATAACTAAAAAAAGAGCTGATATTGGGGACGGATGGGACCACTGTTGTAGGTGAAAAGTTAGGAAAGTAGAATACATAAGTTATTTCATTTATATCTGTAAGCAACGATAAACTATTGCTGACAAAAGACGATTCCGAGCGCAGTTTGCTAATACTTAATTTGAAGTAAAAAATGACCCATGAATTTACCAAGTTGATAAAATTGAATTTCAGAAAACGTTAGCACCATATAAATTTATACATCGGAGTAAATTTCTAGGGTAAAAGTGGTCTATAGTATATAAAAAAAATAAAGTGGCATTGTGAAACCAATAGCTCCCTCGCTAGCTCGGAATTTAATACTATGTGACTATCATCATATTATTACAGACTAACATCATTATTATACACGATTTTCGGGCTTGTCAGTTTTAGTAGGTAATATAATGGTATACCTACAGGCACCTATAAAGTTTGAATGGAATATCGTTTTAAAGTTTTATTAGGTTTTAAATAATATTTCGATCGAGTTAATCTGCTACTGAATTTTGTAAAAATGTTTGTTTGTCAGGGTTAGAAGTTCTAATTGTTATTACAATTTTTTCAATAATAATTACAAACTGTCTACTTGTGGAGTCGTGTTAATTGATTGCAGTATGACGAGTATTCGCAAAATAAAATAATATGAAAATAAAACGCCGTTCCGTAAAATAAAAAATAAAAATTATTATTATTAAAACACTAAAATAATATTCGCGGGTATTAAATATCAATGATGATGATACACGTTTTTTATGCAGTCAAAACGTCATGAATAACAGGCATGGTACTATAGGTACATTTCTTTTTATTACTGCGGCTGAACACTACCTATGCTCTACGTTCAGTTCGATATCGTCTGATATCGTCAAATATGCATTAGGTATACTTATTGTGTACAAATGGTGTTATGTTACGATTTTCCATCGCAGCTGTTGTAGCATGCAGCAAAAATATGAGAATACAAAAATTAGTCACGAAGGCAATTCAGTTGACAGTTGATAGGAGGTTGAATGTAAGTAGTACTTAGTGGTCAAAAAGAAAAAGTTAAGTTCAATATGGTATTATTTTTTTTTATAAAAATTTTGATGATAATCGTAAATATGAAAATATGTAAATATGACCTTTCAAAACATATATAATCGAACTCCATTTAAAATCGTTTTTCGTTAGCAATGATTAGTCGTGACGAACAGATGTACATTAAGTTCTCTTCTACAAGTATATCCTACTTTCCAACTTTCCACCTCTGGCTATAACAGTGGCCCACCCATCATGCAAAGTATATCCGTTATTATTTTTTGTTATTTCAGTGAATAATTATAGTAGCCGGAAATTTAACCAAATACCTATACATACTTTTGAGATATGGTATACTTTCCATAAGTTAGGCTAGGTTATCATGTATTAGGTACAATTAATGGTAAAAAAATGTTTGTAGTATGTTATGCAGTAATTTTTTTATATGCCTTTAAAATTCAAATTTTATTAAAAATGCAAAAATATATGTCCCATGTATTCCACTTAAAATAAATAACAGAGGTATTTTGAAATTTCTGAAAAATTAGTTGTTTAATGTTGAGTCCTTTGTGAACTGCTAGAATTCATATGCTAATCAAAAAATGACAGAGTTTTTTGTAGAAATTTGAATATAATTGGTGCGTTATGGATGTTATTTTTTGAAGCTTTTATAATGATTGACCCTCCTTTTCTCAAAAAAAAGGTATAGGAAAACTGACAAATTTATGGCGATTTTTTTGACTCGGTTTTTTTCTAGTTCCGAATTTTAACAGTAGCAGCTTTTCAAAAAGACAATTCTGTGAAAACAAGAATGTGTTTGTTTTTTTTTATTTGAATTCTAGACGTAGTCAAATTTTCAAAACATTCATTTGACTTTTTAGTTATAAATAGGCAATTAATTTTGATTTTTTTAATTGGTTTTTATGTAGATACAATTGTTTTGGAGCAGAAATGGATGAACATTTTACTTGATGTTCATCATAATTTGCATTTCATAGAAAAAAAAAATTGAGTTTATTGAAGTAGTTTTTTAATAATAATTTTAATTTCATATTTTGATGAAAATCGTTAAAACCATGGTTTTTATAACATTTTCGTATTTTGTTAGTATTTATTTATTGTGTACAAGAATAAATAACAGATTGGTAATAATAACTATATGTCTTACCTTTTAACTAAATAAATTGTTTATACATAATAAATGTACGTTTATTTTATAACAATTAACAAATAAACAAATAAACATCCACCAAGTTAAATAGAGCTTGTAAAACCAGTTTCAATATTAAAATAATTTAAATGTTTTATCATTATTATTATTATTGTAACTTAAGATTATTTACTATTTTTTTTTTTCGTTTGAAAGCATTTTAAATTGACAGTGGATTTTAATTGAATATTAGTAAATTATTAATAGAAAATAATTACCCTCTATGTCTAATTATTATTAAGTGCCTTTAGATTTTTTTTACGAAATCGTGACAACTATTATTACCTATATAATAATTTATAGTATATAATATATATATATAGTATATAATATATAATAGTGACTGACATATAAATTGGTGTTATAGAAAAATAGACACACGTGATTTAACTATATTGTTATATAATAATAATACTAACCTAAAATTGAATATGTAAAAATAAAATTAATACACATAATATTATCAGTTTATATATATATATACATTTATGATTTATTTATTATGTATTAATCGAATAAAAAAATAATGATGCAATGTTGACACACGTGCAATAAGTCAGTAGGAATACAATCAATGTTTTAATCAATTAATTTAAATGTTAACTATTTAATATAATAATAATGTAAACAAAATCAATAATAATATGAAATTCTAAATTGCATATATAATTATTTCAATGGAGATGAAGGCAACTCTAAAGTTCCATCGAATTGGTTTCTACAGCCAAACTTATTGAATTTTGGCATTTGTAGAAACATGTGTATCATACATTCTATCAAATCAGACCACCTCTAATCATATATAAATTATATTAGAGAATATTAAATGTTTTCTATTGCATATGTTCAAGAAGGGAATAGTGATAGTATTACTTGGTATACTTCATTTTCTTCTTCATAAATTTTCAAAAATGTTTTCATAATAGTTGGCTGAAATAGGACTGTAGTATTTTCGACTTCTCCAATTATATGATGCATCATAGTGAATACAGCTTCGTTTACTACAGCATCGTTTTTTTTATAATTTTGTAGAACAGTTCCATAATTAAACATTATATCATAAGCCGCGAATCTGTAAACAAATTGCAGTATATCATCATAATTACCTATTAGTACTTAGTATTATTATATATATTTTAGTTATCAAATAATTTATGTGAATATTATTTTACTTTTTAATATGTGCAGTAATGCTATCACTAAAATTCCAACAGTTTTTGAAATTATCAAATAAAGATATTATCATATGGTTTGCAACAATTAAATCTTGTAAGTAATCAATGACTTGTATGTTGCTATCGTACTGATGTATGAGTAACACAAAAATTGACTTGAGATCTTTTGCCCAAGTATTTATAGATTCTGTTGAGTTATTACCTGAATCTACAGAATAATTAAAAATTGTTATTTTCTTTTTAATTATACAGTTTTTTAATTAGGTACATATTATTAAACAAGTTATAAATATTAAATGTTAATACTAAATAATGAACATTAAACAAAAGTGTTGCTGACACCAAAACAATTAAATTTATAAGTTCAAAATAATATTAATTTATATTTTGAATAATAATTATACTAATATAAAATATTTTACACATTATGGTCTTAACTTACTTTTGATATCTTTAATTATTTCGACAAAAAATGGAAATCCTTCAGCAGTTAGTCTATAAAACTCAATAGTTTTAATTACTTCTTTTATGGCCATAATTACCTATGGAAAGATTTGTTTTTATTTTTATTTTTAAAAATGATATGAAATTATTCATCAAATAAAATATTAACTTACCAAATGCAAATGTCGGACTAATAAATTGATAGCTGGAGATTTATTATGTTTTGCTATCATTAATTGTTCTGATACTTTAAAACCTTCTTGAACAATGTAAGAAATCAATTTCAATGATACAATTCCCCTATCATAAATATGAACACGTTTTATTAATACTTATCTTAAAAATAAAAAATCAAGTCAATAAAATAACCAATTTTTACCTGACTGATTTTAAATTAATTTTATTTAGTTTACAAAATCTACAGAAATATGTTAAAATCCAGAAATATAGGGAAGAATCTATACATTGGTGTGTAGTAGTTGTTACTAAATTATAAATTTCATCAACTAGTGTATTGAATCCGTTCTGTAGAAAATCAACAGTAAATTTTTGAAGAAAATATGAAATACATTCTTGACTTGGTGTATGTTTCGGTATAATTTTGAAATTTAATCTAATAAGACAAATTAATAATTAATTTAAATAAAACAGAATTAAAATTATGAATTATTTACTTGATATTTTTCATTATTTGAAATGCTTGGTTTTTATTATCAGTTGAATTAGAAGTTATTTTTTTATTTTTCATAAATAATTTCTGTTGGGTAGTCAGCTCTTTTTTCTGTTTTTTACTATACTTCTTTAACACTTTATTATTTTGCTTATTGTTCCTGGAATGTAAATATAAATGTACCTTAAATTGTACTAAAACAAAATTTCATAGAAAAATAGAAATGGATTAATATTTAATACCTACAAACTACTTTATAATAATTTAAATCAGAATATATTTAAATACAAATTATAGAATATTAGGTATATAAATTTACCTTTTTAAATTATAAATAACAGTAGGTTCTTTAAATGCAGTTTTGATTTTAAGTGTATCATTAAAAGGTTTTGAGTGTACATTTTGTTGTAAACCGATTAAAGAATTATCATCTTTATTTTCTAAAGAATTTATGTCATATAGTTTTTCTTTAAATGTAATCTAAAAATCAATATACTTAATCATAAAAAAATATTTGCACAGTTTATATTATATGACTGTATAATATATTCATACTGGAATTTGATTTAATGTGCATTCATAGTGACATTCAATATCATTTTCATCAGATTCAAATTCATCTTGAGAAGAATTTGTTCTGCTCTTCTAAAAGTTTAAAAATAATATAAGTATTTTAATTTTATTTTGTATCCATTTTAAAATGTTAATATTATTATAATTTATTTTTACTGGACAAGGGGATGTATTGCTTTCATTATCTTCAGAACTAGAATTTTTCATAAATTTATTTGTTTCATTCAAAAGTTTTGTCATATGGTCAACATGTTGATTTTTAAATATCAAAGCAATTAATTCGGTAATCAACACAGCCCAGTGTCTTCGGTTTGGATTTTCAATAATTTTAATAATTATCTATAAATAGGAATTCAATTTGAATAAGTAAACAATTAATAATTAGAATCATATTTAATCGGTTTCTCCATTTGTGTAAGGAAGGGCTGAAATTCAAACAGGTTAATTATTTAAGTCTATTACAAAATTTCCTTAGTATTACTTTTATTACTAAAGTATTACTTAATATTTTTCGATAAACTTTTGACAAATATAAATATGACACCACAAATTATTATCCTTCAGTAATATTTTCTTTTTACAATTAATTACTTAACTAGACTATCTACAGAGACAGTAAATTCAAATTTAGTTTTATTAAAATATAATAGATAAATTATAGTATTATTCGCTAATAGGTACTTTTATGAGCTTCTATACAGGAAGTCAAAAAATGGCCAACTTTACGAAGTCTTATTCTATATGTGGCTAATTTTAGAATTTTTTTTTGTGTAAAATATCAATATCACATCAAAGAATTTCTCGGAAGATTCTCTTTCAAAATAAGGAGTCAGGCGATTTTTTCCAAAAATAATAATTTTTACTATTATTTGTGGTTTGTCATGAATATGTGTGTACATTTGTCAGGGAATTCAATGGAATTAATTATTTTTTATTTAAGTGTCAATTGAATGATCTACTAAAAATATACGACTGACTTGTTTGTAAAAACATAATAAGTAACCAAATTCAATTGTTTTATTGAACTTTATAATTACAAGTTGTAATCAAATTATTCCGGTAACTATTTAACATGACCTCCGTTAACTTCAATCCATTTAAGAAGTCTTTGAAATAAAAACTAATTGATTCCATTGAAATTCCTGACAAATTTATATATAAATTCATGTGCCACACAAAAACTACGATTCTGGATTTAAGATAACTAAAAAATAGTGGTGATAATGATTATTATCTGATCAAATTAAACAAATGACATCAAATGAGCTGCAACAAGTTGAGGCTATATAATAATTAAATATGTGTAGATTATAACTAAATAGACTTATATAAAATGTGAGCGATAGATAAGATGTTTACGTTCGGTCAATAAAAAATAAAACATATTTTGATTTTTCGAAAATGTTTTAAGTATTTCAAAAATTTAAGTGTATTAAATGTACATAATATTCAAGGTGTCACAGGTTTGGATTAATGTACATTTATTATAATATAATTACCTATAACTCCAGGGATTGGAACCTTTTAAATTATTTGATTCCATTTCGGTTTTGGTTAGTCAATTAATTAATTTGAGGGTTATGGATCAGGTTTTCTTAATGTTTAGGGGCTCTAGAACCGATAAACACTGGTTCTGAAAAATATCGGTTTTTTGAAAAAGAGATAATGCAACTCACAGGTAAATCATTGTTTAGGGTTTTTGGTGGGTATTTAAAATATATACAGGGTAATTTATTTTATATCTATATGAAACGATAAATTGCAAACGAAAAACGATTCTGAAAAGAGTATTATTAGTCATATTTTTCCTTTGTTGCAAATAGGTAATCAAGAAATTAAGGAAAACTTTAGGCTAAAAAAAGGTTCTAAAGGGTGATAACTACTGACAATATCGATAATTTTTTTAAATAAAGTACCGCTGGACAGAATTACATATCTTATGAGTCACTAGGTATTTGAACAAATTAGATTATTTTACTACTAACCAATATTAAACCTTTTATAATTAAGGTTATGGTTCTTAATATTTGTAAATAAAGTTTTCGGTTCTAGTTCCTGCCTAAAAGTATATAATATTATTCAACATTTGTAAATCTGACATAGATGATGATTTAAAACGACTTTAACATATAAGTATATTAATTTATTAATTTATTACCTTTCCAAATTTTTCAGAAAACAATATCCATAATAAATCATTTTGGTGTTGATCGTTGGGTGATTGAAGGATGTATTTTATTAAATACAAACAATCGCAAATTATTATTGTATTCGAATTACCAGATAATCCTTGGTAGCTGGACAACTAAAATGAAACAAGGTAAGTATTAGTGTATAAGTATACTACATTTCTAATAGTATAAAGTATATACATACAATGGGGGAAAGGCTTATATTTTTTATGTTGGCAAGTAATTTGAAGGGCCTACATACCAAATGCCCCTCCCCTCCAAAAAAAAAAATAATAATAATAATAATAATACTCTAGCTTTATTCGTGGCATTAATTTTATTTAAAATTGGTTTTTGTCATTTTTACATTGTTGTGATACCTCTTTATTTTCTTTAATCCTTTTCAATGCTCTTGACTCAAATTTTCATTTATTGTGTTTTAAGATTAGGAATGTATTGATATTAATATATTTATTTTTTTTTTTGTCTTTATTTTTGTTTTCTATGTAGTATAAAAATTCTACTAGAAATTTTTCTTTGATTTTCAAGTATAGCACTATTTCTGGAAAAAAACAGAGAAAAAGTAGTAAAAACAGGAAAATTTATGAAAAAAAAGGTTTTAATTATTTTAAATTTAGTTTTTTTGTTATTTAGTTAAAATTGTTCGTAGTCAGTTGAAATTTGGATAGAAAACTTAAATTTAACCTTTTTAGACGAGGTAAAATTATTAAAATATTTGAGAAATTGTTGAGCTACTTATAAACATTTAAATTGTACGTGTTTTTTACATAATATTTATTTGGTAGGTATTGTGTACTCTATTAATATTACGGCTTTTTAAAACTGAGCGGATTTTGGTTATATATGTTTTGTAATTATAAAATTTATGATTCTCGTTGAAATTTGATACTAAAATCTATTTTTATTAAAATTAATTTTTCACTTCACTCAATTTTTTTTTTTTTACCACAAATTACAACTTATCATTATAACGACCAACCAAATAAAAATTAAACGTAAAAACTCATGAAATAAAAATGCTTATAGCTAGCTCAAAAATAGCATAATAATAGTTTGAAAATTGTACCACATCTAAAAAATACAAATATAAACTTTCTGTCTAAATTTTAAGTCTCTAAGAAAATTTTAAAATTAATTACAATAAAAAAACAAAGTTGAAAATAATAAAAGTATTTTTTTTCATACATTTTTAATTTTTCCCATTTATTATGAAAATTGCTTGGAAAATCAAAAAATTACCTTTTGAAAGTACTAATTAGATAAAATTTCCTTACAGAAAAGGTACAATACTCGAAAATTGAAGCAAGATTTCTGGTAGAAATTGTATACAGAATGTAAAAAAAAAAAATTAAAATTAAAAAATAAATATCATTGGGAAACCAATGCATTCCTCGTTTGGTTAAAATGTATAAATTAACTCAATTATTGTAATAGTTTTTGAATTTTGTAAATGTTTTTATAATTATTAATTATAAGTGATAAATTATAATTACAATTCTTGTTAATAAACATTTAACATTTTAAATTCTAGTCGGCAAATTTAAAAACAACACCCACCCTCCCATCATTTTTTTTAGATCGTCCGGATACAGCCCATAAATATATTCTCTTTAAGTTTTGTAATTTGTGATTAAATTCTAATTTCAGCCTAAACGCTACGATTTACGGTCTAAGTATAAGTGTTAAAAATAAATGGATATGACCTTTTAAATTTAAGATAAGCGATACGTTCCCGTTTTATTATACTTACTTTTAAAATATTTTCTTTTATAACATGTATGACACGTTTGATAGCATTTACATTGTTGAATGCTATTTTATTAGTTGCCAACATCCGATTATGTTTAAGTACAGTAGAATATCCATTTTCGTCTTTACAAAATTGGTCAATTTGCACCAAACGTTCAATTGGAGTCATTATATTAACAAGAATTCTACCAAATAAAATTTAAAATTAATAAAATAACAATTAAAAAAAAAAATATATTTATACCAAATTACATACTTTATTATAGTTTTCAATATGTTATCATCTTTTACTGCAATCATAATTGGTATAAGAATCTAATTTAAAAAAAATCATCAAAGGTAAAATTAATATTTAATACCTATATCTAGCTTATATAATTTGTTATTATTTTGATTTTGAATAATTTGTTTTTCATAATACACTTTTTACTGACCGTAAAAATATATTAAGAGACCAAAATCAATGTGAAGAAAGCAAACAAGTACACAAAAACTATTTATTATTATTATTTTTTTTTGGAACAGGAGATAGTAGGTATCTTATACAAAACAGAATAAACCGCAATATACGTAGTAAAGTCGTCTATAAAACATAATTTATTTTCCTACAATTTCGGTGAATGGTTGAACCCCTAAGGCCTCTTTAGTGTACGCACCTGGAAGAAATAAATCATAATTTATGACTTATTTCTAATTCATTCTTATTGCTTAATAATTTATGACTCATTAATTATTATATAGAATAACAATGCAATATAATAATAGTTTGTATTTGTTTTAAATTAAAGTAATAAATTAGAACAAGGGACTAACTTTTTTTATGACTTCTGAAATTCCAATACTTAATCTATAATTTCTAGAATTTACATCTTCTGAATTCAATTTTTCGTACACATACATCAGTAAATCTATAAAATAATATAAATAAAATAAATTTTGTTTAGAAACAAAACAAATTAGAAAAATGACAAAAACTAACTACACACAAATAAATAACTAAACACACACTTTAATGAAATGCAGTATTGTAATTAGGAATTTATTCTGGTGAAAGATATAATTTTTAAAATCACGCTTCTTCACTCCTACCATCGAGGGGGAGAGGTGGATGAAAAAATTGTACATACTTTATAAAAATCACCATTTTGTAACTTTAAATATATTTACTTTTTAAATTCAATTTCAGGGGCCACATTTTTTGATCAGTTATGGGAAAACCTTTTAATTTTACTGGTATTTGACTGGTTTTCCTTTTATTTTTAAGGATATATTATTATTGACTAATCACTAATTATAAGTCACGTACTTACAACAAATTTTACTTTTCAATTTGTAATTACAGATAGTTGTTGGTAGTGATAGACATAATCAAGTTAAAATATTGGTGTTACTCGATTGTTGGGAATAATCAATTATGTAACTGAGTGGTATTTCTCAGGAATTATAATAACTTTAATACTCGAAGGTACCTTATTCGGGTCATTATTATTACAATTTAAAATCCAAAACTCCAAATAACGTAAATAATTGAATGAATACTATTAGTTATTAATACTTTTACTTATTATTTATAATACTTTGATTTTGGTACACTATATTATTATCGTTGTACACTTTATTCCTTTATTATTTTTGAAAATGCTTTTCTATACAAAACTATATTCGAGACATGTTTGTTTTAAATAATATAAAATGGGACTATTTGTGGACAATTTTACTTTATTGATTATTTCAAGTAATAACTTAATATATTATTCAATCATTATATCAATTGAACATTTCGAGTGATATCCTGATTATGAAAATATATCGATTACTAATAACTCAATTATATCTATCACTAATAGTTGGTAAACTTGAGACCCTTAACAGAAAAGGTTTTAGGCGGTTATCATATCTATTAATATTTAAATTTCGTCTCTTACCAGTTACCAGTCATAATAATTAATAATGAAAATAAAAACTACAACCTAATTTAACCTACCTAATTTTTATAAAAAAAAAAAAAAAAAGGTATGGGGGTAAATCCATCCCCTACGTAATTACGCCACTAAGTTAAAGTGGTTAAATTTAAACTTTATTCACCATAACAATTAGCAGATGGAATATATTCATTAGCAACGAAAGTTCCCAGTTGATAAAACACGTTTTGAATGTCGTTACTTTTAATTATTTCCTCCATTGCCTTTATTTTCTTTAAATATAATGATACCTGTATGAAAATAAAAAAAATAAATGAATGTCATATTAAATTAGAGTACAGTATTCATATACAATAAAATAATAAAACTTAGTAAAACACAATAGGACCGGATCAAGTGTTTATTGAGTATAGAGCCCGGTAGTCCAAAGGGTCCTCACACTATTTATTATCATAAACTGAATTTTACTTCTAAAAAAATGATTTAATGTAAACACCTAAAATGGGATCCGTCAAAACCAAATGGTCGATGGGAAACCCCTCAGGTCGACAGGAAAATACCCAGTGTGGGTTCGGGGTAACCCAGTTTCTACGGGGAACAATGGAAAGGATGATGACGGAATTCTAGTTGGCGATCCAAAAAATGTACCTCGAAATAGGAAAACATCAAAGCAGTGGGTATTCCCAGGGTGAGCTAGCCAGGAGAAAACCTCACGATGAGTCGGCAGGAAATACCATCGGTGCTTACGGATATAATACGTGACCAAACACATTTATACGTGAACGCCTGGGTAGCAAACATGTTACCCAGGGACAACCTCTAGGCGAAGAGGGACTCTTCAAGGGGACAGATGCACGTCCGATACGGATAGTCTGTTTAAACTCCGACAACGATCCTCCTAAATTGAGTTTAATGTAGTATTTTTTTTTTTCATACGAATTTTAATATTAAATTTTGACAAAAAACGTTTTAGTAAAAAATTACGTCGAACAAATCTAATTACTGGTCCGTACAAATTGTTTAAATTTATATTTGTTTTACTACATTATGGCATTTATATATTGTTGAAAAAGCAATAATATTAACCGGGCTCTGCTCTTTTTAAAACGAACCTATTTTCCTTGTGTTTTATTTTAAAAAGTTTTCGATAACAAATAATAAATATAAGTACCTATTGCGTATAACACACGTCATACACATTATGTTATATAATAACGTAATAAGCACGTGACACAAAATATTATGAGACATATAATACATATCATATCCGTTGAACAACGCATGCATTGCGTGTGACAGTGAGTTTTATGACGTCAAGGAAACCGAAAAAAAACCTTACCATAAATTCATTAAAAGCTGCTATTTATTTATAGAATATTGATTTGGAAGCGGTGATTTATTAAGAATTAGTGTATTAAAAGATTTCATTTTGTCGTAATTCAATTAAAAATAATCATAAAGATCTGATATTTCCACGGAATATTTATATTAGCCTTTTACCGATACGGTAAAATTGTTTGAGCTATTCATAGCCACTTGTAATTTTTGAGTTTTTTGACAATTTATTTTGCATTAGTAAATTATTTTATCTTGTATGGTATAAGTACCTATATGGGGTAGTACTTTCAAAATTCATCTAACATCATTAAACACCATTATACATTTTTTAATCATATTTATCCTAAAAAAGCTATTTTTCATCACTCTAACTTGTATAATATATGAACTCTTTAATGTTAATAATTTAAAAACATTACATGGAAATCAATTATTTTTATTATTATAAAAATATAATATATAAACATCTAATAAATAATCCAATATACAATTTAAGTACTAAAGGAAAAAAGCAATGCCATTACGCCTCCTATATGTAACAAATTATTTATTATGATGTCCCCTTTAAATATTGGCACTAACTTATTGCATGAGAAAATGTTAATATTGATTCCTTTCCAACATTTGCTAAATTATAAATATATATTAAAAGTTAAAATTAATTTACATGTGTAATGTGTATTGAATAACAGGTGTTTAATTTAAAATATTGTTAAAACTAATTGTTACTTTTGGACGTGTTATTATTACTGTTATAATTTACCTTATTGTCATTTTTTTAGGACTCACCCAACCTAAAACAAGATTTGTTTAGAAGTTGGGTTAAAAAAAATTTTTTTAAAAGAAAAATTCTTAAGTATTTGTATACTCGAATTTTTGAAGTAAAATAAAATTATTATTATTATAAACTATTTGTATCCAACCTTCCCAAACAACGGTAAAGCACACTTGTCCCCAGTATCGGCTCTTCCTTTTTTTTTTTTTTTTTGGTAGATATTATATGAATTAAACTATTTGAGCAAACAGAAGTGCTTGAAAATTTAATATAGTGTTCAATATAAATTGTACTTATAGTAGTAAAAAAAAAAAAATAGTCCGAGGGAGCGATGGCTTGGGTCTCTGGGTACATCCAAAATGCATTTGTTTTTCCTTGTTTAGATAAAAGAGGAAAAAAATACATAACTTTTTTTTCTACATACTGGTTTGAATTCGGAACCCCTAGGATGATAATAAGTATAAACAAACATAGAGTTTTTTAATATAACATATACTATCCGCATAATATCAGAACTTCAAAAAGCTATAATTTCGAAACTTAGTCCGCTTAATTCTGACTTCACCATCGTTCTTAAATCAGCAATATACATATGTTCAACAAAAAAAAAAAATTTTGAAAAATTAGATTTATCAGGAACAAATCTAATTTTTTTTAATAATTCCACATCATTTTTTACTCAACGATTTTCGTCAAAATTTGATATTCAAATTCCTTTATAAAAATTATAAATACTACATTAAACTTAATTTTTTTTACTACAAAGTAAGACTCTTAATGAACCTCCAGTTAAATTATTTAGGTAAAAAAGGAAAAAAATTCAAACGTTGTTTTTGAAACACCGATTCGAACTCGCGAACTCTAGGATGAATCTAGGTGTGTATAACCATCGAGCTGCGATAAACATACTTTAGAGAAGACAATATTTAGTTATTTAATATAACATATAATATCAGAACTTTAAAAAGCTATAATTTCGAAACTCAGTCAGTCCGCTCAATTCTGACTTCACCATCATTCTTAAATTCTTTATCTATTGAGTATTTGAAGAATAGTAAAAATATTATTATTTTTTATTATTATTATTATTTAGACGGGCGGTTACCAAATTACAATATAAATTTATTTATAGTATACAAATATTACACAAAATTATAGTTGCTACAGTTTGAGAAAGTAATAATTTTAATACATATTGAACATAGTTCAGCATAGTTAAACAACAGATACTTATACATAGACAAAATATCGGCAAAAGAAAATTACAATCGAATATTGAATAATAAATTCATAAATTTCTAATATAGTGATTGTTTCACATTTAAATGATTATGACGCCAAACGTATTCCAAAAAACATTTGAAAATATTTATTAATGATTCATTATAATTTTAATGTATTTGTCTAAATATTTAATAATTAAAAATTTTATAATTTTTTTTTTCGAAATATTTTTCCCCTACCCCAAATTCTAGCGCACTGGGATAGTTGTCGAGTAAATAAATATGCCACTGGTTCAATGGTGCGTATGCCCAATATTTTATAACACAATATAAGTACCACTGATTTGTTCTTGATTATTAAGAAAAATACACGGAAAATCAAAACGAAAATCTCCTCAGTGAAATAACTAAACCTAAAATGACTACAAAAAAAAAGAAATAAGTTATCTTTCGATTAGAGCAAAATTTTTGGTAGAAAATGTTTACACAGAGAGAACAAAACATAAATAAATAAAAACAAAAATATCTTATTAAGCAATACATAATTAATCTCCTAGGTATACATTTTTTTTTTTAACGTCAATACTATAAGCTATTAATATTTTAAATAAACATGAACTTTATTAAAAACAAATAAATAAAAATAATTTAATATCGTAGAATATTTACCAAATTATATGCTTCGTTAATATCAATAATTTAGAGCTGCTGTACTATTAGAACACTTGCGGTAGAATGAATATCTACACTTCAACTGAATGAACACCACACTGACTGAGACAACGGTAAATGTTTTGTTGGCCGCCTTCTACTACAGCGCGCGTGATCACGTTTTCATGCAATGTGATGTCTCACAGTCACCAGTGCAGGCGCAGGTAATAATGTACGTCTACCTCTGAAACTAACAAATACAAACATTTTTAATAACGTATATTATATCATAAAGAGGGTCTAGTGTTATATAAATGCTATAATAACTGTCAATAGTCGTTTTTTTTTTTTTTTTTTTATAATTGGGATTTGAAAGATACAACTGCAGAGAAAAATAAAATTTGTATTATCATCCCTCCATTACTAAGAAAAAATGATTTTATTTTTTCACTTTATAAAATTTTCAAAATAGCCAATTTGTAAAATATATTATTTTAGAAATTTTGATTTATTATACCTACATTCTATACCGATCAATAGTTTCTTAGTAATAGCCGTTTTACTATCTACATAAATGTGTAAAAAACGAGACTATAACACGTTAGTCGTATTACAAGGTAATTAGGGATACAAGAAAAATTAAAACGTCTATTACTAAGAGACTATTGATCGGACATAAATGTATGATGCATCGAAATTTTTAGAATATTTAATGTACCTATATAACAAAATTACTATCTGGAAAATTTTAAAAAGCGAAAAAATAAAGTTTATTTTGTCAGTAATTAAAGGATGAAAATGAAAATTTAATTTTTCTCTATATTTGCCCCCTTGACAAAAAACCGGAATGAAAAAAAAAGCTACCTATTGATAAAGTTATTAGCATTTATAATAGTGGATCAGTGACCACCTATCGTACGAAGTATGTCCGCATCTTTTTTTTTTTGTCTGTAAACAACTTTTCTGAAAGAAAATGTTGTCTATATAGTTTGTGAGTAATTAAGTCGTTGTTTGACTTAGCGTATAGTTTTCAAAATAATTGGGAACAACAAGGAAAAAACGTAGAAAAAACATTTACGAAAATAATGATTTTATTATTTTCAATTAGGTTTTTTTGTTGTTATTCAGTAAAAATTATATGGTGTGTTAAAATACAATCTATTCAACATTGAAAAATTAATATTAATAAAAATATAAAAAAATAATCATTATAATTTGCACTACTTATTCAAATAAGAATTATGTTGTGTATTACAATAATTTGAATATACAATAGTACAATAATTATTATTGGTACCACACAATTATGTCTTTTAAGAAATAACTTCAAGAAAAAGGTTTTATATGATAGATGTATACATTTATTATGTTTGCATAATTATTCATTTTTAAATTAGATACAGTAGAACTCAAGTTAATAGAATTAATAAATGTCAATATGTGAGTTCAGGTACTCACATATCAGTACAATTGTAATGTACTTACCTATCACATATTTACAATGTACTTTATGACAATAAATGAATAACAAACTTTAAAGGAACAAATAACACAGTTTTAAAAGAAAAGTAATTCAAAACTTAAAATATTATTTATTTCAAAGATTTCGAAAATAATATTTAAATCTCTTTCATTGTTAACAGTCTATTTAGGGAAGCTAAGTTTTTCTGCCTTCTTAACTGTAACAAATGAGTTATGTTTTAATCCTATTGTTTCTCATACCATTAAAAAGCTGAATTTAACACATCAAAATCTTCTGAAAAAGATGGCCCATATTCACCATTAATCGTATTTTCATTAGTTTTTGTTTATTTTAACAAACAATACAGAGGTTAGATAACAGTCTTCTAAGAGAATTACACATTTTGCTTACCTAATAATAAATAAAATAATCTTTATCTATATAAATATTAAATGTATACATATATATATATTTTTTAAAATAAAAATTGTATTTTATTCCTCTGAATAATTGCTGAACCAATTAGTATTCAGATAACTAGAATTTGACTGTAGGTACTATGTTTAGGTCCACTAGTTAAAAAATCCAGAACACTGTTAACCATAAATATATAAACTAAAATGTAAAACATACAAAATTCTCAGTTCTTGTGTCCTCGAGTTATTAATTTGACTATATTAATTTATAATAATTACAAATAGAAATATGCAAACAAAAAAGTCATCAAAGTTTCAATAAACTATATCAATCAGTTTATTATAATAAATAGTTTTATTCATTAATTTATCAAAAATGAATGATATGTTTTATTAAGACTGATATTTTAATGTGACAAACATATATCTAATATCAATCTAAATGTATATACATATATATAATTCAATTAAGTATTAATAATAATTTAAATACTTAAGTCTGATTATTAAATACCTACATATTATATGCATGCATTTATAAAACCCTAACCACAAAAATATTAGTGCTTAAAAATCTGTATATTCAAATTATTCACTATTGAATGCAGTATATGAACCCACTAAATTTCCTTCTTGATTGAAATTCAAACGTTGAAAATAATTTTAATTAACAAATTTTTAAAGTTAAAAAAAAATAGACACATGATAGTTTGATACAATTTATTTATTTTTTAATCTATCATTTTTAAATTTTGTTTTATTAATATTTTAATTTTACACAACTAGGTAAATATGTTACATAAAAAAAAAAAAAAAAAAAAATGGAATACACAAAAAACAATTCAACACGATTTTAATTTTTAATAAATGGTAAATGTAAAAATTACTTTACATAATATAATTCAATTAACTTACAAGCAGACAAAATGGAAACTGGTTTATTTTTAATTCTATCATTTTTTTTATGTCTATAAATTTACCTAATAAGTATTATTTTCTAAATAGAAAATTATTATTTTTAAGTATTCTAGTTTTAAACAACTAGATAAAAAAAATGTAATATGTACAATAGAGAAAAAATTACAGTTTATATGTAATATATAATTCAATTAATTTATAATTTAATGAAATAAATATGGATAATTAACACATATAGATTTTAATAATTATATATAAACATCTAACAGGTACCTAATATTATTTATTTAAATTTGTAAAAAAATATAAAAATATAATAATAATTCTATTTTAATGTATGTGTAATAAATATGAGGTATGAGTTATTTATCGATTTGCAGTTACATACTTACATACTAAGAAATATACTAAGAAAAATTATATAAAATATATTTTTTCCCCTACTAAATTGTTTATAGACCTTATATTTGGATAATATAGAAATAATCTTAGTACAATTTATTATACAAGATATTCATAGGGACCTTAATTATTGGTCCACTATGTTTTTGCGAGAATAATCATCTTCCTGAAATAGTTGTTTTATAATATCTTCAATCTGCATTTTAAAGTTTTCATAATCTAGGAACACAAAAAAAAAAAAAAACTATACTAAGTTTTATTTAAAATCCAATCATTTTACCTTTATCTATAAAATCATCAAAGTGCATTGATTCAAATAATTGGTCTTCAATATTATTATTATGATATTCTAAATAATGGTTTTCTTTTAGAGTAGTAGTTTCACAATCTCTAAAATGAAACAATATGAATTTACCAAGTATACTATAAGTTATGTTTGATATATGTACAGGATTTTTTTTATTAAATAACTCCTTAGTCAAACCAAATAAAATAGTATTGAATTAAACATGTGCAATATAATGTAGATTCAAATTATTAATTTTTAAAATGTTTTTAATTTGTGTATTAGGTATTTAATATAAAGGTTACATTGATTTTTAGTTTATATGTATTAATACTAAATTACATAAATATTTTAAAGCAGTAATTTAATATTTAAATTTTATTAATCAATTATCAAAATTATTGTAAGTTACCCAAATTACATTATGAGAATAAAATAGTCTGGTTTTTTATTTTTATATAATAAAATGCATAATAATACATTTTACTCAACAATTCTAACTACAAATTGCATTTAAGACTTAACTCTTTGTAATTAACTACTAAGGAATAATTACTAAAAAATATTGTAATATTTATTAGTTATTACTTTTTACTAAAGAGTAGATTTTAATGCAATAAAATAACTTTAATATAATATATTCTATACAATTTTTAAATATATTTGATTATATTTCTTACAAAATATGTATTAAAAACAACTGATACTGCTAATAGGTGTGCCATTATTGTAGAGGATAATTGGGAAGATAGGATACAATTATTTTATTTATATCTGTAAACAAAGATAGATGATTTGAATAAACAAATTCATAAATAAATCACAGTTTTGTTGAAAATGACTTTTTTCAATAAATATTTTACTAACAAATAAAATTCAAAATAATGAAACCATTATTTCCATACATTTTGCAATCTTTCTACATTTTTGGGGTTTTGATCAATTATTAAGAAAACTACACTATATACAAATCCCATTTATATATTGTAAAGGTAAAAAATAATTGGCTATTTTACTCTGCAACATTGATTATTAAAGTAAACAAATACACAAATGAATTAATAGTAGCCCTTTATTTATTAGTTGTTAGTTATTACAAATAACTTATTGTTAAGGTATAAATTATAATAATATATAAAAATTAATGACAATTTACCCCTAACTATAAGTCTATACAGTGTATTACTGTTAAACTTATACTCGGAAATCAAAATGATACCTTAAAATACCTGTTTGTAGATTCATATCTTGTAGATTCACACTTTAGTTCTTTTTATGGGCACATTTAACAAATATTGTATATGTGGATCCTCCTAGTAATGATCAAGATTTAAAAAACAAATTAGGAATAGCGTATAATAATTTGAGAGAAGACCAAATAAATGCTGCTACATCAAGAGAATTTTCAAACCATTTGAAATCATATTTGGAACACCAAGGTGGAAACTTTGAACATTTAATTTAATAAAACTATAGTTACAAATAAATAAATCTTAATTTTAAATTCATAGTGTGTACATTTTTATAATTTTCATTACCTTCAATTTATTTTGGAAGAATAAATGAAAAAAAAAGACTAAATTACAAAAACAAAAAAGTGATTATTTATGTCTTATATCGATCTACAAACAGATATTACAAAATACCAGAGATATCATTTTGATTTTCGAGTATAAGTTGAACAGTTGACAATTTCGTCAATAACAGATTAGTTCTAAATATTAATTTTCAACATACTATAACTTTACCAATTTGTAATAAGAGAAAAACATTTTATATAAAAATTGTTTAAAAAAAAAATACTCTATTGGAATTTGTAGAAAATAATGGTGCTGCCGTTTTTGAAAAAAAGTAAGTTGCATTGCACATGTGCATACCAAAAGGGTTACGAATTAAAAATTTTCTGAATATGTGTATTTGGGTACTCCCTATAATTGCCCGAAAATTTCATATCAATACTAGCTCATCCAAATGAAATATTTAGTAGTACCTCTTAGCGTGCACTGTATATTGTATTAAGGATTAGTTTTAAAATAATAATTTATTTAAAACAAATAATGATTTTGGAGAAATATTCCTGAAATAAATTAATGATTATTTTTAAGAAAATAATGTAAAATAAAAATTCTTACATAAAATGATCCATTTTATTCTGTACAAATTTTTCAGCATTGTTTGGTAATAAATATTTGTTAGGTTTTTCATTGGTTTGTACCATTCCCAATACAATTTTATAATTGAACTGTAATAGTGGCATGGGTTTTTTTAATTGATTACGTATTAAATTTTTATTTTTTGGTAATTTGTTTTGTGGTATCATTCCTTTCTGGTTTATTAATTGTTTGTGATTTTTAAGATTCTTTAATGAAATACATGATCTATTAATATTGTTTTGTTTGAATTTGTAAATAGACCATTTATATGATTCAGATGTGTTTAATTCCGAAAATTCCGTATTCAATTTTTGCATTTTGTTTAGTCTAATCTTTGAAGACTGGTGTTGCATAACTGATTTCTGTAAAAATAAAATAGTTATAGAATATTTAATTTCAAGTATCCTTATAAATTCATATTGACTAATAACTAACAGGTACTTTATTTAATTCCAAATTTAACAATTCAATTTCAACATCAATAGGAGGACCTTATTAGTTATGTTAAAGAATAATGAAATAACTTAAATTATTTAAAATTTTACTTAGTAATAATACTTAATATTAAGTATTATTACTCACGAGATTAATAAATAATATTAATAAAAAGATGGGCATATTGCAAACAGTGGGCTACTGTTGTAGGTAAGAAGTTAGGAAAATAGGGTATAGAGGGGAATTTAATGTGTAATCTGTACACAGCGTTTAATCATTGCTAATGAAAAACGATTCTGTGAAGGAAGTTCAGTGTACATGTTTTGAAAGGCCATAATATTTACAATTATAGTGAACATCTGATATTAAAATTCTTATAAAAAAAAAGAAAATACTACATTAAATTCAACTTGCTCTTGATCACCACTAACAATTTTCTCCAATGAGTATCTAGGTACCGAATAAATATTACATAAAACACTTGATTAAAATATCTATAAATTGATCAAAAATGTAAACACATGTAGAAAAATCAAATCTAAATATTTTGTCAAATTTAAAGTCTACAAATATTTTGAACTGAATTAGAATAAAAACCAAAAGCAATATAATTAACATTAAAAACTAATTATATTAATTATTGGAGTTTTAAAAAAAAAATTCTAACATTATGAAATCTTGATTTTGATTAGATATTACTGACTATAAAAAAATTATATATTTAAATATTTGTTTGTTTTTTTTTTACCAGTTTTCCATAAAAATCACTAGAGTTTTTCTTAAATATTTGCAATAAATTTTCATCATCTATTGTGTGATAAACCTTTTTTTCTGTTAAATTTTTGGTTTTTTCAGCTTTTTTCAAATTAGCATTTTCTATTTGCTTTTTGTCCACATTATTTATATGATCAAAATTTGTTATTTTAATATTTTTCTTTAAACAAACAGGTAAATAATCCATAGAACTTATACTGCAATCCGTATCATAATCATCATTTTCATCAGATTCAAGACACAGACTGTAATTCTTCACGGACATATTTTTATTTAAATGTGCATCATTTTTGGTTGGTTCTAAAGTAACTACAATAAAAAAAAATTATAACATTAGAGGATTAGTGAAGGTGTATATTTTAGTAAATTTAGATCAGAAATCAAGATAAAACTGTAGGAATTGATTTTGACACATTTTCTTTTTGAAACTGGATTATGATTCTTTAGATTCTGTACGAAACTATGTTTGAAATAGAAATTTAATAATTTTTTACTGGGAACTGTAAATAAATTTGGTTGCAGTTTTTAACATTTTTTAAAAATATACTTATATATATTTTATCTTTTATTTATAATAAAGATAATTTAATATCAAAAATAATTCCAACATATCCCAGTATCCTTAAGAGTCTAGTGAATCATAATAATATGTTTTCAATATTTAAATCAGTCAAACATAATTCCTACAATTTGATTTATTTAATTTAAATTCTTACAGTGTCCAATTTATAATATATTAATAATAGTAATAACAACACAGCTTGTAACAAAGTAATGTTAATAATTTTTAAATTATAAGTGTACAATAATAAGTTCAATGATAAAAAAAAAAATGGAACAAATTATTTTAATAAATTACATAAATTATTAATTACTCAATTATTTCCAGAAGACAATTTTTTCTTTTGTTGTGTTTTTTACCTGTTAGTCTGTGACATATTTATCATTTTATTATTTTAGCACCCCCCTCCCTCAATTTAGTGGTCTAATTGCGCCTATGTCAATAGATAAAAATAATAATACACTTTAATGTGTAGGTTAACATTCTAAGATACCTAATGCAATACATTTTTCAATAGATATTTAAAAATATTTACTAGAAAATGAAACAGTGCAAGTAAAATCGTTCACATTAGAAATAATGCACACTCACAGACAATCAAATAAATAACAGAATCCTGATTAAATTTTAAAATACGAAAGTCAATTTAGGTGAATATTAAAAGCATATTATGTTCAGCCAGACATGTACAGAGAAACAATTTCTCGAAATTGGGGGTTAAACTCCTAACTTCCTACACGTACACACGTCGGTGTTCAGATCCCACGATTCAAAAATCGTTCTGAGGCCACGATTTTAGAGTCTATATACCGATTAATATGATAATTAAATGTACAATATTAAATGTTCGCGGTGAAATGTCTAGCGGTGAAACGGCATGGTGACAAGTTGGTCATTGAAGATCGCCCGGTGGCAACGGTGTGTCTTAGATTTTCTTTATTTGTTTTACACAAGTACAACATAGGAATTTAGAGGTGTTCTATTTCCAACGTACCGATTAATTTAATGAAGCAATAATAATACTGAAAACAGATTTAAATTCGTCGACAAGTCTACTTGAAATCTACTTACCAACGCTTTTGATTTTAACGTTTCCCAAAATTAAAAAATTCAATTATTTTCAATAGATACTCTATATAGTATGATTTTTTAGTATTTGGGGGGATAAAATTACAACGGTGGAAAAATCGATTTCAAGTAAACTTAACGGCAAATTCAAATCTGTCTTCAGAATTTTTATCGCTTCACTAGACCAGTCGGTATGGTAGAAATAGAACACGTCTTAATTTCTATGTTGCACATGTGTAAGATAAAGACAGAAAATCACCGCTCCAATTCCCTTAACTCTATTTTCACCTTTTGACCATTATACTACGACTACCTCGTATTATCTTAAACGATAGTATTTACTACCGATTTTTAAACGGTAGGTAACCGTTAGTCACCGCCTCTCGGAAAAAATCGGATTTTTAATTTTTTTTTTTTTTTTTTTTATAAAGTTTGGTTTTTGACTGAAAATATTGAACAATTTGACATCTAATTCTATTAGTTATAGAGTTAAAACGCAAGATAATAATTGCTCCGACAAAAGATTACATATGTTACCTACCTTCAAATAATATACAATAACAGTACAAACAGGTAACAGGTATTGACCTATTTTATTTTATTAGATAATAAATAGTAACTATTCAAAAAGGAAAAAGGTTTAATGAGCGCCTACTTTGTCAAGATTTTAGATTCATGACAAAAAAAAAAAAAAAAACGTCTTTAGATAAAAAAATGTCACACATAAACTATAAAATCTATAATTATGGATGTACCTATTCCTATAAGTAGTTTTTCTTTTTATAGTTATAACTGACCGGTGGCCAAAACAACATTGTAGTCTGAACCATTTAATCTATATAATAGGCTTAAAAAATGTACTTATTTCGAAATAAAAGACAACAATTAAACTTTCTTAGTTTTTTTTTAAATTATTTATAATTTATAACAGAATCAAAAAATTACCTCCTCAATACACACACTAGTTAAAATTTGACACCCGAAATTACCACTCTGATGTTGATGATCAGAGCAAGATTTCAGACGTAGAGAAGTTATTTACAGACAAAAAAACTTTCATGTTCTTGCTAGAATCTAAAAATAAAAATAATACTTACTCATATTACCGCCGTGCAGAAATACAATAGTTGCTCGTTAGAAAAATAAACAAGTATTATAAAGAATAAAATAGGAACAGTTTATATTAGAAGCAGATATCCGAATAAAATAAAAACACAAAACGTACACCAATAACAGTCATCTGCTACCCGTCACATACCACACACCTTTGCTTTACTGTGAAGTACAGTGTAGCATGCGGAAGAAATAAATACTCCACTCTTTTGTTAGTATGTAAATAACATAGAATAGAATATTATTCACAGACATAATATTATAAGCTATTATAATCTACGATATTATCATGATTAATATACCGAGATGGTTAGACAGGGTAAAGAAGGATATTTTAAATACTGACAACTCAAAACGATTAGATGACGCAATGGACCGGAATGGATGGAGAAACTTGGTGGAAGCATGCAAAAGGTCTTAAAGGCCTGTATAGCATAATAATAAAAAAAAATATACCGCGTTATTAATCAAAATTCAAAACGTTGATTTAACCATAGACTTATAAATTGTATTTAACGCACGACCGGACGCCACTTATACTAATACTATAGATAGTCAACTTCCATATTATTACTGTCACCAATAAAATGGCTGCCATTCTTATTTATTAGAGGTGAATTTATTTTATATTGTATACTATTGATAAGGAACGATTTTAATTATACATTACGATCAGGATTTAAGATATTTTTTAATCGTGGTATTCATAGACATCATTGTTTTATCTACCTTGCTTACCACCGAAGTTTATGTTCGATGACATGATAAAGGTTACCTATACGCGCAGTCCATCATGTCTATGTAATCATAGGTATACTAGAGTTAAAGTGAAATATATCATGGTCTATGATAATAATCATAGATTTATTATCTATGGTTATAATATATACAGTTAAAGTTGTTATACAAAGTGTACCAGAAAATACTGGCCAACAATACTGTTTGTTACTCTATATGTGGCTATTTAAGAAAAGGTGTTTAGGAATTTTTTTTTTTATTGTCAAAACTTTGGTATTTCCGGTTTTATTATTAATTAAGATTATTAGATAATAAACAAATTATTTAAAGTAACTGTTCATCGTGACTTCCGTTAACTTCAATACATTTTAGAAGTCGTTGATGGAATGACCTCCAAATATTTTCGATGAAACACAAAATGTCATAATCCTATTGACATTAATGACATTAATCCTACAAAATTTCCATCATCAACTATGTAGTAAAGTAAAACTTCCATGTAACGGTCACCGGAGGAACCGGAAATAATGACCGCTATTTAGAAGTGACCTTTAGAGGTTTAACACTTGATGGGATTAAAAAAAAAGACCGTTACACAAACGGCGACCGTCTTTTAGAGGTAACCGTTAACGGAAGTTTTACTTTAATAGTATTCAATATTAAATCTGTGTATACTACTTTATCATTGTTATTATTGATAATTATTTTTTCGTATTAATTATGGTATTAAGCAGAGGGGCTGTGACAAATGTAATTTCCATTCGGCATATTATAACTAATAATACCTAAAATTTTGATATTTTAGATTCTGAGCATAGCGAGGGAGCTATTGACTTTACTAAGATGTTTATTTTTTTTTCTCCTGTGGATACGTATTTTCATAGTTAACTTTAGTTCGCATTATTTGTAATATTATGCCTACTACTCCTTATATTAATTATAAAATGTACAATGTTTTATACTAAATTACCAAAACTAGTGGGTATACCATACCCACCCCTTAAATTAGGTGTGGCAACCATCACATCTAATATATAGATTTTACTTTTTCATGTCATAAAAAAAAGCTGTCCTAGGATAAAGAGGACGGGTGCAGCCACTATTGTAGATGAGAAATTGGGAAGGTAGGATGTAGATGGGAAATTAATGTATATCTGTATGTAAAAATTAATCTTTGTTAATGAAAAAGGATTCTGAGCGGAGTTCAATTATACAAAGTTAAGTTCAGTTTTGAAAGGCCATAATATTTAAGATTTGGAAATAATACATTTCATACATTTTCCAGTTTTTCAAATTTATTATGAAAACCTTTGGGAAAATAAAAAAAAGAGATTTAAGTACCGTCCCAGGGAAATTTTCTTTAATAAAAGCAGCTATACTTAATACCAAGTAATTAAAACCTGTGAGAAAAAAAAAATTAAAAATAAAATATCATTGTAAAACCAATACATTCTTCTCTCCACTCAGAATATAAAACAGATTAGACAGAAATGCTTGAAAATTTAACAGGAGATTTATTATAACTTATTATTTCTTACTCGTTATAACTTCATTATATACTTAGTGATTAACAAGAACTATTGAAGAGTTTAATGAGTATTTATTTTATAATAAGAATTTTAATATCAAATGTTAAATGTCCATTATGAGCCTTTAAAGTTTTAAATTATAATAATAAAAAAAATATATACATTGAATAATTGTTTTTTATTTATTTAAGATAATAACTAAAATATTATATATAAAATAAAATAGTTCCTGATTTTTATTATTACTTTACTTATACTAAAATACATTTTCTGTTCCCTGCAACACAGTTTCCAAATCGATACATTCAATTTTAAAATTCTATTAATACATACATGATATTATAAATATTATATTATTTTCTATTTCATAATACAATTGATATTTAAATTAACAAAAATAAACAATTTTGTTTTTAAAATACATTGTCAACATTAAAAACCTCAAAGATACATTTAATTTATAAATTATAATATTTTATATTTGTTTTTCTCTTTTTAATAGTAAATTTTCAAATTGGATAAAATGTATCTCTTTAGGAAATATAATACATTTACCAATTTTAAAATAATAACATTATAAAAATTGCCAAAACAAAAATAAAAAAAAACAAAACAAAGACAAGTAATATTATATTTATCTTAACTACAATTGTTAAGTTATGAAACATTATAATAAAATTTATTCTATTACATTTAATGTATCTGACCAAACAATTAAAATTTTTAAGCCAACTAATTTTCCTATTATCATTGATATGCAATTATGTAAAATTAAAAAATTAATTGTGAATCAGAATAATAGTTTTTTTTTAAATATTTACAAGTGTAAATAGCACATGTTATTAAACTCAGTTTTTTTTATAATTAAGGCATCCTTCAAATTTAAACTTGTAAAAAAATATTATACTCTAAACAATCATTGATCTTTTGTAGATAAATACAACTCAATTTATATAATTTTAATAAAATAAAAAACACATTTTATTATACTAATAATACAATTGTGATGAATTAAATATTTTTATAATAGTAATACGTTTATGATAAGGGTTAACAATGGTTTATTCATGAATAAAAATAGAACTTTGAAAGTTTCTAAACATAATAATTTAAACATTAAATTTCCATAATATATTTTAATATTTAAATAATAATTAATAATGGTAATAATCATATTTTGATACATTATAATAATTATTAAAATTATAATTTACTTCATATTATATGGTATCAGATTTTATTATTACAACTTGTACTTAATCACATTAATTTTTAACTATAATACTGTGCATATAAAAATAACATTTATCATGGATATTTATTAATTAAAAATAATTGGTAATACTAGAAATGATTGAAAATAAAACAAATTATAATGTAACATTATATCAACAAAGGAACATAATCCTTTTTATTATTGGACAAGTATGTATGAATTTTTTTTATAATTTATTATTACTTATTATAGTTGAATCATGTATAATATATATTTTTAAAAAAATAATGAAAATTTGAATCTATGAAAATAAACATCTTTATTATGTTCACAAACTTTAATAAAAATAATATTATTCATTTATTAATTGATTTAGAGTAAACAATGTAACAATGTTACAATTATTTAATTTCTAAACATGACAAATGTATTTCAATAATAAATAAAAGATATATATAATAAAATATAATTCAATATTAATTTAAAACTATATAACATTGTTTTCTTTTTTCTAGGAGAACAAAATTAAATAATTGGTAGTGGAATGTATAATATAATTTACTTATTAAATGAAATATAAGAAGAATAAAATGATAATAACTTATTCACATTTGCTTTTTACAGTTACCATAATTTGGTTTGTTTGGTGAATTAAATATAAGGCACTAATAAATACTGCATTGGCACTAAAACAAAATACAAAATTCCAGTTATTATTTGAACAATAATAATTATTATTTTACATAAGTCTATTATAAATAAATAAAAAATTGATTTATGGGAAACTGAGTTTATGAATTAAACATTATGTACATTATTTAAATAAGTAGGAAATAATAGACAATTTAATTAATAACTTCTCCTGGAAATTTGGTCCATCAACAGTCTTATAGGTACATGATTATGAAAATATTTAAAAAGCAAAATTTACTGCTGAGCATTTGACATTTTTGAATTTAAGGTTATTAAAATAAATTTCTTACATATTAATTAAAATATTGAAAATCTACTTACTGTCCTTCTTTGAAGTAATCTTTAAGTGTATTACTGAATCGCTTAGAATACTTTACAAACTCCCGCTTTCTCTGTTCCAATGCTTGTTTATTACTAGGTCCAGGAATATAAGCGGATACTTCATTTACAGCATCCAGTAATTTTTTTATTGCACTAGCAATTTCTCTACAATTTGAATGAATCAAATGTATTTATTAATTACAAATATTAACAAATTTGAGAGAAATATGTTATTCAATGAAATCAGATTTTTATAAATATTAACATTGATATAAATTAAAAGTAATTTCTTAGCATATATATTGATAAAAATTAAAATAAACAATTATATTAATTAAAAATGCATAATAATTTATCTAGTTGTCTACACTAGTAACTAGATCAATTTAAAATGTAGAATATTAAATATTCATTTTTTTTAATTTGAATTAAATCACCTGAATAATTATGAATTATAGATATATTTTATTTTATTTCAAATTCTTAATATATTCCATAGCTTACTTAATTGTTTCCAAAAATGTTTTGCGATCATTAATTTCATCAGGTATGCGACTTAATATTCTTTTTAAAGCCATTGATTTTTTATTTAATTCTTGAAATGCATCTTCAGATCTGTTTAATCGATATTCACCACCTTCATAATATGGACATAGAATTTTTAAATGTTTTTATATTTGTAATCAAAATTAAAATAGAATAAAGGAAGGTAACCTCTACATATCATATTAATTGTGTTTAAAAATAATAATTTGTTATTATTATTTTATAAATAATATTAAACTTCTAATAAGTAAGTAACTACTAATTAATATTAAAATTATAAAATGACTAGAATATTAAATTGTCATTAATACAAAATTTGAATAATGTTTATTATTATTAAGGGTTTCAGCCCCTCCCCCCCCTTGAAATTTATAGTTGAGACGACCCACAGTGAATTAATTTAATCTATGTATAAAGTAAAACATATTTCACCATATAAAAGTGTGTATGTGTGTAGAATTATTATAATTAATATTATTTTTCTGAGAATTCTGACTAGAGTTTTAATAATTGTAATATTAAAAAAAAGAGCTTACATAAGGTTTTTCATTTATATCTGTAAGCAATGATAATACATTGCTTGACAAGAGGATTCTAAACACAGTTCAGTAACACTTGATTTGAAGTGCCGTAAGTTTTTTGCGATTTTTGATAAATTAAATTTAAAAAAAAAAGTTGTCTGATGATTTTACCAAGTTTAGGTAAGTCCAATATAAGTATTATTACCAAATTTTAAGTCTTTAGATGTATTTGTAACCGAATTACAGCAAAAAAACTCTCAATAATTAAAATTTCTTATAGTAGCTCAAAAGTTTTGTTTTATGTACCAGGGATTCCAAACATGAAATTATATCTTGCTATTTTTTGTATATTTGAAGTATTTTAGATTTCTAGTGCTAATTTTTGCTAATATGATTTATTTTGTATTTTTCATAAATAGTAGACAAAATCTGTCATTTATGTAAATCCATAAGAAAATTACCTATATTTTAATTTCATATTATAATTTATTTTTAATTAGCCCCATGTATTGAGACATCAAACATATCCTACATATTTGATGACTATTGACATCAATTGTATATTTAAAAAAATTAAAAATTGAAAATAAATACATTTTCTTTTTTATCATTTGTTATGATTTCATGGCATACTTTTGCTGATATAGCTTTATTAATTTTATTCTACCATTCTACAATTTGTTATAATTATCATTATCATTAACTTGTTTTCTATTTTATATTTGCCATAAGAATAAAGAAATAAATAGTATACTATAACTTATATTATAGTGCATATTTAATTTATTTTTATTGCTTGAAAATCTGATCCCTGATAATATTTTTTAGTTAAATTATTATTTGATCAAAACATATTATAACTAGGTCATTTTTTTTACATAGAAAAACAATGTAAGCAATGTCAATAAGCATTTATTATAAGTAATGAGCATGTAAGCAATTGTATTTTTAATTTTTTGGTATCTCATTTGTATACATTAAATTAGGCCAATTGACTTACTCTTAAACTATACATTTTTAGGTTCTTAGCAGAGTGAGAAATGTATTGTTTTAAAATGTTTTATTTTTAATTCTTAAATATTACTGCTTTTCAAAACATTTATAACTTAACTCCATTCAGAATAGTTTTTCATTAGCAACGATTAATCTTTACATACACATGGTTACTAAATTTTTACCTTTACCTTCTCAACTTCCACTTACAATAATGGTCCAACCATTGGGCGAAGTATATCTATTTGTTATTTTTTAAACAATGGTATAATTTTCTGGAGTTTATTTTTGTGAACAACAGCAACCAGTTCATCAATTAATTTAGAAGTATTAAAAAAAGGGTGTCCTAGGATAATGGGGGCAGGTGCAATCACTGTTATAGGTAATTTATACATGTGTTTATGTAAACCTGTGAGAAGGGATAAACCATTGTCACAGAAAAACATATTCTAAGCAGAGTTCATTTGATTGTGTAGTTGATTTGTCAACAATATAAATGGTATGTTATGGTAAAATAATTAAATGGGCATTATATTTTTTCTTTAATAAATATTTGTTTAATATTTTATTGATTTTCCAGGTTTTTCATATTTGTTGAGAAAACTCCTAGAAAAATCATTGTAAATAGGAGCAAAATTGCTCGTAGAAAAGTTGTTCACAGGAAAAAAGAATATAATTATAATTATACTATTGATTACAAATTGTTTATCAGTAGTATCTATTGAGGTAATCATGCATTGTTATTGAATATTTCTTTTCCTTTTTTATTTTTATTTTTAAACCTAATAGTTGTTTCAATGATAAACAAAGTCTTCAAGGTGTTTGACAATTATTAAAAATACCTATCTTTTAAATATATTTATTTAATTATTAGCAATTTCATATAAAAAGAATGTATGGTAGGTAAAAAATTAAAAATATTATGAACTTAAAATATTTCTTTACATTTGTTTAATACATTTTAAAATTAAGAAGCCGAAATATGGATTTAAACTACATGGTCCACAGATTAACAACAAAGCCTTCCCCCTAATTACCTTGACAAATACAAAATTTTAAAAACCTGGTAAGATCCTAAATAGTACAAAAAAAAAATGAAATGTAAAGCAGCATACTGTTCAAAAACAAATTAAATATAGTGTTTAGTTATGTTTGATATAACAAATTGAAACTACAAATTTAAAATTATTAATCTGTTTTATAACTACTTAGTTTTTATCTATAATTTATATCCTTTAATATGTAATTAGTATTGATTTCATTAATATGAACTTATTTAAGTCTATAATAAAATAATTAATATCTATTATTAAGCAGTAATAAAATCATACCTTCTAGATCGGATACTGTTCCTTGAAGTCTCAATACACTCTCATTCATATTAATACTAATATCACCTTGTTTCATTATACCAGCAACCAAATGGTATGCAAACCCTGGATGAGTATTTTCTGTTTTAAACAGCGCTGACCGTAAAGTTTGAGAAGCCGAAACATTACGTTTTTCCAACTGAAAATTTTAAAATTATTGAGAAGTTTATTTTATTTTATTCCAACCAACAATAAGCATTATTTCAAAAAAACAAGCAAAAATCAAATAAAAAGTAATATTAAGTATAAATAAAAATTACATAATATGTAGTATAACATACAAATAGGGAATAAAATCCTAAGGAGAAAAACAAACAAATATAATATGTATATAATAATAGTTGGGATAATAGTAATACTGTTAAATTGACAACTTAAAAAAATGTGAAAATTTGATTTGATTAAAGTAAAAATAATTATAGTAACATTCTAGAGACTTATGATCAGTATAAGTTTGTTTAAGTTTTATAAATTTACAAAACTGGTCTGTTACTTTTTCTATCATATGAATATAGGGTTCCATATAATATTGAAATATTCTAGGTGAGAACATATTAATGAAGTATATTGTATTTTAACTGTAGTAAAATTTAAATATGTATACTGTTTTCAAAATAAGAACCGATCTGTATGTGCCCATGTTTCTATTAATTTAAATTAGTAATAACCAATCACAGACCATCTGGCACTGTCTGAATGCATGGTGTGTTTTTATACTGAAAATAGTATAGTGTGTCATTTTACAAAACTTGACATTCATTTAGCTTTTTTTATGATATAACTGTGTTCCTTGAAATATCATTATTCTTCTAAGATATGATTTAAGATATATAGGTTGAGTATTAAACTTCCATAATATTACTGGTGAACTATCTGAAAAAGCTGGTACAGGTACTTATACTTTTACTAACAGGCCACTGTCTATGCTGATAACTGATAATAATCAATTTCATGATGCAAAATATTAATTTAATTTGTTTTTTATGGAAAATTGAATTTTTTTTATTCAATTTCATAAAACCTACCTAATCAAATAGAAAAAAAAATGTTTATTTATAACCACATTGCTGAATTTGTATGTGTGGAAAATAATAACAAAATATAAAGAATCGGTGCTATATGTCTTAAACCTTTAATGCACTATGATATTATAGTGGAATCACATATTTTAGATTCTGAGTGAAGCAAAGAATGTATTGGTTTTACTAAGATTTTTTTTTTTTATATACTGTATATAAAAATTTGATTAGAAATCTTGCTCAGATATTGACGCATGGCACCATTTCTGAAAGGAAATATTGTCCAGAAGGTACTTATAGGAAGTCATTTTTGGATTTTCCAAGTGGTTTTCATAATATCTAGGAAAAACCAGGATAAAACGTAAGAAATGTATGAAAATAATGCTTTTATTATTTTATCAATTTTGTTATTTGTTGTAATTCAGTTAAAAATATTCGTATATCGAATTAATGGACTTGAAATTCGGACAAAAAATTTATATTTGCCTTTTCTAGACGTAGTAAAATTTTCAAAAAATTTAAGCAATTTTTGAACTGCTTTTTATGGACATTTTAGTTTTGTGAGTTTTGTTTGTAATTTTTATTCGGTAGGTACTCTGTGGTAAAATTGTTAGATTAAACAGAAATGTTTAAAAATTTAACAGTAGGTTTATTAAAAGTCTTACTTTGTAGTGAAAAAAAAAATTGAGTTTATTGTAGTATTTGTATTTATAAAGGGATTTTGATATTAAATTTTGACGAAAATCGTTTGAGTAAAAAATTATGTGGAACAAATCTAATTTTTTAAATTTAATTTTTCGAACCTATGTGTTATGCCGATTTAAGAAGGATGAAGTCAGAATTGAAGAAACTGACTAAATTTCGAAATTATAACTTTTTGATGTTCAGATATTACATGTTTATGTTTAATAACTCTATAGTGTATGCTTCACTATACATTTGTTGTAGTCAAATGGTCATGAGTAGGGCACGGATTTAAAAGCACTTAAAATCCGCAAAAAAGCGTTTAAAAATGTCTTAAAAGCTCTGAAAATTACTAAAATAATATTTAAAAGAGCAATAAAGATAGAGGAGTTTAAAAGTTTCTCCTTCTATGATTTCTAACTTATTAGAAATAATATTTTAACATTAAAAAAATGTTTATGATAAAGTAATTTTTTTCTAATAAATGTGTGCATATTATAAGCAATAAAATGTTGTGTTAATCATGTGTTAGGGTTAGAAAAATTTATTGAATGGGATAGGAACCGTCACAGTAAGGACTTTAAAACTCGTCTACCACTTTTGCTTTTTTATGCATTTTAAGTGCATTTAAATCTGTGCCCTAGTCATGTGTATGTATTGTCATACTAAGGGTTATGGGTTTAAAAGAGTTTTGAAAAGAGTGAGTGAATAATACAATTTTTCCAGTTCTCCAAATGTGCATCTCTAAATCAGTAGTATCTCGGTGGAAAACAGGAAAATCGATAATTCACTTATGGGACATTGGTCAGTAAAACAAGGAAAATATATGTAATTGGCATTTTTTTTATCAGACTTCAACCTAAGTTGTCTATATTAGAACTATTTTTTTTTAAGTTACTCATATTCATAATTAATAAAAATATATTATAATAGCATTATTACCTGTGATAAAATTGGTCTGATTAATACTGGAAGAACTAAAGAACTGACAGGCGTTTCGTCGCTCATTTTCATTATTTAGCAACAGAATTATATAACAATGAAATTACAATATCACTAACATTAGATTAATGCATAAACAAGAGGTAACTGTCAAATTATAATAGTTCAATCTTTAAAATCTGTAATCAATAAAAAAATTATAAATCAAAATTCAATAATTCAGTTATTTAATTAACGAAATTAACAACAATAGGTACTTACATTAAATAATTGTATACAAACACATTTTAACATTATCGTTACATATCACAAACGTTAATCAACAAAAGTGGAAGCTGAATATGAAAGAAATACTGAAAAATAAAATACTATCAAAGGAATGTAGTATAGAGTGGCCTGCTGCTTTTATTGTATTAAAAAAAAAAAAAAAAAACAAATTAAAAAAACAAGTTGATAACGATAGTCGATAGGTAACGAAACGCCCAAACGAACGGTTCGGAATGAAACGTCAATTTAAAAATTATTTACGACAACGTAATAATTAGAAGGTGCGGTGACCGTGTCGCATTACTCATCAAAAAGTCGAAATGTCCGAAAATCAAGTTGTACGCCGTTTGCGCCCTTTTTTTCACAGGGACTCTAAATATGATTAGGTGAGCCAACAAAAATACGTTAAATAATTAAATTAATAAAAATTACAACTTTTTTTGTGGTACTGACAGTTTTGACAATTTTGTTTTTGTGTCGACATTAATTTTTTTTATGATTAGCTACTTACGTGTCCTCCCAGCCGTTGTTATCAATCAATGGCGAGGAGTTTTACTGATTAGATAAGTTTGTTGGTTATGTGTATAATAATGAGTTTATGTAAACATCTCGTTAGTAATGCTAAATGTAAAATTAATAATAATATGTTGATTGACAGAGAATAAATTTTTCTAGTTTTAAATGTAATAGAATATTATTCGTAATACGTTTTGACAAATGTGCGCGCACCTGTTAGTTTGGTCAACAATTATCATATAGTAATAATTCTCCCCGACCGGCCGATCGTGTAAAATTATTTTCGTAATACATCTAATAGAAAAAATAATGCTTTTCCTTTGACGTCAAACGCCTTGTTATATTAAGCGTTCATAATACCATTCATGTTTGTTGACGAAAGCGTGTGTTCGTTTAGAATCATGGGTAATTGGACTAGTTGTTGTTCGTACACTAGCCCGTTGTCCAGGCGCAAGGAGGCCAACGGTGCTTTGAACGAATTTGTGCAAGAGGGCGAGGAGAGCGTTGGCAATTTGCAACATATTAGCGAACGCGAGCACGATGATTGGAACACTGACCCGTCTGTACATCCTAAAGTCGCAACAATATTTCTGGAAAGGTCTAAAGTCGAAAGTGAGTTCAATATACCTACTTAATTAGGAATAAACCACCCTGCGTAGATATGTAATTTTCTATTAACATTAGATAGATATCTAATCTTATGCAAGGACAAGAGCAAAACATTGTTACTTAGGTAAAATTTATGAACAAATATTGAAAAATAATAAAAGAAATTTGTTTTCATATTTAATACTCCATTAAAAAATTATTTTTGTAAAATTTTAAATAATTTGTTGTTATACTTAAGGTAATAAATCAAAATACATTTTGAATATGTTTCAATGGCATAGGTACTAGATGACATACATTGTACATTTGCACCTTTATTGTGCCTCTGCACTGGTTTATGTGTATTATATTTGTAAAACAAATGTTTGATAATTCAATAAATCAATATGATATTGTAGGTGAAATAGGCAAAATATGTATTAAAATATGAACAATAAAAAAAAAAAAAAAATCGAAAATTTGTATCCATTAAAAACCATAAAATATGCATACATAAATTTAGATTTCTATAAAATTATTTATTTATTGTAAGTATATTGTGAAGTAGGTATTTTATATAATTATTCATAATAAAAACTAAATAGGTATACATTATTTTAATCATATTTTATTTAAACTTTAATTTAGTTCTTCATATTATGCTGAAAAAAACCAAACCTATTTTGTCTCATATAGTAATAAATTATTGGTAAATTGTATAGAATGGTCTTTTAAAAATTGTTTACATTGAATGCTTGAAACAGCCATATCTAAGTTTTTATAGGTACTTAAAAAAACGTCTTTTGTCATATTATGTGCATGTTATTGATGCGTGCGTGCAGCATATTAATAAAATGTTAAATCATTATCAAATATTCTGATAAAATGTTTTAAAATTATGTTCTATAAAATTTTGAATTACAATGGGTCAAAAATGGAATGCTTTTTCAGATCTTTTCTTGGATTTTTTCAATAACATAAAATGGTACCTAATTTAAGAGTTGAATAATTTCATATTTTAAAAAAAATTATTATTATATATTTCGGAATATATACATATTTGTTTTTAGAAAAATGAAACATATATGTTAATTATTTAATTACTTACATGTGTATATTATCTATATATAAACAATTTTAGAAAAATAACAAAAAATTCTCAATATAAACATTTTTGACTTAATACATTATACTTTATTATTATTATTATTTTATCATTATTAATGGTCAGTTTTGATTCTACTTTAGCTATATGAACTTAGTACATTAGTTTTCAAATTTATTCTATTAATTTTGTTGTAATATTAGAGCTAATACTGTTCTATAAGTGTAGGACTTTTTAAATTATTCTTTGTTTCAAGTTTGATAATTTTTAAGATGTCCAGGGACCTGTCTAGGTCACATGTCAGATCACAGTTTTACAAATTCAGGCCAAGAAAGGCCAATTTTAATCAACAATTATTAAAAATAGCAAAATTAATTATTTTTATAAAAAAAATACAAATCAGATTTGTGATGTTTTTGTATTATCACTATTGTAAGCGATTATTTGAGGAAGGCAAATAGGCAATTATCCTCTTTTGTTTTTTTGTATCAACTAATTGTAAGTAGTGGCTACGCTCCTTTTATAATATACAGGATAGTGTTAGTAAGTAGGAAAACTGGGGTGATAATATAAGATAGGTACAGGGTAATTTAGTCTATGAATTAAAACATCACATTAAGAATCTAAATTGAAATTTAATGTAACGTAGATACTATTTATAATGATACCAGTTGTAATGACTTTAAATTGAAGGTTCCGGCAAAACTCTTTATTATACATGCTGATTCACTCAATTGACAACACTCATTATCTCGGAATGTATTTATTTTTTTCAGATTTTTTTTTTACTTATGAAACAAATAGTTTTAAAGTAATAAATTATCTTTTTCTTTATCATCCTTATTTTTGGGAATGAAATTATTACACATTTTTGATTTTAAAATGGTGATCTATATGACTACTACATTATCCCTATTTAAACACCATGCCCCCACAAATGATATTCTGCTATTTTCCCTGTATGCAAACTTAAAAGTGGAATATTTCGTGATCCTGTTGACGAAAATCTATAATTTTAACACCAAAATTTATTTTAATTAATACTCTATTTAAGACATTTTGAACATAGATTGCCATTTTAAAATCAAAATTATTTAGGTAATAGAACTTGTATTTATTTCTTAAGTTTACAAAAAAAAAAAATTCAAAAATAGTTAATTCTTTTCGAGATAATGAATGTTCTACGATGCTTAATCAAGTTTTAGATTCTGAGTGTAAGGAAATATTAGTTTTACAATAATGTTTTGATGTTTGTTTATTATTCTTTTATAATTTTTTTTTTACACTGACAAAAATTTCTACCAGAAATCTTGATCCGATATTTTTGAAAAGAAAAATGTCTTAATAGTACTATAGGGAGGTCATTTTTCGATTTTCCAAGTGGTTTTCATAATATGTGGGAAAACCCTGGATAAAACGTAACCAAAACTAGACCATTTGGACAGAAAACTTATATTTACTTCTTCTAGACTTGGTAAAATTTTTAGAATTATTGAGCTATTTATAGATATTTTAATTTATGCGTTTTGTATGTAATTTTTATTTGGTAGATACTACTCTAAAGATAAAACTGTTAGAATTAACAGAAATACTTGAAAATTTAACAGGAGGTTCATAAAAAATCGTACTTTGTGATTAAAAAAAAAAAATTTGAACTTAATAAATGTATTTTTTTTTTTATAAAGAAATTTTATATCAAATTTTGACGAAAAATTATTTTAGTAAAATATTATGTGGAACAAATTAAATTACTGGTCCATTTAAATTTTAAAAATTTTTTTTTGTTTTTATTTTGAACATAGGATGTACATTGCTAATTTGTAGAGCGTTGGTGAAATCAGAATTGAGTGGACTGACTTAGTTTCAAAATCATAGTTTTTTGAAGTTTTGAATTTATGTGGATATTGTATGTTAAATTTCTGAATATTGTCAATTTTATAGTATGTCTATAGTAGTCTAATGGTGGTACTGGTACTTACCTGTTGTCATCCCTGAGATCGCAAGTTCAAACTAGAGTTTAGAAAATAATGTTTTGCAAAACCAAGTCAGGTAGGTAACAGGAAAAAAATAAATGCATTTTGACTGACCCAAGTTGTCATATTATGACATTGTTGAAAAAGCAATACTATATTAAGTCGGCTCTTAATTTTTTGTTAGTAATGATTATCTTTGCATACACATACATTAAATTCCTCTATATACTACCTGCCTACTTCTCATATACAATAATTATTTTTCTACGGTGGGAAGTATAACAGTCTTTTTAAATTGTATTTCATTGTTTTGGTTACATAATGACAATTGGTTATTATAAGTAATTTTAACTAGCCCCTTGAATGTTATTATTAATGATTTCTACTTTATATGCCACTATATATATATATATGTATGTATATTGTATAGTGTATACATTATTATAATAGTTAATGCCAAATAAATTTAAAGTTATATGTTTGTTATACTTAAAGGGTAAGTAGATATATTAAACAAAAAATTTGACATTATCCGCAAGATTATATTAATTAAATTAAAACATTGTTCAACTGCAAAACGTACCCAAAAGCATCCTTTTCAATTCAGTAGGAGCTAAACGATTAATAATGGTATCATGAAATACCAATATTCCATAATCTAGTTTCATAAACATGAATGTTTTCAATATGTTGTGAGAAATAGTTAATCTAAGTCTTGTTTTTATGGTTTTAAGTATGGAATAACTTCTTTCACAACTTACTCCAGTAAAAGGTAAATTTATTATAATCTTACATGTACAAAGTATTATAATTTTGTGTGTGGATCACTTATGTATATAAGCAAAGAAATGCACATTTTACATTATCTTCAAAATCTGTATCGTTTTCATTTTCTTCCTCAAAATTCTCTTCATTATAATCTTGATACAGAATATTTTTATCTATATTTGCTTTATCATTTTGAGTGAATTTCAGCATCTGACTACATCATAGGCTTAAGTGACATTTTTAGAGATTAAAGGCTAAAAGTATATGAGAAGACAGCAGAGCAATTAAGTCATATAAGTATTAAAGTATTGTGTACCCATTGTACTTATATTTTTGAATAAATGTTTGTTATAAATATGAAGTTAATTGAAGTAAATAAAATAATTTATATCATTTTTTGTCTAGATGGTTTGACAAGAAAACAGAGCCAATCCCAGGTTTGTTAATTATCCTTGTATATGTTTTTTAACTACTACTACTAATTTATCAATTAATCAAGTATTTAATTTATATATACTTATATATCTTATTAAGTTAATAATTAATATGCATTTAATTAAAAAGATTTTTAAGATTTTTCATTTTACAGATTGTAGACTTCAGATCTCTTAAAAAAAGTAGTTCATGTTCCACTATATATTTGGATGATAGTACAGTATCTCAACCAAACCTAAAAAATACAGTAAAATGTGTTGCACTTGCAATTTACTATCATATAAAAAATAGAACTTCTGAAAGACAAATTGAAATATTTGATGAAAAATTACATCCCTTAACTGTAAGTTTAAGGCTTATTTGTATTAATTGATGTATGTATTATATTTATATTTAATTTGTATCATTAGAAAGATATGGTACCTGATAATTATGACGTCCTTAGTCCAGAACACCGTCAAATATATAAATTTGTTCGAACATTATTTAATGCTGCACAATTAACTGCTGAATGTGCAATTATAACATTAGTTTATTTAGAAAGGTAAAAATATATATATATATATTTATTTATTATTATAGATAATTATATAATTAGTAAATTGTATTATTATTATTAAAAGTATTCTATTACAGGTAGTATTTAATTTGCTAGAGTATTTTACATAACAACACTGAATTGTCTGAATTTATTAGGTTAATTAAATAAAACTTCTTATTTGATTGCTCACATGTTAGATCTTTTTCTAAAAATATATTAATTTAACTTAATTCCATTAAAATATGAATTCCATTTGTATATATTTTAAATTTATTGTATTATAAATTAGACTGAATGTGTAAGATAGTTTTGTTGCCTTATTTCTCCCTCCCACCACAAAAATACTTTATAATGTTAAGTGTTAGATTTTTAGATTCTGAGTGTAGTGAAAAATATATTGGTTTCACTAAAATGATTATTATTTTTATTTTTTTTTATCCCATGTACAAATTTTTAACAGAAATCTTGTTCCAATATGTACACATGGTACCATTTCTAAAAGGAAATATGTCTTTAAGGTATTTTAGGGAGGTTATTTTTTATTTTCCAAACAGTTTTCATAATATCTGAGAAAAAATTTGATAAAACATAAGAAAGACAAAAAATATTTCAAGTCTGTGTATTTCTAACCAAATTAGAGCAAAAAAACTCCCAAAAATTAAAATTTCTTAAAAGCCCAAAAGTTTTGGCAATGATATCATAAGAAAGTAAATCAAAAAGACAACAAAAAAGGTATTTTGTAATTTTTCGATTAAATCATTTTTTAAGTATAAAACATCATCTATATTTTTTATAATATAATGAAGTTGTGAAATTGTATGTTTTCTCATTTAAGTGCTTTTTTTAAAAAAATGTTGTCGAAATCAAAAAATTACCTCTTTAGAGTACAATCTAAATAACTTTAGCTTTCAGAAAAGTTGCTACATTTAAAAATCGGAGCAAGTTGACTAGAAAAAAATGTGTCCACAGACTAGAAGAAAAAAAAATAAACATCTTAGTAAAATCAATAGTTCCTTCACTTCACTCAGAATCTAAAATTTAGATTTTATTATACAAATTGCCCTTTGTCTTGAAAATGAAAAAAATTATAAAATATCATTGGAACACCTTTTTAAACAAAAAAATGCGAAAAATGTAAATAGAAAACCATATAAGTCTACCTAAAATTTAAAAGAGAAAGTTATTTTATTTTCTTTAAATATATTATGTATTACATTTTATGTAAATGTTAGTTTTTCAAAAAATATATAGTTTTATCTCTTGGCTTTTTATCAAACTTAAGAATAGATTTAACATCAACTATTTTGGGTAAGATTATAATTAGAGATGACTATACTTTGTTTAAACTCTACTTTAAGTACAAATCCTGTGTTTAATAAACAAATTAATTAAATGATAAACTCAATATTATCGGTTTAGTAAAAATAAAAGCACTTTCTAGTCCAATAAAATTATAGTAGTTAATTTAGTAAAATATTAAACAAATTTATCTAACAAAATACATATTATTTACAGTCTTAATTAATTTCAGATTATTAACTTATGCAGAAGTAGATATTACGCCTGCAAATTGGAAGAGAATAGTTCTTGGGGCTATTTTATTGTCTTCGAAAGTTTGGGATGATCAAGCTGTATGGAATGTGGATTATTGCCAAATTCTAAAGGATATAACAGTTGAAGATATGTATGTACCATTTTATTAATTCTAAAATGATTTACAGTCTCCTATCATTTTTTAATATAGTTGTAATTTTTTCATTGTTTAATTTTATTAGGCTTTATTTACATATTAATGTGTATAATGTAATTAATAAATTTACATGAAGAAAATATGAATAATGATAAACTTAATGGATTATATAAATCAGGAATGACCAAATGGTCAATCACTGATGATTTAAATGTCAATTTCCATTTTGTTAGAATTTATTTGTATGTTATTAATAGATAAATAACAATTTGCTAATCATTTTTATCTTAATATATTATCTTTATTTTATTGTAAATTTATCAAATAGGTAATACAATTCAACAGAGTTTATCCTGGTAATTCTATTTACAATAATATTATATTAGTCTTAAAAATAGTGTAATGAAAAACATTATTTAACTATATATTTTAGTTTTATTACTTTGTATATGTATGTTTATTATTAATACCTATTGGGTAATTTATAATAATACATTTTTGTTAAGAATTTGATCCTCAAAGAAAAAGTTTGTATTTAGTAAGTATTCTTAGTAGATCTCTAAAAAAAAGTTTAGCTACCCCTGATATGAATACACATAAATACAAACAAATTATTATTACAATTAAGTTATTGTTATGTTTAAAAATTATCTTCTTATACATGCATTGTATTTATATTTGTTTTATTTTTCTATTTTAATTTGCTAGATGGTTTAAGATATTGTAGGATTTTGTTATTGAAATTTGAATCCATAGTTATTGGTTATAGTTGTTGTATTTTAGACATTGTTCTCAAATTAATTATTTACATAAATTTACAAAACTTAAATAGTGATACTGACTTTAAAATAGGCAAAAGTAGATTGATCAAAATTTTAACAAAGCATATAATATACGACTAATGAACATACACAATTTTTCTCCAATAAAAGGGACAGTGTAATGAATTTAAATTAATCATGATGTGTTAACTTGTTTATATAAAAATAAGGTTATTCTGTTTAACAGTTTGGAAATGGGTAAAAACTCCAATTAAAAATTGTATAAACCAATTGTAAATGATATAATATTCAAATTATATCTTAACTTCATCATTCAAGTACACAAAGTACAAATTAATATGTGAAATTCCCATTTTAAGCAAAAACAGTTAGGGAGAATACAAATAGTACTACACTGTTTGACTAAAAATTTTTTTTGTCATTTTTCATGACTATTTTACTGTTATTTTTTAAATAATAATTTAAAAAAAATAAAAAATGTAAATCTATGTGTTTTTTAGGAATGAATTAGAACGTCAGTTTCTTGAGATGCTTCAATTTAACATTAATGTTCCGTCCAGTGTATATGCCAAATATTACTTTGATCTACGTTCTTTAGCTGAAGACAATGATTTAACATTCCCAGCAGAACCATTAAGTAAAGAACGGGCCAAGAAACTGGAAGCTATGTCTAGAGTATTTGAAGATAAGATATTAGCTGAATTTTTAAAAAATGGTGTAAAAAAGTGGTCTAGTCTGGATAATGTGAGCAGTTCATCAGTCGCCCGAAAGAGTGTTGCTATATTATCTTAAAAAATTACAAAACTATAATTATTATGCATTTATAAAAGCAAATGTAGTCACTATTATTGTGATTATTTATATTTTAAGTTACTATAGGTATAAGATTCTTTTACTTTTTCCATATTATGTTTTAAAAAAAATAATATGTAGTAGAGCTCCATTACTAGAGTCAAATTTTTACCCTAGCTGACTTATTGTCAGTACAATATTTAATTTGTATTTATTTATGATTTCTATCCACTAGACACCTTCTCCCTTGCTTTATTTTACAGAAGGGGTTGAAAATTGAAACCTCTAATATGTAGAATTGCATTTCTGTAGTGGTGTACTAAGTTACAAAACCATCCTCATCTCACAACAACAGGGTGAAGTTCTTATTGAAACTCATTTAGTCCAGAGAGAACCATTAAAAGTGTCTAAATATATATATATATATATATATATATCAGACACAATGCAGTGCAATAGATTCAATTTCGGGGGAGGGGGAATTCAACAACACAAAGTTAATTTATACTTACTTTTATTTTTATTGATAATAATATTTATTATATTAGTTTGTGTTAAACTATTTATTTTTATTTTTCGTATTTCTAAATAACTAAATTATTTTAAATAATCAAAATGACCAATCAATACTAATATTAGTAAAATGTACCATATTAAGTTAAAAGTAAACTAGCAATAAATTGAATAACTATATTTTCTGCTTAATTGCACGCCATAACATTAACTTTAAGTAAATTATTTTTAGAGTTTCTTTAATATTTTTTTATAATAGTTATTACACAATTCTTTATTAGTTTTGTTTAATTTAAAAAAATTGATAAATATTTTATTAATAGTCCAAAAATAAAAGGGTGTTTATAAATATTATGAAATACAGTAGAAACTGTTAATTATATATATAAATATATATATATAAAAAAAAAAAGGATAGTCTTTTAGATATATTATACTACTAATATTTTTTAATATATATTATATAATATGGCTTCTAGGGTACTACAAAATTTAAGTCAAATTAAGCAACTGATTTGTGCTAATAAGTTTTGTAATCTTTTTGTAATTATCTTTTAAAAGAATATTCTTATACATCTTAATATGTAAAATGAAGAATTTTTGGTATTGTTATTTTTTTAGATTTAGACTATATAATACACTTAAATTCATTCATATATAAATAATTAACTACTTATTTTTATAGCTAATATGCACACAAAAAAATATATATATTACTTCTTATTGGTAACACAACAAAGATTGATTCAGATTGTATCTTCTATTCATTCAAAGAGATTAAAATGAGAAGTTAAAAAATTTAATGATTAAGTTATTACAATTGACTAACCCTATAGAAACTTTAAAATTACACTGACCAGGATGGTTTTATTTTTTTATTATAACCAAACATTGTTAACTGATATCCATTATAAAAAGTTACTAATATGTACAATAGTTATAACACATGATACTATTTACAATTTTGCTTTTTAAATATTTAGGAATTCATATTAAAATAAATACATTTTTTTATTATTATATAGCTGTTAACTGTTAATTAATAATTAAAATATACAAAATTGCTCTGTATAATTGTAATATATTAATTATTTTAATCATAATAAATTTAAATTTCTATTTTCATTTCTTGAGATTATTTTTGTAGAAATTTAAAATTAAGTTTGGTTAATAATTAGTGTAATAAAACTATCAGGTTATTGATTTTTAGTCAAATCACAGAAATTTATTAGATATAAATTAATTTTGTAATGTATTTTTCTACTTTTACATTTTTTCATCTAAAATTGAATTCTAAAAATATTTGCATTTGTTAATAAATATTTCACTGTGCTCATTTTTATACATGATATTAATTACAAAATGTATTACTTTTTAATATGTACTTGTGAATGTCAGAGATATATTTTTAAGAGTATTATAGATTATTGACTATCAAAAATAACACAATATTACCATTATTGATTTTTTTTTTAACATCTAATTTATTTTACATTCCTATTTTATTATATTACTTTAAATAATAATTTGATTTACTATGTTGGTTACAATATTATTTTTTTTTCAAACCTGCCTCTTTATAATTATTTATTATTTTATTTCATGTTATTATTCTGTAGTAAAATTAAATTAAAGTGACTTCTGCTATTTAGAAATTTAAATTTGTATAGTTTTTATTTCACTAATTTTCTTTTATATTTCTCTGTTTGATCATAATTTATATTTATTAATCTATGATGTTGTGATTTATAATCAAGTAGGTAGCAGTATTTTAAAATTGTTATAATTATACAATACAAATTGTGTTCAAAAAGTCATAATATCACATATTATTCAAAGTTAAATGTATAAAAAAAAAAAAAAACTTCAGTAAATACCTATTTTCAATATTTATTTTTGATAATGAAACATTCTAATAGTATTATTGTAATAGTAGAAAATTGTTAATGATAACTACATGCAAAATAAATACTGGATATTTATCTTATTATTCGTGATTAATTTTGGATTACATAATTTGTTTAACTATGTTTAATATATTTTTATAACTATATTTCATGAAATAAGTTATTTTTATTGAACTAATGATTTTTTGCTTGCTAAAATAAACTAAAGTAAATAAGTAAATTTTGAGATGTTGTACTTAAAACTCATAGGGACTAATTTAATACTATTTTTAGATTCTGAGCAAATTGAAACATATTTAAACTACCCAACTATTTTTAATTAATTTAAAATATCCCACTAAGTAATAACTGGTGTAATGCCTTTACATATTATGTATTTAATGTATTTATTATATATTTAATTTTTCCTAATTCAAGTTGAGTAATAGCACAACACATTTGATGTCATTATTTGAGTTTTGCATATTACATTTGTTTGATAGGCTTCTTCCAGAACCCATAAACAATATAAGAATAGGGTATACAGTTTATTATATTTCAATAATAAAGATGTTTTTATTTTGATATTTCACTTTAGGTATACAACAAAGTACCAGAAAAAAATATATTCAAATCTTTTAAGTTGTAACAGTATCAGTTTTTGATTTCAACAAAATTGAAAATAATGGTTTTTATTTCTATAAACTGTGGGTCTTTCTATGGTGTTTTTTAGTTTTGCTCAATTATTAAAAAAACTACACAGAAAAACAAAAAAATAATTAATTTCTTACTTGACAACTAAGTTAAAAATGTAACAAAGGCTGTTATTTTTCAATTGAAGCAATATTACTGATAGAAACAAACCGGAAACACCTTAAAAAATCAAAATATAATCTTCCTAATGCATAAACTAGATACAATTTTCTTCCAGAAAAAGTTCTACACCTAATACATTAGATATTTATTGAATTTATAATTTGTAATTTGTAAAATTCTCAATTAAAAAATCAAAACTCATATCACCACAGAATATTCCTTATCTGTTGTGAAAAATATAAATATTTAGAAATATTGGCTTTAACTGCACTTAAAATTCCCAAAAACCAGAATTTGAATATAAGCAAAATTTAATAAAAAAAATGGGATGAACATTTTTTTATTGAATCATTTGTACACACAGTATATAAAACCCAAAGTAAACACAAGCAAGAACTGCGGTTTAATAATTGAGTTCAATTTCAAGAATAGCTAATTGTATAGAACATTGTGGTATAAATGTACACCAACACACATTAGGAACTGAAAAAATATATTAATTATGGTCATTAATAATAATCATAGACACCTATAATATAGTGTGCCCTACATTGTTCAGTGAATTTTTTTAATGCTGTAAATGTTAATTTTTTGAATGGGTTGTCTTTGAGGGAGACATCCATTTGGAGAAAAATTAAATTTTTATTATCATCCCATAAATATAGGAAAAAATAACTTTATTCATTTCAGAAAATTTTAAAAATAGCCATTTTGTAAAACAAATTATTCTTGGAATTTTAATGTATTATACATTTATATTTGATTAATATTTTCTTAATTATAGCCTTTCTAGAAAATAGACCTGAAAACAATTAATATTCAATAGAAGGTAAAGAATTACCATGATGATTGTGATTAATTGTTTTCACACCTATTTTCTAAATATTAAACAGGCTATAACTAAAAAATTATTCATCTGATGTGAATGTGTGATAAATTTAAATTGTTTGAATACAATTATTTATAAAATGGTCATTTTGAAAATTGTCTAAAGTGAATAAATAAGAATTTATCATTTTCTTGTGTTTTTGAGATGTAAATAAAATTGTTATTTTTCTCCAAATCGATATCTCCCTTAAAGACAAACAGATTGAAAAAAATTTTTTTAAAAATTTAATATTAATAGCACTAGAAAAGTCCATCAAACCCAGTGGCAAATTGTATAGATCCTATATATAATTAATATATTATGTACACTGGCATAACCAATATTCAGATAGGTACCTAAAATAATTAACAGTAAACAAAGCCACTATTGTCAGTCATAATCATGACTGGTGAGAACTCTTTCCTCATCTTCTTCGTTCACATCATACACAGTGAGATGTGTGATAGCCTTCCGTTTTTTTTTTAGTTCTTCTTGCAACTGTTGAATTTTTGAGTAAAATAACTGTTCGTCCTCATACGTGGGATCTTTTGCTTCAGTCATTGTGGCTGGGTTAACTAGTAATTCTGCCTGAAACTCATCACACAGAACTACTGGTGTCCGGAAACCATTCGCCTGCCATTTCTGACCCCACCCACAGTAGGTGTAATCCACGAGGCTATAAATGAAAATATTGTAAATATACAGACAGCTACTCAATGGATTGTAACAAACTTTTTTCTTTCTAAAGTGGACCACACACTTTACGTTATACTAAGTAATACTAAGTAATTTGACAGCACAGTTAATCTTTGTAAAAAAATGTTCTTATACACACACACCCTCAGTATTAAGTGCTTTGACTATACACTAAGTGTATACTCAAAATAAATCATGAAAAATCGTAGTAGTATCAAACTACTAGAGACTTGTAAACTCTTAATTTCACCTATAACTGCTTATTGTCATTAGCTATCTTGTTCCTCCAAACTCTGTTTCATTTCTTTCTATCTTTAGTTCTTTTCCTTCAAGTGCTACTTTCCATTCTTCAAGCCTATTGTTAACTTATTCCAGATTTCCTTTTATCAAAGCTATATTATCTGCAAACATTATGATACATCAATACCTCCTCTCACCTATTGTCCCCTTTCAAATCGGATATGAGACAATTTGCCAAAGCCTTGTTTAGAACTCCTCGTATTGTTTAACAGAATTTTCTGATGCAACCATATTTAATACCTCTTACAGGTAGGTAAGATAGGTAAATGGTAAGAAAAAATAAAAGCTTTGGCTAAACAAGCCTTCAATAAGAAACAAAATCTCTTAGCAATCAGGCACTTATCAATTCAAATTAAAAAAAAAAAACTAATTATTAAAATGCATGTTTGGAGTGTGGTGTTATATGATAGTGAGTTCTGGACTCTAAACTCCTTAATCAAAAGAAGAATAGAAACATTAGAGATATTTTCACGGGGGAAAATTATGAAGATCAATTGACAAAAAAAGAAATATGGAAGTATTAAATATAGTGAATGAACCAAGACAAATTATCAAAATTATAGAAATAAAATGAACAAAGTTTTTTGGACAGTTAACTAGTTTGTTACAAATATTATGCAAGGGAAGATAAATGAAAAAGAGATAAAATTTCTCAAAAATGTTTAATTAAAAACAATTTTAAAATAATTTAATTGTAATTTATATTACAAAACTCTAATCCGTCTAAAGGTTTTTAAATTGTTACTCTTTGAATTCTTCAATAACTTTTTCATCAAAGTTAATTTCAGTTTTCAAGATGTTCCACAAATATCATGATCATTAAGTGGAGTCTTTTTTGTGTCATAATACTCCTTAATTTTGTTTTCACACTATATTAGAAAATTATCTTTCACATGAGCAACTTACAACTTATTTGATCAAAACAGTTAAAAGAACTTTCAATATATTTGAGAAACGCTACGCCTATGTTTGTATTTGTATTCTTTTATTATAGATTCTCATCAGATTCTATTTCATATAATTTTTAAATTAATTTTTCAAAATAATATCTATTTTGGCTCAAATGGCATAATATTCTTTTTGTTTCACTTTCCAAAATCATAATTTGGAATAATCAATCTCAATAAATTCTTCTACTGTACCATGATATAATAGATGGTGATTTACTTTATATTAAAATTGAATAATAATTTTAAAACAAGAAATTAATTCTAGTCTTTAAATGAAACAAAAAATTGATCCTACACAATTTTAAATACCACTGTTTGCACACACACCATGCTTCAGCTTATATGTACAGTTTTATTAATTGATATTTTTAATTTATTTTTGATCAGTTGTATAGTCTAAAAACTGTGTCTAATACTTCACTCATACAATTCATTTGCACAAAAAAAACTATGCAATCAAATTGCTCAGTTTAAACTGAAAATGTGTGGCCCACTTAACATAATATTGTTATCTTGATCATCTCTAAACCAACCTTTCGCACGCCACTGCGAATGCCCCAGGCCACAGAATAGATTTGACAGATGCATGAGTAGCTGTACCATCAAACTGGTTAATTGTTTCAAATTTCCATGGTGGCACTTTGTCCGCATAAACATCTTCGGATAGAGGGATGAGCGGGTCTGGGACTTCTGTGACAGAATCAATACTGGCAGTCATCTCATAGGTTTCCTCATTTACATATTCCTATAAACGCAAAACTATAAAACTCAGTAACAAGAATATACTGGTAAAATAATAGAGTTAATAATTTAATAGGTTATAAGTTGCCAACAGTTTGTCCGTTAAATTCAAATACTTACAATTTTCTATGATATAATTGTTGTACCTACTTTAACAGTTTCATAATCATTTTGCGACTTTCTTAACTTGGCCCACGCTCTAGTCACACCTTCCTCCGTTATTAATGGAGTGTGATGTACCCAATTGGTCGGATTTAATAGAGCATATACAGACAATGGTTGGTAATTTATGTTTTCAATATAATCATGGTTCCCTATTAAAAACATGGACAACATTTAAAAAATAATAATAATACAAATTAAGCCATAGTTTATTGTGTTTGTAAACTGCCATCCCAAAAGGCAGTACCAAGGAATAAGGAACAACATCCTACATGAATTTGTCAGTCAGCACATATTTGATATTGAGGCGCCCATTAGGTTGAACCAAAATTCAGGAACTCAAGCTGATATATACTTTCATACATTTTACAAAATAAATTTTAAAATATTTATTGATAATGATAAGTTATAAAATAATACCACTGAATAAAATGTTTTCATTTCGATTTAAGAAATAGAATAATAACATTTGAGGTTAAACATAAATGACAATAGGCTAGACTCAATAATGCTTTTAAGAATTCAACAAAATATTTTATATCTAAATAAAAGTTACACAGTGGTATAGATTAAAGCAAAGAAGAATTCATTTTTGAACATGGTATTCAATATTTATTTTTATGGAGCAACAAATATGTTTATGCTTGTTTAACTTTTTAGACATCGAACTTCATGATCAACTAATAATAGTTTTAAATTTTATCTACCACACAAAATCCTAACATAAAATTGGATCTTTAGGTTTTTATATTTTCCAATTGCATTATGTATGGTTGTTCAACACTATTAAAAAAAAATCCCAATACTAATAACTGTCACAAAAAAATTTTTTTCAATTGTGTTATGTGTAAGGACACTAATGTAGAGAAAACTTAAATTTTTATTTTCATCCCTTAATGATTGAAACAAATTACTTTATTTTTTCACGTTTTAAAATCTATTAAGTATTCTAAAAATGTGAATGTATCATACACTTATATCCCATCATTAATTTCTTAGTAATAGCCATTTCTAGAAAATTGGTGTGAAAAATATACATTTTCAATAGAATAACACATTACAGGATAAGAAATGACCAATCTGCATGGTAATTCCTTATATTTTGTTGTATTATTAATAATAAAGTAAAAACAATATAATTAAAATAGTTAATACCTGTAAAAAAATATTTAAATGAAAAATAAAAATAATTAAATGTTCCTGGAGTATTATGATAAGTGTGTTATAAGGTTTTGAATTAAAAAATCATCATCAGGTATATCACAGTCAAAATATAAAATGTATGTGAGTATAAAGAATTCAATGATCTATCAATGTATTCTTATACATAGAAAAAATAATTGGTCATTTTACATAGAAATAAATTATTTTAATAAGAGATTATTTATTATCTAAAATGTATTTATACAAGATATTATTTTTAAAATCGGTTTGTATATTTAAAATATTATTAAAATTATTTTTCTTTATTTCATTGTATGTATATAATTCTTCTAAAAATGAATTAATGTAAATGTTTTTTTGGGAAATTAATACCTCTAAGTGAGTAATAATATTAAAGCTTAATTTTTTAAAACAAGTTTAGCGAAATTTGAATTGGGTGCAGTTTTTTTTTCAATTTTATTTCAGAAATTTATTCTTTATATCCTATTTTAAAATTTCCATTTGTCTTACTAATATAAAATTTATTACAGATACATTTAAGTTTATATATATACCAGCATTTTCAAAAAGGGAATTTTTGGGATCTTTTTAGTTCTAATTTCTCATTTGAAAAATACTTACATTTCTGTGAAAGCACTTTTGCTTGGAATGAACTTAAGCCTGTCCAATTATTTGATTTTCTATGTTGATGGTCTATAATGAAATAATCCCGAGGAGATATTTGTGTCACTGCTGTAATCCTTGCGATTTGAGCTCGTAGATAATGTTTTTCCAAGCCTCGGAATAACGGATATGATTTGACCTATGGGAATAATAATATATTCTATAAATATAGTTTCTAAATATGTACCTATTTATAATTATATTTTTACAGGAGCATCCAAATCACCAACAAAATATTGGTTAATATTGCGCGATTGGATAATATGATGAGGCTTAAGCAATGGCAGTTCAACCCATTCATCAAACAATTGATTTGTTACAAAATATGACTAGAAAAAATAATAATACAATAATAATATGAATTTAAAAATTCTTTTTAAAACATTTAACAACCTTTTTATTAGTTCCGAATCCATACATTTCATAATCATCTACATCAGACTCCTCTGCAAATGAAGGGATACACAGATTCGAATCTTGAAAACCTGATTTCACAAATGAACTCTCATTTACCATGCTATTTGATGTTGTTCGGGAGGCAGACAATTTTATTTTAGACATTTCTTCATCTTGTTCATAGATTCCCATCATTGATCCTTCTTCATGCTCATACACATTTTCATAAACATCCATAAAATTGTTGATATTATTTTTCAATAAACTGTTGAGGATCTGCAACATTAAATTTATTAGGAGCAGTCAAACAGGGGGGGAGGGTATGTCTATATGACATTTTCCCCTTCAATATTTATATATTATTTTTATAACAAGCCGGACTGTAGCCCAGTGTTTAGAACAAGATAATATGTATATATACAAGAAAAATATAAACTAGATATTTTTAAAAAAGAATAAAAAAAAAATTCTTAAATGCAATATACATTATTCTGAACAGTCTATTACGAGAATAATTAGTGGTACACAGAAGTATGAAAAACATAAGTTTTTTTGGGGCTGAAAGCTAGGGATATTAAAATTTAAGTTGATTTAACAATACAGGGCAGTCTATAGTCATTGGTGAGTTTACTTAGGAACACTTGGTTTACAGATACATTATATCAGCTAAAATGTTTAGTGATTGCATTATATAATTTCATCCAACACAAATAAATTATTAATAAATATTCTTAAAGCTATGCTAGTTTTAGAACTCTGGTTACTGATTTTCAAGTGTCCTTCTCGGTGTATCAGCATAAGGCATTTTTCGGTATACTGATATTATTTTGTATACCTAAGGAATTGCCCAATACATTTTTCCAATCACTAATATAACAAAATGTCTGAATTTACAGTATACTAAAAATACTATCATTCCTAATCTAACTAAATATTTTTATAACTTGCCATTAATTTATATTCCAATTCCTTTTTTTGCAATTCACATTCCAAGACATAGTAGTTATGTTTCAAACCAAATATTTTTCCCCAGTATCTATAAATGTTTTTAAAATGAAAATAGTAAATATGCTTTACAGACATATATCATTAATGTAGTATATGCATATTAACCTAATATTTTTAAATTTGTCCTGATTTGACATTTGATTTATAGTTATTCCAATAAGATAAGCTTCATCGTTAGTTATCCCACACCCCACTTTATTGAACAAGTAATTGATTTTCGACAAATCTTGAATTACAATTCGGTCAAATTCATTAGTTTTTTTCACAACATTTTCTTCATATTCGTTTTCAACTTCATATTGTAATTCCTCCTTGTATTCCAGGAAATTATTTGTGGTATCTTCTTTTTTTTCCCCTCCGGTATCCTGAAACATAGATATAAAGTTCATGTTTAAATTTAATTTCAAACAGTATGTGCACAAATCATTCAAATCATTCACCTTATATATATCTGTTAACTTGTTGCAGACATTCAATTCGATATTATTCAAAAAATCTAAATCAGGATTACGCCTAGGTCTTTGATAGTACTGCTTAAGTTGTTCACTGTAGTATTCAAAATATTCAATAGGTCTTAAGGGGTTTTGGAATATAAACAAGTCTAATAATGCTTGAATATGAGTGTACCTGTTAACATATAAACAAACATTTATAACTGTTATTAATTTATCAAATATCATATGCATACAATAATACTTACAAACTGATGTTTCCATTATCTTCTTTAATTTTCAAGTAGTTAGCCAATTCACTAGACACTGACATTTTTCTACTTTGTGTTTTTATTGAACTTTTTATTTTGTGATTTACTGTACTGCTTGTTTTTACATCACTCAGCATTTTCCACCCTGGATCACTTGAGATTTTTAAAAGATGGTTCTTCTTTGACATTTTATTATGCAAAAATACAATAAATATTTAAATTATCAAATTATTACCTACTGGGTTCCCTCATCAAAACTAGTATAAGTTATTGTTGTCAAGGTTAATAAACATAGTTATTATAAAAATGTATTTAACATATTATTATATAGTAGGTACCTGTATTTAGCCAAATAATTTTCAATTTAAGTGATTTATTATTCTACACTAGTCAACCAGTTTGAGTTTTGAAATCTGAGAATTAAATCATAACCATTGAATTTGCTGTAATAATATAAAATAGTAAAACTAATTACAATTGTTATACTTTTTACTACAAGTAGTATACGCCAAGTGCTACAGAATAGACATAAGAAATTTCTTATTCTTCGAAGTTAACAGTATATTATTTATTTATTAAAATAAATACAAACAATGGTAAACATTTGGCTACAAACTCATACTTTAAATAAATAAATAAAATTAAATAAATATAAATTACTACATTGTAGTTCACAATATAGTACCTATAGATTTGTTTAGGTAGGTATAATGTGATATAGTGGTTTTCAAACATAAAGACAGTTTCAAGCTCGATAATATTAAAGTTAATCAGCTATGGTAATAACATGTGACCTCTTTGAATAGGCTAAATTAAAAACAATAAGCTTTATATTCAAATTTTACTGTATTATCACATAAAAATTTAAAATTCCATTAAATAATGGTTCTAATAAAATGTATTATAATATAATATAATGAAGTACTTAAGCATTCTTTAGATATAGAATATATTTATTTTCTAATATATAATAAAGAAATAAAGTACAAATAAGACAAACCAATTTAAAATGTATAACTGTTATATTTTCATTAGATTTAAACTTAATGAACTGGCAAGATTATAAAATAATATTTAATATTAAATTGAATGGCATATTATATACACACAGATTTTATCACAAACAATATTATTATTATCATTGTTATTATTATTATTTCATTATAGAAATAACTTCATACTACTCTATGTCTATGTGAATGCCCTAAAATTAGTTAGATAAAAAAAAAAAAAAATAATAATAATATTTAATTTTATAACGAAATATTTTGAAAGGCTAAATGCATTGTACAACATGTATAAAATATTAGTACTAATAATAACATTTAATATAAATATTACAATAATAGTAAATATGATTAACAGGATTAACCAATTTATGCTAATATCAATTATTAGTAGTATTTATATATAATTATATACCTATACTTTTTAAACATAAATTAATCAAAAGAAAAAAATATTTAAAAAAAATATTTAAACAAGAATACACTAAATACATTTAGGTACCCTTAAAATATTTCACAGGTACGAAATAGAGATATTTCATAAGTAATCAAATTTAACAATAATAATAATTAATATAAAAAACTTTTTCAAAAATTTCAATAAACATTTAATGCTAAAATTGTAATAAGTATGTAAAACATTTGAAAACACTGATAATGTCAATAACTATATATGTTAAGTAAATTGTTTATATATATAAAAAAAAATGGAGTACACAAGTTTCTCTTAAAAACAAAAATTACATCACATTTTATATTGTACAAAATACATATACATAATAATAATAATAAGTTTATTGCAACATCAACAAGTTTTACATCAAAATTTCGCTCATGAGTACAATATTATAGCATCCCCATAAGCAAAACTTGTGCTGGGAGAGTACATGTATGTGTTTTTTATTTATATCAGGGAACAACACATTTTGTTTTAAATTGTATATAATTTTTTTTTTCTCCTTATAATATATTTTGTATTTTCCTACTTAGATATAAATAAAGATGATTTACAATCATCAAAAACTAAAATATGAAAATTTTTTTTACAGTAATAACAAAAATTAATTAAGTAATAATATGTATTATAATACCTATAGACTAATATTTGAAACATTTATTTTAATAAATATAATACAATTGTGTGTGGTTAATTAATTTTAAATTTAAAATGTTTGGTTAACTTATCAGGAAGATTAACAATAACAGTAGAAATGTATAAGATTTTAAGAGGTTTTTCAAAAAAAATCGTAGGAAGAAGTAAATGTGGTTAGGTATAGGTATTTATCAAAATTAAATATCATTATCTAAATAACATTAAGATAAATGTTGAAAAATTATATCATATAGTTTCTAACATAGGTTAACAAACTGATTAAACGTAATATAAAATATGATTTGAAAATTTAAATTTAAATTGATTTTATTAAAAAAAACTAATATCTTTCCTGGAAATTAAATAATATAATAACTATTTAATTGGATTATATACATAGATATTGAAAAAAAAAAATAAGTACCTATAGCTAAATGAGTTGTATAAAAAAAAAATTATAATAAAAGGGTGATCATTTAGCACTCAAATACATCTGAATCAAATATACGCACCCTAACACGTTGCTTGTAATGATACTCTTTCAAATACGACTTCAATAATTTTGGAAGTTTTAATTGATTCACATCATCGTATGTGATTTTACTGCAAATAGCTGCACGACATGTGTGTTGCAAAGAAAAAGTAAAGTTTCTATTCAACGGTATGGTCAGCATTGGCTCAAAGAACATACAACAAGTGGGATCTTTATAGTGTTCAATCAGTCCGCAGACTGTAGACGATGCAAACACGCCTGGATCTCTCGAATCAAAACTAAAGAGATGATTCCATTGCTCAATCCGTGCGTGCAAGGACCGTCCATACTTTCTGAAACTTACCGAAAACAGATATTCTTCTTGTGCCGAATCTCTCAATAAAAACGTGCCCTCTGGTCTGTTTTCGAGCAGTTTTTCTGCCTCGTATCTGTCCATTTTGCCCCAGTAAAACGAACAGTTTGTAATTTGTAGCAGATCAGGAACTAAATAATGAATATAATCAATAGACGTATGTATTCTGTGACTGTCATCCATGTCTGGTGGTGCGGTGAAGGCATTAATCGCGGCTCTATGGAATAATGAGGTTAAATTATCAATGGTCATTTTAGGCAAACTAAATTCTAACAATTGTATATGCAATCCGGGCCTAAATCCAGGTGGTGGTTCAATACCCTCTTGGATTTCCTTGGCCCGTTCTTTGTAGGCTCTGTCTTCAAAATCTTCGTTCATAAACTCTTCGTCCGAATGTAGTTCCAAGTCCATGATACGTTCATCAAATGATGGTAACACCAATTCACTGCGATGTCCAAACCCACGGTGGAACGCGTTGAACGCACCCTCAAAGTCGAGAATTTCTTGAGTTTCCTCCTCATCTTCGTCTTCATCTTGGAATGACGGGAGTACAATTGGAAAGGGGTTCACCGGAACATCGTCAAACATGATGTCAGCACTTTGCGATTGGGAATCATCAGTGTGTCGATAACGAGTGCACGCGCATGAATCACACGACGTTACCACTTCGGTCGGCGGCTCAGGAACGATTTCAGGTGGAGACGGTGACGGCGGTGGCGGTGGACTGGAACACTTGACAGAGGCGGCTGCATTTTTAGACTTGGGTCTTGAGCAGTTGAACCGCATCGCCCAATGGTTCAGTTTTTTCGAACCAACCGCCGTGCGCTTGGACGTCTGGCCGCTAGACTTCGACGCGGCAGGCATGCACGCCTCTGCTGCACGGTGACCCGTCGACGGTTCGGAACATTTCGAGGAATGGCCGTGATCGATATCCATCACCGTATCCAACGGTTGTTCACGACGATGATCCACGTCGGAAACACAACCGACGTTGTTTTCCAAACGCCGCTGATCCGTTTCGGTCGAAACAGTCGTTATCGCCACCGTTGTTCGAGCAACGTTACCTGTCCGCGGGTTATTACCGCCGTTGGCTGCGGCCGCGGCCGCTGCTGCTGCTGCTGCCGCGGCAGCGGCTGCTGCCGCGTTCCTCGCCGGATGATCCGTGGTGGAACTTTTCCAAGCGAACGCATCGCCGAGACTGCTGACTTTTTGTCCCATTTCGTATGTGCGTTTGGCTAGGTGAGGCCCGTATCAGTGCATCGACGTGCAAATTGACGTGTGTGGGACGACTGCTGTACCTTCGTAGTAGTGTGATCGTCAACGAGACGGCATCGGGAAACGCGCGACTTGAAACGACGGGATCGCGGCGGCGATGACGTCGTCGGTAGAATTCGAGAACGGTTAAACCGATAATGATAATGATATTTAAGAAGTTACACACGCGCATTCGATCCGGAGCGTGTGGACGGCAACGATGGTCGCGAACGTGGAACGGCTATAGGCGGAACGAGCGGCGTTGGCACAGGTGGAAAAACGATACCTAGTAAACGACGGCGACGGCGGCGGCGGCGTTGCGTTGCGTTAGTACGGAATACGAACGCCACATAATATTCGTGATAACCGACAACGGTGAAGACCGTGCAGTAGCGTTCGCGTATGATTATTATGATTGTATATTAGGTGAGCGACGATCGCCGTGTGTTCCTCACGACATATTTTTGTAATTTGAGGCGGTGGTGGTACACGTACTCGAGTCCGTACTGTAGAGTGCGTCGTTGCGCGTTCGGCCCGTAGTCGCGGTCGTCGTGTCCTATCGACTATTGTTGTTTTTGTTGCTGATGTTGTCGTCGTGGTGTAGCTGCGGGCATACAACAACGTCGTGAATCGTGATGTACACCGCTCGGCTGGGGGTGTGTAGGTGTGTGTGTGTGTGTGTGCGTGCGCGTGCGTGCGTGCGTGCGCGTGTGTGTTCCGCGTGTTCGTACGTGTGAGTGCGTGCGCGTGTGTATGCACATGAACCGTCCGATTACGCGTTTGTCACTTTCACCGTTGGTCCTCCATGTGCCCGGTTTTTTTGACCGTCTAACATCCACTGCAACACCACAGCTCTGCCGCTCGTATCCGTGTTTTCATATTATTATTTCATCGTCAGCCGTCGCGTGTATAATAATATTATTATTATTATTCAATATTTTTACACTATAAACGTTTTGTTTCTGGTTTTTTTTTTTTTTTTTTAGTCATATATATTATTCTGTGCGGTGCCTCGGGCTACAGCCTGTGCAGCCCGTTTGGTTAATCCGACCCCGTCCACCAATAATAATATTCGACCTGACCGCGCAAGTAATGAAACGTTCGTTCGACAAATTCCGACAACTCGTTTTCGTGCAGACCGCGAACCGAACGCGTGGTAATCATCACCGTTATGTCTACCCTGACAGAATGCTATCGAATATCGGCAGCGTCGCGTTTTTTTTCATTTTTTTTTCAACGAAATCCCAATAAATCGATAATTCAATATTATTATATTGAAAAACGTAAAATTTCCGCCCGTCTTCGAACAAATAATACTATTCGTATTACCTATATTATGTTAATGTTACATAAACGTGCTTGGGAAGTACCTTTGTATAGAAAAATGAGCAGTGTCCGCATTGTTAAAAAGGATGAGGGGGCGGGCTTAGTATACCGACAGTTTTTCTTTTAAAAATCCTACCCAACATTATCGGCCGTCTCGTCGCCCCGCTTCAAAGCTCCTCGCCGGACATCGTTCGCGCATCCTTCGCGCTCGATTTCATCGGACGAATTCACTCGCCGCGTGTCAGACTGTCGGCGAACAAAGTCGCGCGGGAATAAGCGCGTATAGCGACCTGTCCGATTACATTGAGCTCGGTCACAAATTATTAGTCGCGCACCCGCATTCGCTGCATTCGATTGTTGCACACCTGGCGATGTTGCTCGCCGGAATGTAAAATAGGCAGCGACAAAAGTAACCCGGTCCGTAAACTGTAATCGCGGGCGAGCAGCGACTACGTCTATATTAAGCGAATCCGGCGACGGCGAGTGAATTCCCCAAGTGACCGGCGAGTAAACTCGTCCAAAAAAAAAAAAAAAACGAATTATAATAGTAAAACCAAATACGTTCGTCGATTTTAATGCAATAAACATATTTAAAGTTTAACCGCTAACATCGCTCAGAATCGTTTTTCGTTAGCTTTTATCTTTGTGTGTTTTCCGGTAGAAATTACACTGGCCCCGTATATTTTACAATCTCAACTGAACACTTCCCGCCAGCAAAAGAAGCACACCCATCAGCAGTAGGTGTTGGCTCTTTTTTTTATTCGTTAATGAATACGCGTAATACGCGTCCCGCGTATTTTAATCTAATGCAATTTTATTTAAAAAAAATACAAATAGCTCAATTAAGTGCTAGCTAGTATTCTTAAACTTGTATCACACATAGTTGTATTGACTATTATCAGATTATATTCGTGGTCTTTATTGTGTATCGCGCCTGATCAATTGGGCCAAACCGTTGACAGTCTTCGATTTGAGCGTATCGTTCTCATACGTTTCCACTATTCTTTTACCGGCTTCAAACATTTTTTTGATGGTAAATTTTTTCCCATTTGCAAACCGGGTGGATGATGTCCATGTCCTTTTCACACTGCCGCCACTGGCGCCACTGTCTAGGCTATAGTCGTCGAAATCATAAAGGCAATGCATTATTGTGAACATATTGTCCAATTTGTCCAGATCGACCTCTGAACCACTGAAGTCTAACTCGTGGAAAAACACGTTGGACATATTTGCAAGGTCATAGTAAGAATATCTAAAATGATTGGGTCGCTCAAAATTTCGGTAGAAGAGATCATCGTGATCACGGTCTGTATGGTGTCGTCGATGATGTTTGTGGCCGTTTGCTGATGCACTATTTACATCATCGTCTTCGACATACGGGTTATCGTAAACTTTACGTTTATTATCGTCAGATAACACTAAGTAGGCTTGTGTAATCTCTTTAAACATTCTGTTCGCTTGTTCCTGGTTTTTTTGATTTTTGTCCGGATGCCATTTTAATATCAATTTTCTGTAAGCTTTTTTTATATCGTTTGGTGAAGCGTTCGATGTCACTCCCAGTAAGGAATAATAATTTTCGGACATATTGTGTTGTGCATTTACTGAAGCTCAAGTTTAAAACAATTTGTTCTCAGTGTATTTTTAATGTAATGAATTTAAAATATTATAATTATAAAAAATTGTTTCCGTAGCAACAGCCTAATATCGAAAACCAATACTATAGAGCTGTAACTTTTTAATTTCTGAGTTTAGCGAAGAATGTGTTGGTTTTACAAAGATGTTTAATATTATTGTTATTTTTTTTTTATGCGAACACTTTTTCTACCAGAAAGCTTACTCCGATTATCAAGTATAGCACCTTTTCTGAAAGGAAATGTTCTCTGGGTAGTATAGGTATTTTTAAAATGTCATTTTTTTGAAATTCTTATTGATATTAGAGGTATTGAGAAAAACCTCAGTCTTTAGGTTAAAAAATATTGAAGGATTAAAAATAAGGTAGTCATTGGCAACAGTTTTATTTATTTTTTGTTATTATTAAGTTTTTATTATTTTAATATTTTTAAACAATCATTGTTGTCATGGAAACGCACATTGTTGTAATCATTTTACCATAATATGATATGTACTATATATTGTATTGTTAACAAAGCAACATTATCAACTGAACTCAGCTCAGAATTGTTTTTTCGTTAGCAATGGTTTATCATTGCTTACAAATATACATTAAATTCCCGTCTGTATTCTACCTTTCCAGCTTCCCATCTACAACAGTGGCTGCACCTACGAGTGAAGTATGTCCATCCTTTTAGATTCTGAGTGTAGCGAGGAAGCTATTGGTTTTACTAAAATGTTTTTTTTTTCTTCTTATAGTCTGTGGACACGTTTTTTCTAGTAAATTTGCTCCGATTTTTACGCGTGACAATTTTTATAAAAGCTCAAGTTATCTAGATTGTACTTTTGAGAAGTCAGTATTTGATTTTGACGCCGTCTTTTAAATAAAAGCACTTAAGTGGAAAAAAACGTGGGAAAACGTACAATTTCACGATTTCATTATTTTATAAAAACAGGCGACGTTTTCTACCAGAAAAAATGATTTAATCGAAAAATTAAAAGACACCTTTTTTGTTGCCTTTTTGATTTATTTTATTGCGGTATCATGGCCAAAACTTTTGAGTTAAATTTTAATTAAACAATTAAATTGTATTCCTTTTATTTTAATTTATTTATAATTTTTACAATTAGACAAAAAGTAACATTATCCATAGCCTATAGGTTTAGGTAAATTAACAGAATATTTTTAATTTAATATCAAATAAGGTTTAAATAATAGCGCTACAGTTTCTCATGTTACATGAGTTTTATATAGAAAAATAGAATATTTTTAATTCGATTTTATACATGACCCTGACGAATTTTTTTTTTTGGAATTTTTTCATTTGACCTCCGGTGAAATACGAATAACACGAAAAAGCATAATTGTACATTATGCCAACGTGTCGTGCATAATAATAGCTATATAATAATATGTAAGATATGTATCCTACCATTACATATCCTACCTACCAAATAATATTATAGGTGTTTTATTACATAATCGTATAACACTGATATCTATTTACTGCAGTTTACTCGTATTACTTTTTTACGAATTTCATGTACCTAGAGTGTAAATGAGGTGTCGCCTGAAAGTCGTGGCTCAAAGTGACTTTTTTTTTCTTTTTTCATATCCCGGTTGCGGACCATGTAAAGTAGGTAGGAAATACCGCTTTCAGTCGTTATTAAACCTAACCAAGTATCTCTATTGCGTCCAAAGTATTTTCATATAAATATAATACAGTGCATTTATGCGAGCTATCTACATTCGTCGCGAATACTGCTTTCCAGTATATTACATTAAAGATAAGAAAAAAAAGATAACCAATCAACAGTTAAATCAACCAATAACTAATATTTTCGTTATAAATTAATTTTTTTAAATATTTTATATAATTTTAATTTGACAATAATTATACATTTATAATATAATATGTTTACTGTAAATTGTAATAATTTAACTTCTATGATATGTTTTAATAGCAATTATTATGAAAATATAAAAATGTATCATGTATATTTATATGAAATTGCATTTTATTTATTTATACGATTATACGCTATTTTATGAACCAATGTTTCTCGGGACGCAATCAGGATACTTATATTTGGAATAAAATAGGACTACCTGATTTTGGGCCGCAATCGGGCAAACCCGGTAAAATCCGCGGTCACCATCATGGTAAAATTATGATAAAATGTTATGTCCTTAGTCCTTACCAGTCAATTGTATCACAATTATTTGTCGTGAGTGATGACGTAGAGAGCGTACATAGAATTTTTTATTTTATAAAGACAATTAATTCAACTTAAATTATTTTTTCAATAGTGAGAGGATTGTATACATTTGTAATAAAAACACAAGCAGTGGCGTAAATTGGCTTAAATTCCTGGTGATGCAGAGAAATCTTTTAATTTTGAACCCACCAATACTTCAACTTCCTTTGTAAAGTATCTGATCTAATAAACAATTTATTTTTCTATAGTTACCAAATTTTTTTTCTATGAAATTAATATATTATAAATATTGAATTATTTTAATAGTAAAAACTTCATTATTATAACGTTTAAAGAAAAATTAAAGATACTTGTTTAGTAAAAAAAATAGACTTTTGAAATCTTACCATAGTTTTAAAATTATTGTTTATTTCGATATATGATGCTTATATTTTACTTATTATTATTTACGATTATTTGATGTTTTTTTCATTTTTTTATTGTTTTTGTTTTTTTCATTTGTGAACAATTCTTCTATCAGACTTTAATGTGTAGCATTTTTCTGAAAGGATATTTTCTTGGGGTGGTACTTAAGGGAGATCATTTTTTGATTTTTCTAGGGGTTTCGTAATCAACGGGGAAGAACGTAGGAAAACCGGGAAAATTTACGAAGCGTATTATTTTCAAATCGTAAATATTACGGCCTTTCAAAGCATGTATAACCGAACTCCGCTCAAAATCGTTATTCATTAGCAAAGATTAATCGTTACATACAGATGTACATTAAATTTCTCCTCTACCTCCTCAACTTCTTATCAACAACACTGGCCCATCAATCGTGTGAAGTATGTCCGTTTGTTATTTTAATTATGCCTTTTTTTAGAATTTAAGGGGATAAAATTAAAAATATGGGAAAATCCATTTCAAGTAGACTTGACGAAAAATCAAAATCTGTCTTCAGAATTATTTTCGTATCCCTAGATCAATGAGCACATTGACAAATAGAACACGTCAAAATTCCTATGCTGCATGTATGTAAGACAAAGACAGAAAATCACCGAATCAATTCCCTGTAATTCCCAATATTTTCCATAAGTGTCTTACGGAAAATATTGATCACTCAGTAAATAATATTATTATACGATGACTATATTAGTTTTCTCTTCATATTACACAGGTACTTGTTATTATTACTTATCAGCAATAGTTTTAAATATATATTTATTTTGTTCGTACAAACAATAGATACGAACGTCAAACAACGTAACTATTACTTTCATCTATAAAGAAAAAAAAAACAAACGATTTTATAATTTCGTAATATACGAGTAATATAATAATTACAATAATATTTTATATTATACACGTCATACGCGTATTATAATTATATGTCACTTGTTCTATAATGATAATTTATAATTAATATGCGTGTAGGTAGTTTTTGTTATTTTAGCCTTTAGGTAGGTATTAGTACGTCTTACGTCGTAATAAACAAGTATATTTAGGTGGTATCTATCATCATAAGATATTTTTTTAATTCGATTGAACCGCTGAGGCAATAATATTAAACATGCAGTTTAACCTTTGGCCGTTTGTCTTTTATATTTATAGGTACGGGAGTACACGTCATTTTAGGCATTTGGATTTTATACTTTAGACAAATATACATAATATATTATAATATGTATATTGTATATGCATAATAGTCAGATTAAAATATTGTAGCGCTAAAGCTAATGAATATATACCTATACACTTATAATATTATTATTAATATATATTATAGTGTGTGATCATATTTATAATAAACAGGTACATTAGGTTATAGGGACGGTCAAACGGTGCGGAGGATTAGGGGATATTATGTCTCTCCTGTGATCGTTTCTCCTTCAAAATTAATAACACGTATTACATAATTTATATATTTATTTAAAAAAATATATACGTACACATATATAAATAAATAAAATAGTTATAGTTGTTAAAAATCAGTCCCCAAATCATTTAACCACCGCTGCATTATAGGTACATAATTTTAGGTAGGCATACACGCAATAATAACTCTCAAATTGTTTTATAATATGTACATGTGCATTTGTTTTTAAGTGAACCGTTATCGGTCAAATTCCGGTCCGGATAAAAAACGTAATTTGACCGTCCAATAAAATTATTGCTCCTTTAAATAATTCTGGTCTGTAATTTACCTATGTAATATTATACTGCATTGTTAATTATGAATTTATCGTTATATAATTACACCAGTATACAAACTGTATACACACGATTAATGAGATGTTATCTCGATTACTTAGTAATCAATCGATTTAAATAATTATTTAAAAATTGCAATTCTATAATAGGTAAAAAATAAAAAAATTTCAGTCAATTCTAATGAGAACACTAAAATAACAAAACATGTAGCATATGATGTTAAAGTGCCTTACTATAAAAAATCATTTAGTCGAAAATTCGTGAACTACCTTGCTCCAAAATATTATAACTCTTTACCATTAATAGTTAAGAAAAATATTTTAAGTAATCAGTATAATGTTAAAAATTTGATTTATAAATGTTTAATATTGTCTTTAGAAGAAAATGCAGACTTCTTTTTCAGTTGATTTTTTCTAAATAATAAAATTCATTATTTTGTCTTTTTTTATTTTATCTATCTTTGTATTACCCATATCAATTTATATAGTGTATTAATAAGTATATCTATATAATATTTTATCATATTTTATTTTGTTTTAAATAAATTTTAAATATTACGTTTATCTTAATTCTATTTTATTGTTGTACCATTGTTATCTAAGTTATATTTTATGTATGATGTGCTTTCTGACTTCAACTCAAGCATTTGCTTAAAGAAGATAAATACTTATTTCCACTAAAATATTTTGTATTTAAAATGTTTTTTTGACTTGAATTAAATAAAAAAAAAAATCCGCACAATAAAAATGATTCTTTATCTAAAATTCGATTGTCCCTACGTATATTTTTTAAACATTCATTATTTATTTACAATATTGTTAAAAGGTTTAGTTCTGTGAACTGTGTGCTCCCAACTTCACATACCTCCAAATTTTAAAATAGTTTAAAAATTTTCAAAATATGTCTGATCAATGTCTTCACATACGACGGCTACGTCTTCGTCTACATAACTTTCAAAGTTACTTGTATCCGATGCACTGGTATAATTCGGTACGAACGGAGGTTCGATTTGCTTATTTAAAAGCATTATCCATTCTATTTGTTTAAACCATCTGGAACAAATATTAAACATGCATTAAAGTGCAAAATAACCAACGAAAAGGGATTTATTGTACATTTTTGTATAAGTTGCCTACCTATTAATAAGTGCAAATTGGCTGCATACGAGTTGCGGTTGGTGATAAGTATAAGATAACAGTTGCGGTCACCCCATTTACAGTGTATCTCTGAGTTGCGGTCACCTCAACTATAGTGTATCTTCGACCGAGTTGCAACCATGCGTTAAAATGTCCGAATTATTCGATGATAATTTAACAGTTCTTAAAATAGTGAGTTTTAGCACATTTCCAAAGTGTGCTGTTAAAACGTTTTTAAATACAACTATTATATAGTTATTGAAATTATTTGGTAAAATGTCAAGTTAAACTAACAAATAACTATTAATATCATTTTGTGACGGTCAACATATTTAAAAATATAATACATTAACTCATATAATATGAGATAACACTATTACTTGTCCGCAGTATTAAATACCAATAAAAATACACTGTAGCATCTAGTCTGAGTGTAGTTTCGAATAGTTCTCGAAGTTGATCATTGTTTTGCCATTATGGCTCTTATTATTATTATTATTATTATTATTTATTATTTATTATCTATACAAAAAAAAAAAAATTAATATTGTATATATTCAATACAATTACAGAACAATACTAAAAAATAACTAGATACCCTTTTAATAAGCGTAGCTTGTGTTTGGAGTGGAAGAGTTCATACAGCAGCTAAATTAATAATAAAAAAAAACAGTCATACTTTGCACAATGGGTGAACCACTTTTGAAAGTCGGAAGTTGAAAAGTTAGAAAAGAAATTTGATGTATATCTTTAGACAACGATAAATCATTGCTCACAATAAACGATTCTGAGCGGAGTTTGGTATACATTTTTAAATGACCGTAATAATTACGATCTGAAAATAATAAATTTCGTAAATTTTCCCGAATTTCCTACATTTTTCCAAATTTTTACTATTTATTATGAAAACCCTTTAAAAAAAATAACCACCTAGATACAATTTCCTATCAGAAAAGGTGCTACCTACAATTGAAAATTGGAACAAAATTTCTAGTAGATAGGTTATACGCAGAAAAAAAATAAACATCATCAATTGACACAAGCTTCATAATATTCATAAGGCTTGTACTCTTATATCTTGATCATTTACTTTTTGAACTAATTTTTTTAATTTTAAATTATATTCATCTACTTTATCAGATAGGAAAAAAATCGATTTTAGATTCTGAGTGGAGCGAAGTAGCTTATGGTTTTACAAAGATATTTACTTTTTTTTTATCTATGCGTAACAACTTTTCTACCAGAAATCTTGGTCCGATGTTTAAGTGTAAGATCTTTTCGTAAAGAAAATTGGGCAGGAGAAGTACTTTAAGGAGATCATTTTTTGATTTTTGATTTGAGTATTTCCAATAAATGGGGAAAAACGGGAAAATAGGTACAATATAAACAAATATTATTAAGAGAAATATATAATGCATATACAATTATTTTACCATAATATGGCATATACATTGTTGAAAAAGCAACACTATTAACTCAGAATCGTTTTTTTATTAGCAATAATTTATCGTTGTTTACAACAATTGATATAAATTAAATTTCATCTCTACTACCTTTACAACTTCTCATCTACATCAGTGGCTGTACACATATATGGTGCGAAGTATGTCAGTCTTTTTCAACTGTGTTATAACATGTAGTTAAACTATTTAATTTCCTCAGGATTTTACTGATTGATAATTTTATTTCAATAATGCCATTAAATGTAATATTACCTTTATCTTTGATGACAACTATATTTTTTCATTATCGTGACAATGACAGTTCTTCCTTGTAGTTTATTTTGATAATGACATTTTGCTCACAATCATCACATACTCAATTTTGTAAATCATTTTTATTCCTAATGAAATTAGAAAGGCATTTTTGATGAAACGATTTTTTATAAAACGAACATGTGATTTTTTCTGCAGGTGAAACTCTCGATTTGCAGATGTTAAACGGCATTGTAAATAAGATCATTATGGGCGTCCGAAAGTTTTTTACTCGGAGCTCAATAGCATGTTTTACCACTATCACCCAAAACATTAACGTATTACTTAAAGCTATAAATGAAATCCAAACTAATAATTATTTTAAAATGAACTGTTCACGTACTATTCGAACAAATACGATTTAAACCGAGAAATAAAATATTCAAGTGCAACAAATTCGATATTAAGAAGAGGATGAAATTAATAAATTAGTATATGATAAGTATATGAAATAAATTTACTTTAAATTTGTAAATCTCTGAATTTCAGCATTTTCAATCATAAAGAATTTTAATTATTACTTTAAATTGTAATATATATATATATATAATACAATAAAACGTTTAACAATAAATTCTGTACATAAAAAAAAAAAAACATTTTTAACCATACCTATTTTCTACACAATAAATAAAAGTGTAGACAATACTAAGTCTATTTGCATTGCTTTATAAATGAAAAATAGTAAACAAAATAATGTTTCAATATCATAGAAAAAGTAATATTATTCTGCATTCAGTATGGAGACCAATAATTAAGTGACCGCAATATTAGTAAGTAAACTTTATGGGGTGACCGCAACTAGTAGGTAACCCTTTTATTGGGCGACCATAACTAGTATGTATTTTTTGATTTTGACCACAACTAGTAAACATCGTACAAATTAAAAATAATAATACATTTAGGTACATTATAAGCAAAAAAATATACACAAAATATAATGGTATATTATAATATGAAATATACACATGTTTATAGAAAAACTATGCATACGTATATTGTAAATGCTTTAATTTTTATTTTTTATGCTTTTTATAAAATATTGAATTATTAATTCAATGATACTTATAATTCAGTAAAAAAAAAAAATATGTTTAAATACCTTGGTAAAAAGTATACGTATAGTATAATATGTATGGGTAATATGATTTCATATTATTTATTTATTCTGGTTATGATAATTTATTAATTATAATCCATGATGTATTTTTCTACGCAGATTATTCCACTTATGATATTTAATAATTAACAAATAAAAAAAAGAATTTAACAGGAAACAGATAACCTAGATTCATTCATGTTACATAAATGATGCATAATATGATTAAAAAAAAATAAATAACAAATATGCTGTAAAATGATAACAACTAATTCAACAGTTCATTCATAATATTATAATACATTATTTTAACTAAAATGAAATAAGTTTGAGGGGCTTTAATTAGATTTCATGATTCAGGCAGATACGATATTATATTACCTAATCAATTGTTCATTATTATTAATTTGGTAAGAAAAATATACTTTTTAAACAAAAAACTTATTATTTTTTTTTTTTTTTTTGGCTCATATTATTTTTATATCATAATACTATATCGAAAAACCAAAACTTTTTCGCACCATAGTTTTAGGGGGGAAGTTCAGAAGGATTGGAAAAACAGTAATTTATTTGTATTCATAATTTATATTTACATGTATAGAAACATTAGGTAATAAAAACAACGATCAATTATTATTGTAATAAAAAACGATTCTGAGTAAACTGCTACGTAAGGTTATAGTGTTATATAGTAGTATGAGATAAATTTCTCAATAGTAACCGAGGTAACCTAGAAATCAACAAAAATAAATTAAAACTAATGTATCGTCATTTTTATGTTAGTTTTTAAAATCTATTTTGACAAATGTTTCAAATAAAGTACCATCAAATGAAAAATTCGAATATTTTAAAGTACTATAATGATAGTATGAAGTCATAGAGAAATAGGAGAAATTTTATTAATTGAAAAAATATTTCCCAGGAAAAAAAACACATCTTAAACTATAATAATAGTATATCTTTGCCTACCTATATGATTAAATAAATATTGACAAAACAAAAACATATTTTTTCTGAACATTTTGTTGTTTTAGTCGGTATGAAATTTGTTTCAGGAAGAATACCGGGAATCACAAAATGACAATAGTGCTAAATACTGTTGATTCTCAGACGCAACCTTAGAGCAAACTTTTAGGGAGTAATGTAATCTTTATACAATTTCCTCCTAAAAATAATTCGCTTTATGCACTAAATAACCAGTAATCAGCGGATTCCTGGTATTTTTTATGAATTCAATTCTCCAAATGGAATATATCCCAAATAGTATTTCTCCTGAAACCATATTTCACGAACCCTTTGGCCCAAATGTTATTTTTCTCGACTGATATATTTTCCGACCAGTATATTTCTCGACTGGTATATTTCCCGAATAATATATTTCTAATAGGGTAGAAAAAACAAATAAAAATTTAGTTTATTTTATATTCTAAATATTGAACTGCTACTGTGTTTTATTATATAATATTATTGACAGAATATATTGGTTTTACAAAGATGTTTATTATTATTTTTTGTATTTTTTAACTGAGTAAAAAAATTCTACCAGAAATCTTGCTCAGATATATCGCACCCTTGGAGCAAGACCGTAATAATTCAAAATTTCATCAGAACAACAAAAATGTTGACTACATAATGGTAGACCACCACAAACGTTATCTTGATTAAATTCTGCGTCACAGATCTGTTTTTTTTCACATTAATGAACGTAATACTGCCACATTTCTAATATAGATGTATTAGTTTCTGTCAAATCATAAATTAATCATGGTCTCGAAATTCAAAATTGCCAAATTACGTTTGTGGAGGTTTACAGTTTTATTTTTTATAACCAGTGACCTCAAAAGTAATATTGAAGATTGCCTAAACTAGCCTAACCTAATATAGGTTTTATGGCTGATATTGTATTTTAAACGAAATGTAATACTACACTATATCAAAATGTGGCAGTATTATATGATGAAAAAAATTTAATTAAAAACCGCCATAAATCTAAATTAATAACAAGAAGATAATAATATCGTATCTTATACTAGTTACATATTGTAATGTTAAATAAAACGTTTAAAATACCGAAATAACATAAAAATTATATGCTTAGTTCAAATTTGAAATTTAAAATCGATTTTTCTCAAAACCACAAATTTAAAAAAGAGGTGGTCTGCTCCAAGTGCAATACCATATCTGAAAGGGAATGTTGTCCAGATAATACTTTTGGGAGGTAAGTTTTTGATTTTCGGAGTGGTTTTCATAATATCTGGGAAAAACCAGGATAAAACGTAAGAAAAACAAGAAATTTACGAAAATAATGCTTTTATTATTTTTTACTTTTGTTATTTTTTGTAATTCAATTAAAAATACTCAGGTAAATATACTTTGGCATATTCATACCTTTCGTCATCCTAAGAGTCGCGAGTTCAAACCCATGTCCCGAAAAAATTGTTCCACTTATTTTTTACCTTTTACCAAAACAGGGAAAAAAATGCATTTTAGGTGTACCTAGAAACCAAATATATCGCTCTCTCGGACTATATTAATCGCAAAATACCCCTCGATTTGTTGTGCAAACTTTTCTACAAGAAATACCGGAGCAGATACATCTTACTCCGATGTATCAAGTGTTGCTTATTTTCCGAAAGAAAATTTTATCTCTATGATACCTTAGGGAGATTATTTTTTTGATGTTTCAAGCGGTTTTCATAATACCTGGGAAAAACCGAGAAAAAATGTCGGAAAAACGGAAATTGTACGAAATATAATAGAAAAATATTACGATTTTTTCCCTTCAATTTACAATGATAGCACTTATACTGAAAGAAAATCTAACTGGGGAGGTACTTTGGGTAGGTCATTTTTCGATTTTTTCAATAGTTTTCCCAGCAAATGTGAAAAACCGGTAAAAAACATGGAGAAACCGGGAGAAACGCAGGAAAAACGGGAAAATCGGTAGAATATTAAACAAATATAATTAAAAAATAATTCATTGGGCCTATTTAATTATTTTACTATAATAAGACATATATAATTTTGACAAAGCATCACTATTAACTGAACTGCGCTTAGAATTGTTTTTTTGTAAGAAATGTTTTATCGTTGCTTACAGATGTATATTAAATTACCTATAGCAGTGGCTGCATTCGTCTCCATTATCGTAGGATGTAATTTTTTTCGTTGGTTTCATTTTTTTTTTCAACTAAGACTTCCATGCTATTGGTTTTAAGATGTTTATTTTTCTTTTCTTCTTCTAATCTGTGGACACGTTTTTTCCTAGTAAACTTGCTCCGATTTTTACATGTGGCAACTTTCATGAAAGCTCAAGTTATCTAGATTGTACTTTAAAGATTTCATTTTTTTAATTTTCGACGTTATTTTTTAAAAAAAAGCACTTAAATGAGAAAAAACGTGGGAAAACGTACAATTTCATGATTTTATTATTTTATAAAAACACAGACGACGTTTTCTACCAGAAAAAATGATTTAATCGAAAAATTACTAAATACCTTTTTTGTTGACTTTTCGATTTAACTTTTTATGGTATCATAGCCAAAACTTTTGAGCCCTTTTGAGCTTTAAAGGAATTTTAATTTTTGGGAGATTTTTTACTGCAATTCAGTTATAAATACACGTAGAGACTTGAAATTTGGTAATAATACTTATATTGAACTTACCTAAACGTGGTTAAATTTTCAAAATCATCGGACGAATTATTTTTAATAAGCGTTTTGAAATCAAATTTAAACGAAAATCGCAAAAAAAAAAATTACGGCACTTCAAATTATGTATCACAGAACTGAACTCGAAATCGTTTTTCATCAGGTAATGGTTTATCGTTGCTTACAAATATACATTAAATAACCTTATGTATCCTACCTTTCCAACTTCTCATCTACAACAGTGGCCGCTCCCATCCTCAGTATCAACAATTTTTATCTACTTTTCTACTACCTTTTAACTTTATATTAATATTACAATTTTTAAGCTTTAATTATATCTAACTAACTATAATTAAGTAAGAACAAAATAAATATTTTTCGGGAAAGGAAATACATCATTCGGGAAAAATGATATTCCGGCAAAATCAAAACATAGTATTCAGAAATTATACCGTTTGGGAAATATACAATTCAGAAAAAACGCCCTTTGGGAAAAAGGACGTTCGGTTAGGTTTGATTCAGGAAACACTTTGGGACCCAATTTTACTAGATCACTATACAAAATACCTAGATAGTAAATCTTTATAAAGGGTGTTATTCTTATGCTAATAAATAATAACTCTGTTAATATTCATTTTTTTTTCAATCGGATTTTGTGTGAATTGGATTAAATTTTTATTTTCATCTTTTAATCACTGAAAAAATAACTCTTTATTTTTCCACTTTTTAAATTTTCAAAATACCCATTTTGTAAAATATACTATTCTAAAAATATTAATGTATTATACATTTGCATCTAATAGTTATTAATTTAAAGTGGAAAAGTATCTTTTATACAATTTTAGATTCTGAGTGAAGCGAAGAAGCTTATGGTTTTACAAATATGTTTATTTTATTTTAATTTTTTTCTTTGTGGACAACTTTTCTACCAGAAGACTTGCTCCGTTTTTTACGTGAGCAATTTTTCTAAAAGGAAATTTCATTACGGGAGGTACTTAAGAAAAGTAATTTTTTGATTTTTTCTGGAGTTTTTTCAGTAAATGTGAAAAACTGGGAATAACATAGGAAAACCGGGAAAAACGTAGGAAGACCGGGGAAATCGGTATAACATTAAACAAATATTATTAAAAAAAATGTATAGAGTCTATTTAATTATTTTACTATAATAGGGCATATATATTTGTATATTGTATATTGTTGAAAAAGGATAACTATCAATTGAACTCCGCTCAGAATCGTTTTTTCGTTAGTAATGGTTTATCGTTGCTTACAGATATACATTAAATTCCCATGTGTATCCCCATTATTTTACCTTTTTTTATTTTTAAAAGTGATAAAATAAAGTTATTTTTTTTCAACGATTAAGGACTGAAAACAAAATTTTTGCTACACATATTATGTGTCTCCCTAGCACGAAACCCGATTGAAAAAAGTAAATTAATTAATATTAACTGAATTATTAGCATAATTATAACACAAAATTACCGATGTTGTTTGATGTCGTCGATTCCATTTTGCAAGTTGCCAAATCTCTTAGTCAGATCGACCTGTAATAGGTTTCTAATGAGATCTGCGAGGTCGGGCGTAAAGTTTGTGGACATTTTGTATGAGCCGCTTAAAATTTGCACGTAGAGCTTCTTGTCAGTGTTCGCGTTGAATGGCATCGCGCCGGCGACCATTTCGAAAATTACGATGCCCAGCGCCCACCAGTCTACCGGCTTGCCGTACGCTTTTACCGAAATTATTTCGGGAGCCAGATATTGTGGGGTACCACACAGGGTTGTGGTCCGTTTGGCTATCCGCTTGCTCAGCCCGAGGTCCGTTAGCAGTATGTAACCGTTGGCGTCGATGAGTACATTCTCAGGCTTCAAATCCCTAACGTTAGATTAGATTAGGTTTGTTTAGGTTGCAATCACTCCAGGAAATGGCGCATTATGGATTTTTACGATCCGGTAAAAAAAAATTCACCCTTCACCCGTTCACATAAGCACACCCATACTTAAAATATATTCTTTATTATCCTAACTCCAATCTTACTCTTTCTGTCCTCTAAAAATTTCTACCTAGTCATTTAAATTTATCGTCTTTGAAATTTTGACACCCGGGGAAATTGTTTCTTTCGTCTTTCCATTAAATACGCCACTGACTCCAGAGTCTTGTCCAAATGTAATTTCGGCATGACAATAGTATGTTCAAGACAAAATATAATACCCTTCATAGCGGTTTTAAAATATCGTATGTACAACAAAAAATAATACAATAACTTTTATACACATACATATAAAACAACATTTGCAAGAGAAACGTTTCATCAGTGTTTTAAGAACGGTTCTAAATTCGCCAAAAAATTTCGGTAAACAAAAAAGCCACACACATTTACTATTTAGAAAAAAACTACCGATGACGTTCTCTTGTAGGTAAATATTGATGTTTTTTTGTTAATTTCGAATTCCGTAATTAAGGTTTTTTTTTATCTCTCAGCCTTATTTTAAATGATAATTTCGTTTGAAGGTACCGGTAAAATAACCAGATAAGTTCACTTTTTTTCAGAAATCATTTTATTTTGAAATCTTAAAAAAAAAAGATTTTGCGTCGACTATATACGTGTAATCATTATTATAGTAGATATATACTTACACAAAACTATTTTTCAATTTTTCTTCGGTCGCAATAACCAGATATGTCCAGATATATCTGTAAAAAACATCAGATGTACCTATTTTTTTTTTCGTTCAATGTAATAATCAAATACGTCCGAAAGTATCTGGGCTTTGCTACATAGGCTTTGGGGTTGCTAAAATTACAGACACTTAATCACAGATCCATGGATGCAATACCCCCACAATTTTCTTTACATGACACGCTTATAATAAGTAACTACAAATTTCATTTACAATTTTTATATACAAACAGGGCCGGATTTAGACTTTCAAATGCCCGGGACAAATCTTTTTGAGCCGATACTGGAGACGCGTGTAGTCACTATTTTAGGTGAGTAGGTGGGAAGGTGGGATACATAATAATGTTATTTAATTTATACATGTAAGTAATGATAAACCATTGCTAATAAAAAACGATGACCGAAGCTCGGTTAGGCAATTCTTTAATACTAACAATAACAAAAAAAAATATGTTTGTAAAAAGTATGTTTTTACGACAAAGATTAAAAGATTAATAAACTAAAACAAAAAACAAATAAAAACGGTTGCCAATGACAATATTATTTTCATCTTTTAATCTTTTTTAACCTAAGGAAAGAACCAGTTTTTCCTTATTATCTCAGATATTAATGTTTTGATTGAAGCAAGACTTCTAAGATAAAAATTGTTTACCAACAAAAAAAAAAAAAATATACACATCAATACATCATTGTAAATATAGCTTCACTCAGAATTTAAAACATATTTATACATCTTAATATAAAGTTATAATTTATCATACATACTGTTAGAAATTGATCAAACCAGATTATTACTTTCGATTAATTGCAAAAGTTAGATATGTTCATAATCAATATTTAATTTAACTAGTAATTGCGACCATTAAAAGTATATTTTTCAAAATTGTTTAGTTTTTTTAAAATTATTATCACAAATATAGTATGCACAATAAAGGAAATTATTTAACTTGGTCTATCTTTTATTTACGCAAATGATACCACATTTTTAAGGTTCGGTTCATTTTTCAATTTTATAAACAGTTTTTTGATTTTCCCTTTTGAAACATTTTCAAAAGTGAACTTCTTTGGTTATTGCACCGATGCTTTCATTTGTTTTAAGTGAAAATGGTTTTTCGGTTTACATTAAACGATTGAACAATAGAAATTATGCAAAACCAACATTAATATTAAAAAAAAAAGTTATATTTAATACGATAAGTATTTTCCGGGGTAAAGTCGAATTTCTTTTGTTTTAGTTGATTTTTTTGGTAAAAAAAAAGATAAAAACTAATAAGGTTTAACTGCACTTGGGTCACAATTTGATATTTAAATTCTTATAAAAAAAGTTCTACATTACAGTTTTTTATTTTTTGACTGCAAATTACGATTTATAATGAACCTTATATTAAATTTTCAAACATTTCTATTAAGTCGAGTAATGTTATCCACAGAGTACAAATAAAAATTACGTAAAAACTTGCAAAATTAAAATGCCTATAAAGAGCTCAAAAATCGCTAAAATGTTTTAAACATTTTTTTTGTATCGTGGGACTGCTTGTATAGTATAAAAAGCTGCATTAATAAAAATGTCATTACCATACTGTAATCTCGTTTAAAAAGGAAAGTGTAGGAATATTTGATTTTCCTTTTTTAAAACATAATATAGATTTTATAAAATAAGGTAAGTTTATTGTTTTAGCTTTTAGAATATATTTGTTCAAATTATTCAATTTTGAATCAGGAAATCTTACGGTTTTTTCTATATTTATTAAGTTTAAAAACGACGTATAACTTATCATTTAGCACTTGTTACATTTTTTCATCGTTTACATAAATTATAGTATAACTTTCGAGCTTCTGAGTTTCTGAGTGTAGCGAAGAATGTATTGGTTTTACAAAGATGTTTTTTTTTTTTCTATTCAGTATACAAAAATTATACTAGAAATCTTGCTCCGATATGTATGCGCGAAACCATTTCTGAAAAGAAATATTGTCCAGATGGTACTTTTAGCGGTAAAATCACTTTCTTATCATCAAATCTCACTGAGGTATACCCCTCTAAAAGGTATATCTAATATAAAATACCCCTGACAGATGTAAAAATCTATGCGTTATAGGGAAGATCCCATCGACATACGTTGAAAAACTACGACACTAGCTTTCAAACGAAAAAAATATCTCGAGGCGAATAGTTAGCGGCAAAATTAAAGGTGGAGAAATGAATGGCAGCGAAAAGATATAGACCCTGTTTTATTGGAGAAATTTTGTACACAGTATAACTAAACATCATTGTAAAACCAATACATTCCTCGCTTAGTTCAGAATCTAAAAAGCAATTTAATATCTATGCCAAATTTAGTTGTAGTTGATTTCAAACAAACAATCCATAATGCTGTCTATGCAATGTTTCCTTAATGAAAACTGTAAAATAATTGGTTTTAAATTTTATTTATCGCAACTATCGCAAAATACAGAATATGGGACTAGTTACTCTGATTAGGGATTACAAATCTAAAACAGAAATTGGAAAATATCTTCGTAACATATTAAATTTTTTAAATTCAGTTGAAGATGGTGTCTTTTATAATACAAACGATTTGATGTCAACTATCCCAAAAAATAACGCTGTAAAAGAATTTAGTAGATAATAATTGTTTTCAAATTATTTTGACCTAAGTGCAGTTAAATTACCTATTTAATTTAGGTAACATGTGTAATTCGACTATACCGATTTTCTGTACATGGACAACATTTTTATTTCGATATAACACCGATACAAATTATACCGTACATATATTGACATATGTAACCAAATAACTTTCAAATTAAAATCATTGAAAATATAATACTATGTCACCTATAAACTATGTTCATCAAGTGCAAGTATTCAAGAGCCAGCACTAATTGTCCGGAGTAAAACTTGGCGCTGTATTCATTTAGCATACCGTTTTCCCGGATCAAACCGAACATGTCTCCACCGACCGCGAAAGGCATCACAAAATACAAATTGCAAATGTCGTGTGCATAATATTCCATGTGAACAATGAACGGGTGTTGAATGGCGGTCAAAAATCGTTTCTCATTCAACACGTGCTGTAAATAATTTCTCCGCAACACTTCTTCTTTTTTTATTACCTGTCATAACAAATATAAGATGTTCATTTACGAAAATGTACGTAGGTACACCGATAAATTATAATACAGTGGTTAGGTCAGATTATCTGGATTGGAAGTTATAGTGACAAACTGCCTTAACGTCATATATTATAATATTTCTCGATATACCATGTGAAGTAATATTGCAAGTCACGTTTACGACTATACAAAAATATAATAAATATTGACAGAGAAATGAACGTTCAACATTTATAATATTATAGGTAGTATGAAATACGCTCAGCGCTTAGGGATTGGTGAATAGGCAATTTTAAGAATAAAATGAAAAACTATGATGGACTAAAAAATATCCGTTCAAATTCACTTCCAAAATAAATTTACATGCGACAAACAGTCATACCGATACGAGTCCTTTAGTATCATCGTCTCACATTGTATATCTACTTACTTAATGTATAATCATAAAATAAATTAATACAAATGTTTACGAAAAACTATCCTATGTAATGCTTAGTTCATACCAAGCCGACAAAATTAAAAAAGACACAACAGCAACAAATTCAATACTTAAATTTTGCAATAAATTATAAACAGCCACAAAATGTAAACATCCCATTTAAACAAAAAAAAAAAAACTAATATAAAATAGACAAAATAGTTATGTATTTATTTGTAACGCTATATTATTGAAACTACAAGTTTTGTGTTCAATTATGTATTGTTTTATGAGATACATTTTATTTAAAAAATATAAATTGTTTTACTAAAAATGCATATATAATATGTAGGTACTCTAATATGTTATACACAACATTGATACACAATTCTTAAAATAATAATCAAAATATGAAAAAAAAACAGACTGTTAGCTCACCTAGTTATAAAGTACCTAATTAGTCAAAAATATGCAATTTCCATAACTTTTCAATCTTAATAAATAATGATATATCCAATTATTTCCATTTTGTCTCCTATTTGTCGAAAAACAATTGTTCCTGTTTGTCGGCTTGGTTTAAACTCGGAATAAACTATGTATAGTAACCCAATGCATATAGGCGTGTCCAGACCTTTTTCGCAGGAGGTGCAACCTAAACCATAAATCATTCATAACCACTCATAGTTAACTAGTTAACTTATAACAAATAACTATTAAGGTCTTTTTTTAAATCAGCAAGATTGTGGGTGCCCGCTGAACTTTCAATAAAAAACAAACAATGTTTGATTTCAGTTTTCTCAATGAATTACGTTATACTGAATCAGTGGCGTATTTAAGGGGGGAGCGATGGGTGGATCGCCCCTCCTTTTGAATTTTTCAGCTGTAATTAAAGGCAATAAAATAATACTACTATAACAATAGTACTCGTATTTATAACCGTATTATTTATTATTTCTTGAGTATTTTTATTAGCGTTACCAAAAAGTAGTAATAATGATATAACTAATGCAATTTTTTGTCTATAATTAATATATAATACCAACCATAAATTTCAGAGGGGGTGGTTGAACCCCCAAAACCCTCCCCTTTATACGCCATTAATTGTATGTATAATCTTTTGATATGAATAAATAATAATGTATACATATTATGTATATTATGTTACGGCCGTTACGGGTAAACGCCAAAACCGTGCAAATCTCAGAAATGCAAAGGCAAAACGCGAAATGTCTACAATACTTGTCAAAACGTCATATTTCGGCTTTTTCCCAAATAAATCTCTATAGTAGTGACCAACATCATTTGGGCAAAACTATAACATTCATACATTTAAATTTTTCACATTTCTGAGAGTTGCCCGATTTCGGGTTTTGATTATATTATAATATTTATCAACATCATTTTTTTTTGTTTTTGTATATTATAAATTATAGATTATACCTATAAACTATTTTTTTTAATTGCCAAGGAGAGGAATTATAAAAAAATGAAATAATAACTGTTGCTTTTTTGGGGGGGACGAAGACCCGTTGTGATATTTTGCAGTGTATTACAATTTCTAAAATACCCCCTCCTTGATTGAACTCTAGATACGCCACTGATACAAACTGAATAGATTAAACCTAACTGAAAATAAATGATAAAAATAAAAACATGTATACAACATGTAACTATACACGCGGTTGTATAGTTATGTGAAAAATTATGTGGTATCAAAACAATTTAAGAATATAAATTAAATTATTATGAGTAATTCGGTACTACATACGAAAGTTAGAATAGGCGAACTGTAGCAACGATCACCTGATCTCGCATTGAAATGCAGATGCATAATCTGCACCCCAATGGCATGCCCTCCTCCACCCTACCCCTCCCGTGGACATGTCTATGTACCTCAATGTACTTATATGGATAACACCTCGAAAAGTTTTACCAACCTACCTGTTTGTTATTAGATGTATCTTACGTTGGTAAGTAATAGTGAGTCATGATTTCGATTAGCCTTGTTCGCAGGTATTAGCATTATAATGGCATAGCATGTCGAGATAAAAACTGTTGTATTTTTTCACATTTAGTCAAGTATTAATGGCATACCTGCAATATTACCAATATACCTACCTACCTACAACCTACGCAACGCTGCGCCAGTAAAATTATACCTTAAAGAGTTCAATATTTAAATTTATTATTGAAAAAAAGACGGACATACTTCGCACCATGGATGGGCCACTGTTGTAGATAGGTAGGTATTAGGTAGGTAAGTTATAGAAGAAAATTGAATGTATATATTTATGCAACGATTTACCATTGCTAACGAAAAATAGTTCTGAGTAAAGTTCGGTTATACTTGTTTTGAAAGGCCAAAATATTTACAATTTTCATCAAAATTCGTTATAAAAAATCTTATAAAAAAAATTTTAAGTCTATGAATTTTTTAACTAAATCACAACAAAAAATCAAAATTTAAAATAATATATTTCATACAATTTTTCGTTTTAGCTGTTTTTTCCAAATTATTATGATAACCTAGAAGAAAATCAAAAAAATGACCACCTTAAAGTACCGCCCAGATAAAATTTGCTCAGAAATTAAATGTTAATTCGATATAGGTAGGCGAATCAATAGTAGCATATATATTATAGAAAAATTTAAAATAGTATTTTAATTTTTAATTTTTTATCTACCTACATAAAACAAATGTATTTTTTTTTTAGTGGGGGTCAAGCTGGAGATTAATCTTGGGCAATACTCTAAACAAAACAACTCATAAATTAACTCACTTTCATGGCCAAAAATGTCTTGTTATCAGATTTGTGGTGGACTAAAAAAACGCGCCCGAAAGCACCCAGGCCAATAGTTTTGAGCAAAACAAAATCATCGAATGTGGATAGTTGCATTTTATCGTTAGTTAAACGATACTCAAACTTAATCTTGGAGCAATCTAAATATTCTTTTATGTTACTGATATTTTGTTTTGTACAGTCGTAATCAACAGCCATATTATCTGGATCAATATCGGTGGTCATTTGAAACGTTGATACAACTTTAACGACCTGGAAATTATTCGCACACATACACAATCAAATTGTTTTAACTTAATGTTATTTATTATTATAATATAAAGTTTTTACTATTCTACTCGTATAAAAATTTAATTTTCGATTTATACTTAGTACATTTTATAATGAAAAAAAATCATTATTTTATTACCAATACAATAACACAAAATTCAAACCGAACAGATTTATTAAAGTGCAAGGGTAGACATTTAATATGCTATTCATATTATTTTAGTTATTCTAAATCTCATAAGAACATATAAATATATAATACATTAACTCTAAATGAATGCTGATGAAATCAGGGCAAAAAATTACTCAACATTCCGTGTTACTGTGTTTGATTTAGAAAAAGTATTACAAACTTCTCAAAGTGAAGTGAGGACCTTTTACAGTAAAAGAAAACTAGTGCCACACAACTTCACAATATTATTGGGATAAAAGATTTTGGGAAAAAGTTTGCTACTGCTTCATGTGAGATGAAAGTGAAGGTAAACATGGGTTAAACAGGTTTGAAACTTATATTTTAAAATGTATTAAGATAGTAAAAGAAAGTGGAATATTAAATAATTCTGTTTTTATTCGAATAATAAATGGACAAAGCCGCTACAAGTTTGTATATTTGATATAGGAGTATGCAGCTTATACACAAAGTTTATATTCAACATAAATCATTAACATTATATTAACATATATTCAACATTTCTTGAAAAAGGACATACTCAGAATGAAGGTCACAATATGCACGCCAAATTAAAGTGTGCAAAAAAGAATTGTTATTTATACTCTAGCGCAATAGACATACTACAGAATATGTACCAGAAAAAGCTTACAAAGATAAAGTTTCAAATAAAACTGAAACTCAGTAATTTAATGACACTGTGTAATAAAAGAATAATACCATTGACTTATCATTGATTTTACAATTCTATTAATTTTTCTATTAGTTGTTTTAAAAAAATTATAAACAAACAGTAATAAATATCATAACAAATAAATAGAAATGGGTTTTGTTTAGCTATAGTTTTAGTTATGAAATATTTATTATTTTCAAATTTAATCAACAGTATGTTATTTTCATTTTTATTTTTGATTTACATTTTTTGAACTTTAATTAATGTATAGTATACATTGTATACTATTCTACTGTTAATATTAATATTATATTTTATGACTGAGCAAATTATGTTTTGTTGTGTTTAAATTTCAGAGTGTAAAAAACAGATACCTATTAAAAATCACAAGAACTATGTACAATATTTGAAGATTTTCAATTCATTAATTTACTCAACATCAAATGATCATTATATCTATAAATATTTATTTCTAATAAAATATATATAATGAACAATACTTACTGGATAAATTTGTCCAGGAAAAAAAAAAAGCATTTGAAAATTATATAATATTATTTTAATTAGGTAACTATTTAGATATACTAAGTTTTATGAAACAAAATATATTAAGAACAAAATATAGGTGGGTATTCATTTTTCTGAACAAATGCGTGTAGAAAAATCAATTTTGAAAGTCTTAACTCTATAAGTTTCCTTAAAGTTTGGTTGAGTTTAATGTGTGCTATTCAATTTTTGGTAAATAGGTATCTATATGGTTCACCCTCAAAGTTTTTCACAGTATTTATATTATTGTGCTATCATTATAAGTGTTGGGAAAGTTCCTTTTAAAAAGGAATTTGTTTTTGTGCCTTTTTTGGAAATATAGTTAATATACATATTTAACATTAAAGGTTTTCATTAGACACTTCACACTTGTGTACATAGTAGATACCTAATTTTCATAAATAAAAAGTGTAGTGAGTGTTTAACAAGTCAAATAAAATTCTTGCTTCTTAGATTTGACATGTTTAAACTCCTAATAAATTTAATTAAATGTATTTCCTTACCAAAAAAATGAATTATTATTAAAAAATGAAACTTATTATTTGAAAAAAAAATTCATTCAATTTATTCAAAATTGATTTATTTCACGGTTATAAAAGTATACAGCTGCATGATTTATACGATAATATTATGTACTCTATAAAATATGTTTATAAAAATGGAAATAATACATTGAAACAATGTAGTAATTTATTAGTACCTAACTGATAGTGATATCGACACTGAATAATTTAAATATTTGAAAAAGATCGCGTTCCAAGCTCTATTCCTATTCCTGTTGCTTTCCAACACTAGCCATTATACTATTAAATAACTTAAGCTTCTCATACTTTCTTCTCTATTAAGAGCTATATTATACAATACACTACTTTCTAGAATATTGTGTTACTGAAATTTCAGTACCTAAGCAACTATACATAATCGGTTTTTTTTAAAATTTAAATTTGCTGAATCTATTTTCAGATTCTAAGTGAAGTGAAGATTATAGTTTTACAAAGATGTTTTTTTTTATACATCTGTGTTCAACTTTTCTAACAGAAGACTTACTCAGATTTCTTAGTGTAGCACCTTTTTGGAAAGGAAATCGGTAGGGGTAGGTACTTTAAGTAGGTAATTTTTCTATTTTCTTAGGAGTTTTCTCATTAAATTTAAAAAAAACCGAAAAAAACAGAGGAAAAACGAGAACATAGGAAATCTTGGAAAATCGGTACAGCATTAAACAAATATTATTAAAGAAAATATTTAAAGCGTATTTAGTTATTTTACTATAAAATGACATATATTGTTGCCAAAGCATCATTATCAACTCAACTACGCTCAGAATCGTTTTTTTGTAAGCAATGGTTTATCGTTGCTAACTAAGTAGTTATACTAATTATAGGGATTTGTGGTATCTAATTTAGTATTTAGATAAAAAACAAACCATTTAAAATTTTTTTAAAAGACGGATATACTTGACACGTGGGTACAGCCACTGTGGTTGGTGGGAAGCTGGGAATAAAGAATACAAGCAGGAATTTATTTATCTGTAAGCAATAAATCATTGTTAACAAAAAACGATTCTGAGTGGAGTTCAGTTGATAGTGATCCTTTGTCAACAATATATGTCAAATTATGATAAAATAATTACAAAGGCATTATTGTGCTGATTTTCCTACATTTTCCCTAGTTTACTAATATATTTCGTATATATTTTCTCGTCTTTCCTCGGTTTTTTTTTAGTTTCTCCCTTTTATTAGGAAAATCAAAAAAAAAATTTCCTTAAAGTACCATCCCGAAAAATTTCCGTTCAGAAAATGTGCTATATCTTATACATCGGAGTAAACTTTCTGTTAGAAAATGTTCACATACAAAAAAAAAATACATATTAAACATCTTTGTAAAACCAATACATTATTCGCTCCACTCAAAATCTAAAAAAACAGGCAAATGCAGTGAAGATTAAATAATATTATTATAACAAGAAACAGTATATTATAATATACTAAGGTGTAAATATATTATATTTAACTTTTATTTCAGTTGTTTTGTTTCCTGCTTGTTTTGCTGCAAATTTTTTATCACATTTGTATAATTCAAACTTTGTTTGAACTCCTTTTGAAACTAATAGGTACTAAGATTTTTTAATCATATTTGTTTGAGTAAAAAAATATTAATTTTCTGAACTTATATCATGAAATATGAGCTAATAACTTCAATAAAATGTACTTTATCTAAAATAGATAGATACCCACAATATGCAATAAATTAGGAAAAATAATAGATTGTCTGAGAATGAATTATCCTAAATTCCCCAATTAAATAACATTTAACATATCCCCATATTTTTTACTTAATATCAAGTACCTAGTTATATAATTTATTACAATATTAAACTTTAACTGAATCAGATATTATACACAAGTATTTTTCTAAACTTAGGTAAAACTTTATATAGATAATAATAATATTTATAGAAAACATTGTTAAATGGTTTTAAAATTCACAGAAAGAAAATAAAAATAAGCAATATAGGTACCTCATACCTACTACCATTGTTACTAACTACTGATTACCAACATTTGATAGTACCTATCTTATTATTAGTTTAATACTGTAGCTTGTAGTTTATACACCAAAAAATACATAAATAATCATATACTGTATAATATACATGTATACACATTTTAGCTTATTGTTGTTGGCTGTCTTTACCAGTTTCAACATTCATAATTTGTTTACTTCTACAATGAAATTGAAGCACCAAAATCTAGAGTCATTTACTGATCGCTCTAAAAATGCTATGTATAAAAGTTGGCATATTCCTAATGAAATAATAACAGCTTACAATGACCTAATTCTTAAGACATTCGTGCATGATATTAATGCTGCTATATCATTTACTGAGTTCCCGGGTGAAACGAGTAATATACCTAGGTAATAAAGAACAGTTAATATTTTTTTAGAGATTTTTCCACTTTGGTCAAAACAAATTGAGGTAAGATGTTTTACAGTTTATTGAAGATAAAGATTATTGGAAGATCAATAGCAGATACCAATCCTACTACAAAATCTTTTTTGTATCCTAAGAAATCAAAATGTTAGTGTAAGTACTATTACAAAGAATTTTTTAAATGAATAATTATTTAAACTGAAAAGTTTTGACCTACAAGATGAATTGAGCGTCATAACGCCGTCATACATTACCTACCATGCAGTCCATGAATTTTACAACTGGCAATTTTTTCTGCTTTCGAAGAAATTTCTTTGAAGAAAGATGTAGATAGGTAATTTATCAGCATCAAATAAACTTATTGTATCAATACACCAATTTAAGTTTCAAATATCAATGATAATATTTACTGGTAAAACTGTTTTTAATATCATTGTTATTAAGCAAATTTTTACAAACAGAAAAATTAAATGCAAAAAATGTGGTTTCTTTTGTTGAAACTACACTAACTAGTAACTACTTTCATTGATATTCGTTCAAATGCTGATAAAAAATTGCATAAATTAATTAAGTTGGTTGAGAAAAGTGCAATACATTAGAAAATACTGTTTATGTTCCCGGGATATCTGATGTTTTTAATGGGAATTTTAAATTTTTTAGATTATCTTGCATCTTAAGGTAATCTTATCACTCAAATTTATCACACGTTCGTTCGGTATTCTGTGTACCTTAGATCATATACTATAGATTGTTATTGACTAAATATTTGAAGAAAACATAACTAAGGTGAGTTGGGACAAATGGAAATGCACAAAATTAATATCACACGTAATTAGTTGAATTCAAGTAATCTCATGTGACGTATCCACCTAATGGTATAGATATTCGACGAGTACTAATACGCACGCGCATTCACTTTAGCAATCCCTAATGATGTTAATGAATGATGACTTTAACTCGTAGTATAGTAGTTGTTATCTATCTCAGTGTCTGTATATTATCTTATTAATTCGTGGTAAGTGGTTTTAAATGGTCCAATTATGACTGATAAGAAGAGAATGACCATTGTAAAAGAACCGTGGTACGAATAATTAGTAATTACCGTTGTTATCAATTATTATTAATTTTTTTTTTAAATTTAATACATACATATTAAATAAAGTGAATTTATTTATTAATTATTAACTATATTAAATTCATAGCGAATATTCTACCATAATTATCTTAATTTTTTGTAACTTAACCTATACATGCAATTTGTTTCATAATTAGAATCAAGTAGATTTCAAATAATGGATACAAACACCTATTTTAGATATTTTGACTTGGAATCGATTGATGTTACTTTGAAATTCTGTCAGTATGAGTATGGTGATGTCAACTGTGTAGTATGGGATGCAGCAATAGTATTGGCTAAATACTTAGAAAATTTGTTTGTACAAAAAAAAGAAACATTTGAATCTAAAACAGTGATAGAACTTGGATCAGGATTAGGATGTGTTGGTCTAACTGCTGCATGTTTCGGGTAAATGTAATTTGTAAGTCATAAAATGCTTGTAAAATTACAGTATTACAGTATTGAGTTTAAAATACGCTGATGGTATTCTTAAATAAATATTATTTACTAAGGAAAAAATGTATCTTTTTGATTATTTTATTATTATCTAATAAATACATGAAGTGTAAACATATTTAGTTAACTCAATACATTATTTTAAAGGTTTCATAAAATTATTTAAAAATACATCTCCATTGTTTTTAGTGAAAGATATCATTGTTGTTGAATTTATTATATGTATAGATTCAATAAATACAAATACTTGGAAGTTTAATCTGGACAATATGTTACGATTTATTGATGAACGATTCTGATATATTGTTAGTTATCCTATTCAAAAACGTGAAAACAAAATTTCCCCAGGATTAATTGTCAGTGTATAAAATTATGACAGGAGGCCGATTGATAGCATACGTTTTTTTTGCGGGGACCATTTGACCGTTTCCCATTCTAAAAGGTTTTAATAAAGTTCTAATTTACAGACTATATTTGAGGTGCTTTATTAATCGAAAACTAATGTAATATTTTTCAATATTTTAACATTTTTTTCAATACCCAAAAGACATAGGATGTAGTGTCATTGAAAATGGGTCTGAAATAAAAAAAATTGTGTCATGTATACACTTTTTGGATAGATAATCAAACAAATGTTATAAACATTATTGTTATCGGTATTCCTTTCTCGCTACCACAAAGTCAGATTTTAATTCATTATTATCACAATAATTTTTTTTTCAGAGGGATTGTTACACTTACAGATTTGTCGGAAAATGTACAGCAATTGAAACAAAATATTGACGAAAATAAACATTTTCTAAAAGGAAAAGCGCAAAGTATTACACTTAAATGGGGTACTACTTTTGAGTCTGAGCCATTTGATTTTTTATTAATGGCTGATTGTATTTATTATCCAGAAGTTAGTGTACTTAAAATTGTTTATATTATTGTTTGATAATCATTAAATTAATAAATAATATTATTATAAAAAGGTAATAGAAGCACTGGTAAAAACAATGATAGAGTTGACAACTCCAAATACAGTTATATTAATTAGTCAAGAACTCAGGGAAACCGAAAAACAAAAGAACACATGGAAAATGTTTATAGATTTATTGACAGAATATTTTACATTATCATATATTCCAGAAGAAGAACAGCATCCAATTTATAGAAGTTCTGACATAGTCTTAATAAATGCAAAAAAAAAAAAATAAATATAACTATAACTACATTTTATATTTAATTTAAATTCAATTAAACCAATTACATTAATGTCTAAAGTTCATTTTTCTTGTTTCTAATTGTTTTTTTTTTTTTTTTTTTTACATTAAAAGAAAAATGTATCATTTAATACTTAATAATAAAAAAAAACATTATCAATTAATGAGCTACCTTTGCATATGTTGAACTCTTTTTGTTTAAACTGCAAACAGAATTTTGTTCCCTTAAGTTTTTTTAATACAGGCTCCAGTTACTTATATTTGGTTCTTAAAAATTTTAATACATCTATTTTTTTTAAATTTACTTATGTATTATATAACATTGATGGTTGCCAAGGTAATATAACTAGCTATTTTATTTTATTTTTTCTATTTTTCATTAATCATACTTATTTATTGTTATTAATATGTATTAGGTTAAACCAAAAATTATACATTACAATTTCATGCAGAGCCATCTTAACTACACACAGAGTTTTGGTGGACCTTTTAGAAGTCAAAAAATAATGTGAATAAAAAATCATCTTTTTAATCTTAAACAGATATTTGAGAGTACATAGACTTTTATGAAAGATATAGTGAATTTTTTTAGGTTTTAAAAAATAAATAAAAAAAGTCAACTAGTAGTAAAAATGACATTTTAATTATAAATCATTATTATTATTATTCATTACATTACCTTAAAATCACTTTTTATCAACTTAAGTCAACTATTAATTATTAATTAACTATTAACAATACTAGATAATACAATATAATAATTAATTCTATACACTGTCTTCAAATTAGTTTTCATAATTATATCAATTAATTAAATATAATACACAAAAAATCAACGTAAAATGTTTCTTTGTAATCTTCAATTGGTAATCATGGTCTATAAATAAATAGATGACTTGGATAACTATTTAAATCAAGCCAGTATATTTGGTAACACAGTGGTAAAGGATAAAATTATTATTAGTAGTGAAATCGATTGATCATATATTTTGAAATGTAACATCAATGAATAACATCAAACTTTCATACAAATTATGGTAATGAGCACCAAAAATTTGAATTATTTCATAATAATACTATTATTGTTCTTGATAATTCCACAATTTTTGAAAATTACTTAAGTTAAACAAATCAAAAAATAAAAG